CATAGTTGTGTAGGAGATGATGTGTCTGAATCCCGATGGGCCCAAGGGAGGTGCCCACACAGAACACTAGGAAGGATCACAAGTAATTTTGTATCTGTGTGGATTTCACTGCTGTGACAAATGACCACAATCTTTGTAGGGAAAAACAACTCCCACAAATTCATTCTCTGACCATTCTGGAGGTCAGAAGACTGAAATCAGTCTCACTGGGCTAAGATCTAGGTGTTGAAAGGGCTGTGTTTCCTCTGGGAATTTTAGGGGAGAATCCATTTCCTTGCCTTTTCCAGCTTCTAAAGGCTGCCTTCTCTCCCTGGCTCGCGCTCCATCCTCCATCTTCATAGCCAGCAGGCAGCATCTGATGGTAACGCTGCCGTCTCCTTGTAAGGACCCATGTGAGCACACTGGCCCACCTGGTTGAGCCAGGACACCCTGTCCAGCTCAGGGTCCTTAACCTGATCGTACTGGCCACCTCCCCTCTGCCTTGTAACATGTTCAGAGGTTCAAGAAATTAGGATGTGGGCCTCTTTGGGGGCCACTCCTCAGCCCAGCACACCCAGCTTCCAGGTGACTGTGAGCTGATGCAAGTACTTGCCACACTGCCAGACACATGACCCTGCTGAAGAAAGGGCAGCTCTGGGTGACCTGCAGCCCCAGTAACCTCACCTCCAGCACACCTGCCTGTCATACTGTGTCTTGACTGCAGGCTGCTTTGTGCTCTGGCCCTGCACACGTGTCAGCTTCTACGGGATGGGGGGCATCCCCTCTCTTTCTCTTCCACTGCACTGGTGAAGGGACCTGCTAAAGACAGTAGAAAGAAGCGCCTTAGGAGGTGCTGATTTCCCCATCTTCAACCAAATGCTGAATAATCAAGTGTCGGTCAGTTCTGTGTTGGCAAGAAGTTGAAAGTCTCCAAGTCTGATATTCTATGATTCTATACCCTTGAACTTTTCTGACTACAAACCCCAAAAGAAAACTATATAAATATGTAAAGCATAGTGATTAAGATATTAAAATTAGATGAAAACAAAGGCAGCTGGAAGGGCATTGGGACCACTGGGTACCTGGAACAGGAGGCTGGGCCAGGTCCCAACCCATTCCCAACCTGCCTACGACACCCCGAATCCCTCTCACAACCAGCCTTTCCTGAGGCCCATCCTGGGTCAGAGGGGAACACTGCCTCTGACCCCTCTCACTCCAGCTCTTTGGGGAGGGTCAAGAACCCAGCCCCAGAGTTGGTCAAACAGATGAACACACAGTAGTCTGCCTGTCTCTCTCCACTACTCCTTAGCCTGATAGTGTCCAAGGCAGAGATCTCCTTCATCCCCACGGGATAGGGCCTGATCTGAAGGTCACTGACTTTTCGCCATACATTGCATTCGCCTTCTCTGGCATTGCCCGAGAGAAGGAAAATGCAGTGAAATAACTCCAGGGTGTAATGTAATACACTAATGTTCTCCTTGTCCAGAACATGAGTGCAGCGCAGTGATTTTTATCCACAGATGAGCTGTTTGTCTCCAGCTAAGCCTGACTCATAAAACTAACCTTATAAAATGAAGAAGTTTGCTTTTCCTGGAATGGCATGACATTTACGTTTTCTTACCAAACGTGAAGGCTGGAGGGGACATTTAGAAGCCGAGTCTGTTAGGTCAGTGAAGCTCACTGTGCTCCCGAGGGGAGATTAGCATCAGCTTTGAGCTCTTGACAACTTGTCCCCACCACCCACCCCCTCGGTGTGGGAACATGAAGTTCAAGGCTATCACCGCCAGCTCTAAGGCCCCATAAGGGGACTGTGCCTAGAAACCGACGGCAGAGAGGAAAAACATGAGACAGTCTTTCCCTAAAACGTTGAGTTTTCTTTTTCTTTCTTGGCCACACTGCATGGCATGTAGGATCTCAGTTCCCCAACCAGGGGTCGAACTCACACCCCCTTCAGTGGAAGTGGGGATTCCTAGCCATTGGACCGCCAGGGAATTCCCAAGGGTTTTCTTTGTAGATATGAGTTTTGGGCAGAATCGTCTTTGGAGACTCCCAGAGTCACGGCATTTTCGCATTCCCTACAGCAGCTGGCAGCAAGATTGCTCCGGGTACCTGCCCTACTCCTCCATTTGCCCACGTTTTTGTTGGATTTGATTGAGTTTAAAGGGGATGTTAGGTTTTTAAAATGTGCTCTTAGGATAATAAATACCTATCTTCCATCCCTTATTAGGATCCTCAGTTACACATTCAATACACCCCATATTTCAGTGACTTTTAAACAAGCAAGCAGGCATTGTATAGTATCTAATATAATGATAGTCTGGACATGTGCTGGAGGAAACATCTTTGATCCCACAGACATGAAAACAAAAGCTTTGTATTTTACAGAAAACAGCTTTTTACTGAAAAATGAGACACAACTTAGTGGAGTCGCTATTGGAACATGTGATTTTTAACTTCTGGATATAAATTGTATTACATGGCCAAGTTGCTACCCATGTAGCAGAATGCAAAGGAGTGAATTTTCTCCAAAAACAATTTTAGGGACTTGCCTGGTGGTCTAGGGACTCCCCAGGTGGTGCTAGTGGTAAGGAACCCACCTGCCAATGCAGGAGATGTAAGAGACTCGGGTTTGATCCTGTGTTAGAAAGATCCCCTGGAGAAGGAAATGGCAACCCACTCCAGTCTTCTTGCCTGGAGAATCCCATGGATAGAGGAGCCTGGCGGGCTACCGTTCTTAGGGAGGCGAAGAGTTGGACACAACTGAAGTGACTTAGCACAAATGCTTGCCCTGGTGGTCCAATGGAAAGACTGAGTTCCCAGTGCAGGGGACCCAGATTCAATCCTTGGTCAGGGAACTAGACTCTACACACCACAACAAAGATTGAAGACCCTACATGCTGCGACTAAAACCCAGTGCAGCCTAAATAAATAAATAAATGAATAAATAAATAAAATCAACTTAGCTCCTTTAACCCTTAAGACAACCACAATCCATTAATTTCTTTTTAATCCAGACTACCTACTCCAAATATCCCTGCTTGAAAAACAGCACATCCCCTGAAAGAGAGGGTATACCTGTCCCCTGAACTTCATAAGGCATCGTGACCTGATTTGCCAGAGACCCCAGGTGGACCAGAATTTACGATAACACTCCTCCATTTCATTCAGTCTCATGATAGGAGACTCCTCAGGCCTTTGGAGAGAATTAATGGTCATGTCCTTCATCCCCTGCTCATCTGTCTTCTAGTGACCACCTCTAGTGTTTACTTCCTGTCCCTCCCTCTGAACTTCAGTGCCAGAGAGGAGTTCTCAAAGTGTGGTCCCTGGACCAGCAGCCACAGCATCCCCTGGAACTGGTGAAAATGCAGGGGCTTAGGCCCCACCCCCAGTTTACTGAATCGGAGCTGGAGTGGGGCCAGTGTCTTCATTAGCACGCCCTCCAGGAGATTCTGTTCCTGCTCAAGTTTGAGACCCATTGCTCTAGAATAAAGTCCCTGAAGACGCCTTCTCTAACCTGGCCCCATCCATCATGGTAACCTGCACTCCAGATATCCCTGTCACTAACTTGCTAGTCGCCCCAGCCTGGCTGCTCACGGCTCTTCCTTGTCCCGAGTGCCCTCCCCCTCTCTCCCCCAGGTTGTCTCCATTCCCTCATCCTCCTGGAGATTCCTGTTCATGCTCCCACTTTAGCCTTGCCTGATAGGGTGCATCCAGGGCCTCCTTCCAGAGTCTTGGATGATCCTCACTTCCATACTTCTGTGGTTATTGTGCCCACAAAAAAGCTGTGTTGAAGTCCTAACCCCTGCACCTATGATTACAACCTTACTTGGAAATAACAGTCTTTGCAGATGTAATCAGGTTAAGATAAGGCTATGTTGGGTTAGCATGGGCCCTAAATCCAGTGACTGATGACCTTATCAGAAGGTCATATGAAGATACAGAGAGAATAATACCATTTAAAGACAGAAGGAGACTCCTCAGGCCTTTGGAGAGAATTAATGGTCATGTCCTTCATCCCCTGCTCATCTGTCTTCTAGTGACCACCTCTAGTGTTTACTTCCTGTCCCTCCCTCTGAACTTCAGTGCCAGAGAGGAGTTCTCAAAGTGTGGTCCCTGGACCAGCAGCCACAGCATCCCCTGAAACTGGTGAAAATGCAGGGGCTTAGGCCCTGCCCCCAGTTTACTGAATCGGCGCTGGAGTGGGGCCAGTGTCTTCATTAGCACGCCCTCCGGGAGATTCTGTTCCTGCTCAAGTTTGAGACCCATTGCTCTAGAATAAAGTCCCTGAAGACGCCTTCTGTAATCTGGCCCCATCCATCACGGTAACCTGCACTCCAAGTATCCCCGTCACTAACTTGCTGGTCGCCCCAGCCTGGCTGCTCACGTCTCTTCCTTGTCCCGAGTGCCCTCACCCTCTCTCCCCAGGTTGTCCCGATTCCCTCGTCCTCCTGGAGATTCCTGTTCATGTGCTGCAAGCTCCCACTTTAGCCTTGCCTGATAGGGTGCATCCAGGGCCTCCTTCCAGAGTCTTGGATCACTTCCATACTTCTGTGGTTATTGTGCCCACAAAAAAGCTGTGTTGAAGTCCTAACCCCTGCACCTATGATTACAACCTTACTTGGAAATAACAGTCTTTGCAGATGTAATCAGGTTAAGATAAGGCTATGTTGGGTTAGCATGGGCCCTAAATCCAGTGACTGATGACCTTATCAGAAGGTCATATGAAGATACAGAGAGAATAATACCATTTAAAGACAGACAGAGACTCAAGTGATACAGCTGCAAGCCAAGAGCCCACAGTTTGCCTGCCACCACCAGAAACTCAGAGAGGCAAGAAGGGATTCTATCCAGAGCCTCAGAGGGACTCGACAACACCTTGATTTTGGACTTGTAGCCTTCAGAGCTGTGGAAGAACTCATGTCTGTCCTGTGAAGGCACACAGTGGGTGGTACTCCATACAGCAGCCTTAGGAAACAACACACCCTGCCTGGCCACCTGCCTTCCAGAAGGTCTTCCGTGCCATGTCTCCAGGAAGCACGGTAATGAGCACAGTCAGTCTGTCTGTCCCTCCCTCCCTTTCTCACACCTCACACGCACACTTCCCACACATGCCCCAGGCAGCCTTCCTTCCACCCTCTCTTGGAGGGCGTGACTGGGTCTGTCTGTGTGACCTCTGTGCCCAGCAAGCAAAGAACAGGGGTCTGGAGCCAGGCTTCACTGCTCCGTCCCTCTGGGACTTGGTGTAATTCCTTACCTTTGGGCGAGTGCCTCCGTTTCTTCATCCTTAAATGGGGGTACGGTCAGCATTCCCCAGAAAGGACTCCTGTGCTGGGATCAGTACTTCCCGGGCACTGTGTCAAGCCACGTGAAGCATGTAGTGAGAGATCAATATATTTGACATGATTATTGTAGTTTTTATCATGATGCTGCCCAGTGGCTAGCAGGATGCTTTATACACAAGCCCTGAATAAATGCTCAACCTTGATTTAATAGGGATTTGAGGAGCATTTTTTTGCTTATAAAAAAATATCTAGTGAGCTGAGTGGCACTGTGAAGGCGTTCTCTGGTACACTATTAAACAGGACTTTTAGAGTGGCCTGTTTTTCCCAAGTGACTGCAAGTGAGGAGAAGTGTTGGTCTCTCAGTCCTGTCTCATGTCTGACTCTTTGCCACCCAGGCTCCTCCGTCCATGGGATTCTCCAGGCCAGAATCCTGCAGTGGGTTGCCATGCCCTTCTTCAGGGGATCTTCCCAACCCAGGGATCAAATCCGCATCTCCCGCATTGCTGGCACGTACTTTACCATCTGAGCTGCCAGGGAAGCCCCAAATCAAAGTGCTGGTCACGTTCCCAAAGAGCCTGTCCTGAGAGAGGGCGGCTGCGGGGGGCTACCCTTGTTCATGGCCTTTGGGGACAAACACCAAGAAACCTATAAAATCAACAGAATGCACAAAAAACAGGTTAGAACATGAACCACATCATTGGTGGTCCATGACTGTAATGCATTTACTTCTAGGCTGTGGTACATAAGTCCTCTTTTATATGTAATTAGACAGAAATCTGTAGCAAAAAGTTGCTAATACATTCCTTCAGGTTATACAGCCACGTGGTCAATTGCTTTGTTTGCTGACTTGTTGTTTATATAAAAAGCCTCATTCTGGAAAAGATTAGAATGAGGTGCTGTGGCCCGGGCCGTGCTTTAAGAGAGGGATGTGGAGCTTCCTAATCTGTTTGCAGATGGGCAGTTCTGGAAGCCTGAGGATGGGAGGAACAGAGCCCTGTGATCCTCTCTGTGGGAACACGCCTCACATCAGGGAAGCCAGACCTACCTGTCCCCTTCCCGACAGACCTGGCTCTTAAAAAGGTTCAGCTTTTTAAAAAACATCTTTTAATGAATGGATTAGCTTTGTACCACGTGCTTTGTATCATGTACCACGTGTAGCAACACATGTTCCAAGTGCAGGGGGGACCACCTGAACTTGAGACCTTGGCTTCATCCAGGTGCAGAGCGTCTAGATTCAAAATCACTACAGTAAGCAGTTTACTGCACTCACAGTTCTGATCACGCCAATATGCAGGTCAAAAACAGAACTTTAAGATCCAGGGTGGAGACATCCATACCAAGTTACTTTGGATTTGACTTCTTGCACTTGTTGGTCCCAGGTACAAAGCTGAGGGAGTAATACCCTCATCACCTTTGCTCCTTGGAGACCCCTCTCTGGTGATTGGTTATTCTCTTTTATCCACTTTCCCATTGTCAACTGAAAAAACAAACAAAAGCAGAACCTGGAAGTTGAGAAGTTATTCGGTGGACCTAACTGAGGACTGTAGCCCAGATACAGCTTCTCAGATTGCTCTGAGGGACTGTTCCAAAAAGGTGAGGGAAGAGCTAGGGGATGTAGGAGTTTTTGCTGGGGAAAAAAACCCGTGTAGTTGAACATCCAAAGATTACTGCTGATCGCTGAAACAGACACCTCAAGGTAATGATTTTAGTGCTTCTCTGTGTATGGGAAGATGCAGGAATCTGGGCTCATTGAAATCATTCCTTTGATAAACATCTTAACTATCTAGGAGCAATATCCTGTTTTTCTCCCTCCTGGTTTCCTCTCAGGGTCCTGTTGCAGTTTTAAGGCTGCAGTATCCTTTGTTTACTGAAATGGTTGGCAGCATTCTTTGTCCACAGTGCCTCTTCTTGGTCATAAATTTGACCAACAGTTGGGAGGCATTTCATAACCAGTTTTGTCCCATGGCTCTAGGAAAGCTCATTCCTAGATCAGGTGAGGATTATGTTGATAGGCTACTCAATGTGCTACTTTTTTGGATGAGGCCCTGTTGATTATTTAAAATCCTCTGAATTGCCTGTTTTACTAGTCAATTACCACCCAGATAAATGTTTTCGCCTTAAGACATTTAGCCATCATTCCTTTTTTCAGTGGCCTGGTTATGCATTGGGTAGTGAAAGAGACAATAGTCTTATGAAATAGAATATAGATAATACAGCTAGTAACATTAATAAAATACAGCAGAGAAAGGCACAAGGCATAAATAACTTGAAAACAACAAGAGAAACAATTAAAACAATGGTTAGTGTAACTAGTTGTAATCTAGTGGCAATAAGCCATCAAGTTCACAGGAGAGCCAGCTGGATAAGCCAAATTTTGGAAGGATCATGTAGAGAGAAAAAGATAAATGTTTCATCTTTGTTTACAAAGGTATATTTTGTCAGCTTGTTATAGATCAAAATTTGATCTATCTATATATAAGAGGAAAGATTTTCTGGAAAACAAACATTAAAAATCAGAATAGTTCAGAAGTCATAAAATTATAAATCATATTTATCAATTTGTTCAGTTCTGTGTAATTCCAGTTGATCTGTATGAAGGCATCAGGTTTTCCATTAGAGTTTTGTAATTTCTTACTGAGTTCAGTAGTATGATCTCAAAGTTATCAGAAACAAATTTGTCAAAAAGCTCTTTTTATGAATCCTCTTGAAAATCCTCATTTTGTAAAAGCATGAGAGTAAAACAATGATTGTCTATAAGTGACAAAAGACTGAAAATGGCATGGTTAAAGATCTGTTTACAATATAATTGACCATAAGCTTAGTTATTTTTGTGGCATACAACCTTTTAGAGATAATGACTAGAATGATAACTGATAACAGTGTATTAGGACACATCAAATTTTTAGGAATTCTGTATAACTTTTGGAATGACTACATTATTGACATTTACCCATAAAATAAGACGGTTTTGTTACCCTTAGTTGATAGTGCTACCCATGTAATTTAATGTGCCAGATAAACCTAATTAGTTTAATCTCTCTCTTCGGGACATTTCAGGGGTCCTTTGAAGCATCCCAAAGTTAGCTGGGGGTCAAAAGAATCTTAATTAGAATTTGATATTTGGAAAGTTTGTTCTTTTAAAAAAAAAAGTCAAGTTTTTAAAACACTTGGTCAAATAGGATCATAGGTCACTGAAGCAATGCTTATTCACTCAACCGAAGAGACAATAAAAGATATTTAAGGCAAATGACAGATCATGTAGAAGGCAGAGCAACTTACAATCTGTTACCAAAAATAGTTCATAAGAAAACTCTGTTCTTGAGAGAGAAAACCAAACTCCAGTCTTGCACCAGCCCATCCTCAACACCAAAATTTACTTAACCTAATTAAATTCAATCCAAACGGAACCATGCGCAGAACAACTTTGTCAGAGCAGCCGTTCTACAAATCTACAACTTTCTATATCCATTTTAGTTTGTCCCTATAGACTACCTGGATCAGGAAGCTCCCCCTGGAGAAGGGAATGGCAACCCACTCCAGTACTGTCTGGAGAATTCCCCAGACAGTGGAGCCTGATGGGCTAAGTCCATGGATGGCAAAGAGTCAGACACAACCGAATAATTAACACACTCCCCAAAATAGTCTAAGATAGTAAAGATCTCTGTTGTGCAGTCAGATGCAACAAAGCTTAAGGTGACAACAGCCCCTGAGAGTTGCCTCAGCCAGACAAAGCCTTCTCAGAATCCCAGTCTATTCCATGGGCTGCCAGTTGTGCACCAGATGGTTGAGACCAAACTGTTAAAACGCACACACACACACACACACACACACACACTTGCGCTTAAGAAAATCAGAGCATTTACATCTTAAAGACACAGGGAGAGGAATGCAAGTTCTCCTTAGAAGGGCTTTTGTTTCTGAATTCTGAAAAGATATTTTATGGAGTAGGCTCTTTCTAGCTGCATACACACTTAAAAATGAGTTTCAGAATGTTAAAAGAGCCCCAATTTGACCATTTTAGGTTGAGAGCTCCTAGTATAGTTCTTCCACTCAAGTGAGTATTTGCAAGTATAAATTTCCACATGAACCTGGCTGGGGTGTTGGTTGGAGGCTGGCAATCTATTGCCGTTTTGTTTTGAAAGCTTTGTTCCCCATTGTAAAGTCGCTGTGTCGAGGTAAAAATGCTAGGACAATCCTGTCGTGGACCTGTGTGCTGTTTGCAAACTGGACTCCGCTAGAGGTCACCCTAGAGTCGATCCAGCTCTCTCCTGTCTCAGTTTCTCCTCCTGGTGGTGTGAGACCACTCCGAGTGCTGCGGTCAGAGTGGCCAGCTCAGAGGCGCATCCCTGCAGAGCAAGTTTTTAACTAAAATGTGTGGGTTTCCCGATGGGGACAGCTGCGTGGTATGAGGACGTGCTTCCGGCGCTCCCACGGGCTTCTCAATTGCCTGAGAAAGCCCACTGGGAGATCTCCTTCCTTGGAGCTGAAAGCTCTCATGAGATAGCTTCAATTTTACTCTGAAAAACTTTATTAAAATAGCCAATCCAAGCTCAAACAACAGGCCAGCTTCCCACCTAATCACACAGCCCAACCCTATTCAGTGTCTTTCAGCTGAGGATAACCCAGGTACCTCTTCTTGAAACTAAGTTTTCGGGATAATCTTGGGGGCAAGAGGAGGTTAACACCTCCGAGTAAAACTTAGGACCCTCAGCCCCTGCTGGGAGAGCTCAAGCCCGGAGACTCACCCACCTGTGTCTGTACTCTTGTTGCCGGCCAAAATCCTGGTTTTCTCTGCCCACTGAAGCCAAACGAAAGATATGGAGACAGCTTCGAGGAAATAGAAAGGTGGCTTTAATTCTCAGCTGGTGGAGAGGGGAACGAAGTCGGCTTATGCCTCAAGATCTGTGCGCCCCTCTCCCCCACCTGCTCTGTGAGGAGTCTAGGGGCTTATAGAAGATGAGGGCTCACAGTCAGGAGTCGGGAATGAGGAACAAAAGGGCTAGCATCTCGATTTTTTTCCTCTTGCATTGCTTCAAAGACAGTCAGAGGCTGCATCAGTAACCCAGTCACTGAGTCTGGCAGTTGGCTGGCTCTGTGGCCTTCTTACTGATCTGTAAGGGGAAGAGTGTTGTAAGGGTAAACACCAGGTAGAGGATGCATTTAGCATAGAGCCAGAGGAGAATAGGTGTGAAGTATATGGCTCCTGCAGGGGCTTCCCTAGTAGCTCAGCTTGTAAAGAATCCGCCTGCAATGAGGGAGACCCTGGTTCCATTCCTGGGTCAGGAAGACCTGCTGGAGAAGGGATAGTCTACCCACTCCAGTATTCTTGGACTTCCCTGGTGGTTCAGATGGCAAAGAATCTGCCTGCAACGCAGAAGACCTGAGTTTGATCCCTGGGTTGGGAAGATCCCCTGGAGGAGGCATGGCAACCCACTCCAGCATTCTTGCCTTGTTCAAAATCCCCATGGACAGAGGAGCCTGGAGGGCTAGCCCGTGGGGTCACAGAGGGTCGGACACGGCGGAGTGACTAAGCAGAGTTGACACAGCCCAACACAGCTGCAGAATTAGAAGGCAGGAAAGCAAACTTACTTACAGACCTCAGAGTTAGAGCAGCTAAAGTAAAACAAAAACAACAACTAGGGAATGTTCAGGCCTGCTCACTGTTGTGTTTAATCTTCTTTGTTGTCAGGAAAGGGAAAGAAAAAAACTCACTCCTCTTTTTATCATTTTCACCGCAACTCTCTCTGAGGAGGCAGGCTGGGCTAAGAGGCCACTGCTGGTACCACGGCTTCGGATCCCGGTGAAGCAGAGAAGCCTGCCCTGGGTCCCTTCACTGGCCACCAGATCTGTCAGCTGAAGAAATGTATAACCTAAGAGTTGAGAAGTTTGTTTTCTTTGGTGGACTCACGGAGGACTACAGCCCAGTATACAGCCCCTCAGATTGTGCTCAGGGGCTGTTTCAAAGAGGTGAGGGAGAAGCCAGGAGATGTAGGAGTTTTTTCTGGGGGGAAAAAATGTCAAATATCCAAAGATTACAAGATTACTGTTATTCATAAATACAGACATTTCAAGTTAGAGTTTAGAGCTTGTGCATGTATGGGAAGATGCAGGAGTCTGGGCTCATGGAAATCATTCCTTTGATTGACACCTCAACTATTTAGGGCCAGTGTCCTGCTTTTCTCCTTCCTGAATCCCACTCAGGGCGCACTGTAGGGGTTTTATGGCTGCAGTATTTTTTGTTTACTGATATGGCAGGTGACATTCTTTGTCTACACCGTGCATCCCACCTCCCTTGGGGGACCACTGAGAAGGGCTGATGTTTCTTCTTCTGTCTGTCTGTGTTTTCTTCTTTTTAATTTGACTGTGCCGGGTCTTAGTTGCAGCCTGTGGGATCTAGTTCCCTGACCAGGGATCAAACCCGACGCCCCCTGCATTGGGAACACTGAGTCTTAGTCACTGGACCACCAGGGAAGTCCCTGTAAGTTTTCTTATGAGAGAGATGGTTGCTGTGTGTGTAAATTTTTCTTTAAAACATCTTTGTAAGTGGTATGCTGTGCATCTTCTTGTGTCTGCTGTTTTCACTTCCTGCCTTGAGGATCTCTCTTAGTTGCTCTAAGTATGGCTAGTTGGCTGCCTTTCCCCACTGTGATCTGTGGTTGTTGTTCAGTTGCTAAGTTGTGTCCAATTTTTTGTGACCCCATGGACGGCAGCATGCCAGGCTTCCCTGTCCTTCACTGTCTCCTGGAGTTTGCTCAAACTCATGTCCATCGAGTCGGTGATGCCATCCAACTAGCTCATCCTCTGTCTCCCCCTTCTCCTCCTGCCCTTCTGCGTAGCACCCCCATTCTACCTGCTTACCCCCCAGGGAGGCATAGATTGTCTCCAACTTCCCACCACACACAGATGCCTCGAGGAACATCCTCCCATCAGTCCCCTGTTACAGTATCACTGTTTCTCTGGGATACACACCTGGAAGTAGTTATTGGATCATAAAAGTAGTGTAATCCTGATTTGACTGAATCATCCAGACTGCCCCCCAGCCAGACTGCACCGAGCTACCTCCCACCAGCCATGAACCCCCAGCCCTGGCCAGCAGGTTGGCCTTATGCACGTTCTCATTTTTTGCCAATGTAACAGTTGTGCCGTGGTCCCTCCCCGGTTCTTTAGCTGCATCTCATAATTACTCACATGTGTACAGGCCTTCAGAGCTCTTGTTAACCCAGGTAAGACATGTGATATGCTTAGAATCACACCCAACACAGGCCCTAGAGGGTAATATGTTATTGTTCTATAAATGTAAGCATCCTTTAAATGATGGTAGATTTAATAATGTTGTCCTAACACAAAATGTGAATTCTAGTGATTATTTCTGATCTTGAATAATAGAAGCTGACCATAATATTTAGCTGACCATGTTGACCTGCTAGATCACTTCCACATCTGTCCACCATACACTTCCCTCCGTTTCTGCCATCCCCACCTTGGTTCATCCCGCATCCTTCCGTGTGGGATGTTTGCCAGCCACTCACAGTCATCCTGCTTCCCAGATGGCACAGATGGTAAAGAATCTGCTTTGCAATGTGGCAGGTTTGGTCCCTGGGTCAGGAGATCCCCTGGGGAAGGGAATGGCTATCCAGTATTCTTGCCTGGGAAATCTCATGGACAGAGGAGCCTGGTGAGCTACAAGCCATGGGGTCTCAAAGAGTCAGACACGAATGAACATGTGCACACATAGCATCATCCTGACATCCCCAGAGTTAATTCCTTCTTAACTTCAGAGTCAAATGTCACTTTTCTGGTCCCCAGACTAGATCACTTCTCCAGTTATCCTTTCATAGCTCCTGAGTCATCCATGATCAAATCAGCTGTACCATGAACTGTTTGAAATCCTTCTCCTGACTGCCCTGAGGGTGGCTGTGACAGTCTCTTCCCTGTCCTCCTGCTCCCAGCCCTGATTCATCTTCAGAACTCCTGGGGTGCATGTTGAACTACAGAGACCTCTTCATCACAGGATAGTTTAATCAGAGCCAAGTGAACACACAGCCCTAAAGCGGCCTGAGGAGCGTGAGACATTCATCCCAGACGGCCCTGACTGGTCTTCCAAGGCTGCCACCTTATATCTGGAGGACCAGCAACGTGGCCTCAGAGGAACTCGTGACTCAGAGGAAGGGAGCCGGGAGAGGCCTTCAGGGGAGATACAGAGACTGAGTCTTGATAATCATGATAAAGTACAACCACAAATGTAAAAATCCTATTTGGGACAAAATGTAGATGTTTTTAAGAGTGCCTGATTAATACAAAAGGAGCAGAGCAAATCGGGAAGGCAAATTACTCTTCATAAGGACAGCTCCATCCTGACTCAGCTCACAGCCTGGGTTACTCCGGGTGTTTCGTTCCCTGCAGAGGAGGTACTGGTGCTGAAACTGGGAAGGGTTAATTTTGAATTTACTCTGGATCTGCTTGTGCAACTGTGGTCTGCCTCGGAGATAACCTGAGCCAAGTGGAACAAAAACATTGCCCTGCCTGAGGCTTGCCATTCTAGGGGACATTTACAAGGATTGAATGGCTTTTTACTTTGTTTCCTCACCTCCCCGCCCTCCCATCTCTGATCCATTAAAGAACCTGGCAACCAGGCCCCAACAAGACGGTTATTTTGAGATGCTAGCCTGCCATCTTCTCAGTCAGCTGGCTCCGGAATAAAGTCCCTTCCTGATCCCAACACCTCGTCTTAGAGTCATTGACTCATCTTATGGCGAGCAGAGCGAGCTTGGACTCGGTAACAGCTCCTCATTTAGCTTCCATGTGTTTTCAACAAAATACAGAGTCAAATAATATCTTAAGCACTTTATTTGAAATATGCACAATTATATCAATATTAAACCAAGCTTTTGTGAATTTCTATGGATAGCAAATAAGTGTGCCCAGTTTATTAGTTATGGAAAGGTGGGCAGTCCTTAAGATTATTCTCAGTATTGCCTTCCCCGGGGCATGACAGGAAATGCCATAGCTTCAACCACCACCTCCACTGAATCTCTTTTTATGACATCCAGCTGCTTCCTGGCCTTCTTCCATGTCCTGGAGCATGAAGGTGGTACCACCAACTCTGCTGACCTCTCCTCTTCTTAGCACCTGTGGTGCTCACCCCCAGATAGCAGCCTGAGGGGCGTCCTGACTCCTGTGAGGGAGGCTGACCCCAGGCCCCTAAGTGGAGGTGAAGGGCAGACTCCTAGGTCATGCGTGGAGCAGGTGGGAGGGCCACAGGGCTGGTGCAGCAAGCAGTTCAAGCCTTAGGCCTGCCAGCACACAGAACCAGCCTCTGTGAGTCTCAGCTGCTGGTGTCCATGTGGCCCACGGGAGTGTGCTGTGTGTTCTTCTAACTCGGGTGGGGTGTCGAGGGGACCTGGAGACAGATGTATGGGGCACCTTGTTCAGCTACTTTCATGCAGGTCTCACTCACACCCTTTAACGGTTCTCCGCAAGCTCCAGGCAGGAGAAAACCAAAGTAAAAACAAGCTGTGTTTTTCAGTCTCTCAGTTGTGTCTGACTCTGTGACCCCGTGAACTGCAGCACTCCAGGCTTCCCTGTCCTTCACTATCTCCCAGAGTTTGCTCAAACTGTTGTCCATTGAGTTGATGATGCCATCCAACCATCTCATCCTCTGTAGTCTCCTTTTCTTCCTGCCCTCGATCTTTCCTGGCATCAGGATATTTTCCAGTGAGTCAGCTCTTCGCATCAGGTGGTCAAAGTATTGTAGCATCAGCTTCAGCATCAGTCCTGCCAATGAGTATTCAGGACTGCTTTCCTTTAGGATGGACTGGTTGGATCTCCTTGCAGTCCAAGGGACTCTCAAGAGTCTTCTCCAACACCAGAGTTCGAAAGCATCAATTCTTAGCCACTCAGCCTTCTTTATGGTCCAACTTTTCCATTCATGACTTCTGGAAAAACCATAGCTTTGACTATATAGATCTTTGTCGGCAAAGTAATGTCTCTGCTTTTTAATACACTGTCTAGGTTTGTCATAGCTTTTCTTCCAAGGAGCCAGTGTCTTCGTTTCATGGCTGCAGTCATTATCTGCAGTGATTTTGGAGTCCAAGAAAATAAAGTCTTGTCACTGTTTCCATTTTTTCCCCCTATTGGTAACAAAGTGATAGGACTGGATGCTATAATCTTAGTTTTTTGAATGTTGAGTTTTAAGCCATCTTTTTCACTCTTCTTTTTCACTTTCATCAAGAAGCTCTTTAGATCCTCTTTGCTTTCTGCCATAAGCATGGTGTTATCTGCATATCTGAGGTTATTGATATTTCTCCCGGCAATCTTGATTCCAGCTTGTGCTTCATCTAGCCCAGCATTTCTCATGGTGTACTCTGCATATAAGACTTCCCTGGTGGTTCAGACGGTAAAGCGTCTGCCTGCAATGCCAGAGACATGGGTTCAATGCCTGGGTCAGGAAGATCTCCTGGAGAAGGAAATGGCAACCCACTCCAGTAATCTTGCCTGGAAAATCCCATGGATGAAGCCTGATAGGCTACAGTCCATGGGGTCACAAAGAGTCGGACACAACTGAGCGACTTCACATTCACTTTCATTCTGCATATAAGTTAAATAAGCAGGGTGACAATATACAGCCTTGCCGGTTCTTTGCAAGCTCCAGACAGGAGAAAACCAAAGTAAAAACAAGCTGTTGTTTTTCAGTAGCTCAGTCATGTCTGACTCTTTGCGACCCCATGAACTGCAGCACTCCAGGCCTCCCTATCCATCACCAACTCCTGGAGTTCACCCAAACGCATGTCCATTGAGTCAGTGATGCCATCCGACCATCTCATCCTCTGTCGTCCCCTTCTCCTCCGCCGTCAATCTCTCCCAGCATCAGGGTCTTTTCAAATGAGTCAGCTCTTTGCATCAGGTGGCCAAAATATAGGAGTTTCAGCTTCAAGCATCAGTCCTTCCAATGAACAACCGGGACTGATCTTCTTTACGATGGACTGGTTGGACCTCCTTGCAGTCCAAGGGACTCTCAAGAGCCTTCTCCAACACCACAGTTCAAAGCATCAATTCTTTGGTGCTCAGCTTTTTTATAGTCCAACTCTCACATCCATACATGACCACTGGAAAAACCATAGCCTTGGCTAGATGGACCTTTGTTGACAAAGTAATGTCTCTGCTTTTCAATATGCTGTCTAGGTTGGTCATAACTTTCCTTGCAAGCAGTAAGTGTCTTTTAATTTCATAGCTGTAGTCACCATCTGCAGTGATTTTTGAGCCCCAAAAAATAGTCTGACACTGTTTCCACTGTTTCCCATCTATTTGCCATGAAGTGATGGGACCAGATGCCATGATCTTAGTTTCCTGAATGTGGAGCTTTAAGCCAACTTTTTCACTGTCCTCTTTCACTTTCATCAGGAGGCTCTTTAGTTCTTCACTTTCTGCCATAAGGGTGGTGTCATCATAGTGAATAAAGCAGAAGTAGATGTTTTTCTGAAATCCCCTTGCCTTTTCTATGATCCAACGAATGTTGACAATTTGATCTCTGGTTCCTCTGCCTTGTCTAAACCCAACTTGTACATCTGGATATTCTCGGTTCACTTATTATTGAAGACTAGCTTGAAGGATTTTCAGCATTACCTTGCTAGCATGTGAAATGAGTGAAGATGTGGGGTAGTTTGAACATTCTTTGGGGTTGGAATGAAAACTGACCTTTCCCAGTCCTGTGGCCGATGCTGAGTTTTCCAAATTTGCTGGCATATTGAGTGCAGCAGAAGCTAGATAGAGTCTGCATTTCAGCCTTCCATAGTCTCATCTTTGGGCCAGACCCTGCTTCCCAGCACAGTTCTTTATCTCCCTGATGTGATATTTTTCAGTTAATTTTTAATGGAGTATAGTTGATCTACAGTGTTGTTAGCTTCTGCCATATAGCACAGTAAATCAGTTATACATACGCATATATCCACTCTTTTAAAAATTCCTTTATATTGGAGGTCACTGTAGAGTTTTGAGGAGACTTCCATGTGCTGCACGGCAGGTTCTTATTAGTTATATATAGTAGTGTGAATGTGTCCATCTCAGGCTCCCAGTTTATCCCTCTCCCCTCATTTCCCCTTGGTGACCAGACACTTGTTTTCTACATCTGTGACTCTCTTTCTGTTTTGTAAATAGGTTCATTTTTTATCATTTTGTAAAGATTCCACATATAAGCAGTATGATATGATGTTTGTTTTTCTCTGCCTTGCTTCACTCAGTGTGGCAATCTCTAGGTCCACGCATGGTGCTGTAAATGGCGCTCTTGCATTCTTTTTATGGCTGAGTAGTACTCCGCTGTATTATGTACCACATCGTCTTCATTCCTGTTGGTGGACATCCAGGTTCCTTCCCTGTCTTGGCTGCTGTAAATACCGCTGCAGTGAACACTGGGATGCGGGTGTCTTTCTAATCATGCTTTCCTCTGGGTGTATGCCCAGGAGCGCGATTGCTGGGTCATATGATGGTTCTGGTTTTGGTTTTTAAAGGAATCCCTGTACCGCTCTCCATGGTGGCTGCACCAGTTTACATTCCCACCAACATTTATAGGAGGGTTCCCTTTTCTCCATACCCTCTCCAGCATTTATTGTTTGTAGACTTTTTGATGATGGCCATTTTGACCAGTGTGGCGTGAAAACTCTCTTGCATGTCTCTAATAATGAGCAACGTTGAGCATCTTTTCATGTGCTTTTTGGCCATCTCTCTGTCTTCTCTAGGGAAGTGTCTGTTTAGGTCTTCTGCCCAGTCTTTGAGTTGTTTGTGTTTTTGATGTTGAGCTGTGTGAGCTGCTTGTATATTTTGAAGGTTAATTCTTTGAATCCTTTGTGGGCTTTTCTAGTGGTGGCATGTGGGCTTGGTAGTTGCAGCGCGTAGGCTTAGCTGCCCCACAGCGTATGGGATCCCAGTTTCCCGACCAGCACTCGAACCCTTGTCCCATGCCCTGGAAGGTGGATCCCTAACCCCTGGCCCACCAGGGAAGGTACCTGTGGTGTAGTTTCAGGTCAGGGAGCCTGATTCCTCCAGCTCCACTTTTGTTCCTCAGGATTGCTTTGCTATTCAAGGTCATTTGTGTTTCCATACAAATTACAAAAAATTTTTGTTCTATTCTATGAAAAATGCCATTGGTAATTGATAGGGATTGCATTGATGCAGTGGTGAGTAGGCTAGTTTCCTTATTTGTTCGGATCTTTCGTTGTGAATGTGTAGAAATGCAACAGATTCCTGTGTATTATATGCTGCAACTTTGCAGGGAGGGCTGATGTGCCACTGTGTGACTTGTGGGATCTTAGTTCCTCAACCGCGGATTGAACCTGGGCCCTCTGCAGTGAAAGCACCAAGTCCTTACCACTGGACCATCAGAGAATTTCCATGTATCCTGCAACTTTACCAAATTCATTGATGAGCTCTAGTCATTTTCTGGTAGCATCTTGAGGATTTTCTATGTATAGTATCATGTCATCCACAAACAGTGACAGTTTTACTTCTTTTCCAATTTGGATTCCTCTAATTTTTCTCTTCTCAAATTGCTGTGGCTAGGACTTCCAAAACTATGTTGAATAAAAGTGGTGAGAGTGGATAGCTTTGTCTTGTTCCTGATCTTAGAGGAAATGCTTTTAGCTTTTCACTATTGAGGATGACGTTAGCTGTGGGTTTGAATAGATTTTAAAAACAATGCAAATAAGGAACACTGCACTTCTACCCCAACCAAGGCACCATCTAAACTTTTCTTGTGCCGCGCTTTACTCTGCACAACAGCCTGAGTGCTGCAATATGTTTACTTTACTGGGGTTCCCACAGACTTAGGGATCAAGTTCCAAGTCCTCGTTACAAAAAATGCTTTCATGACCTTGCACCAGCCTTCCCAGACAGCCTTTTCCCTCGCTTCGCAGCCTCCCCTGAAATGCCAGCCCCTGCCCTCCATTCCTGTGTCTTTGCCTGGCTCCCTTTTGCTCTAGAAAGCCTCCCTGGAGTAGGTGCCCAGCACGCCTGCCACTCTGGCCACACAGGAGAGCTGTGATTCACCCTTTCCACGCAGGGTGTGGGTCTGCGGTCAGGCTGGACGGGGTGTTTCGTTTCCGTGTATCTCCCTGGTGCTGGGCATACTGGGTGGCAAACAGTGAATGGCTGAGAAGACAGACACGTGAGTCTGAATTGTGTAATTAGTATGAATATGTAATTGAAATCAGTGTTTCAGCGTACACCAGCACTTGTTTCGAGATTGAAAATGAGTCCTAAGCAAACAGCTCTCCTGCACGGGCTCTGGGTGCCCCTTGACCCCCAGGAATATCTGTACGTCTACACATTTAAATATTCCTTATATAAGCAATCGCCATAGAATCCTCACTCTCCATCCTCCAGTTTCCCAGCATTTGTTTTTTTAAAGTCTGTGATAGGAATGGATGATATCTGGTCTACTTAAAATAACCATGCTTGGCTGCTGTGTTCCTGGGCTAAACTTCATGAGAAACGGAGGGAATTCCCTGGTGGTCCAGTGGTTAAGACTCTGTGCTTCCACTGCAGGGGGACGTGAGTTCGATCCCTGGTTGAGGAACTAAGATCCCATGAGGCTGTGTTTCTGCCTCACCCCTGCCTCCCACAAAAGGGAAATGGCTCTTTCCAGAATAACTTAACACTGTGTGGAATAACACTGTGCTCCGGGCGGCAGAAGCTCCCTTTCTTTTCTAGAAAACATTCCTTTTACTGAATGATCATTGTGCTCTTTAAAAAAAAAATGATGGCCAATAACAAAGTTCTTCTGAACAGTCTAATGGGCTTCGGTGATGTGGATGTGTATTCCCTAAAGCTCTGCATTGGAATCAGTTCGGAGGTTTAAAAAGGCTAAGCATGCATTTGCAAAGTTTAGAAGCATGCCTACTGCTCTCTGTGGTACCTCACCCTGCCCCTGGCTGGGCCCCTCACAGAGCGGCCCCCGCCTCAGGCTCCCCTCTGCCCGCCTTGCATCTGGGGCGCTGCTTCCACACCCCCCTCTGACCTCAGACGAGGGCTCCTCCCCCAGACGCCTTCCTTGACCACTGCAGGGCACGTAGCCGTGTTGTCCCACCACTCTTTCTTCACGTCCCACCATCTGAAAACCCATCATTTATGACGGGGTGCATCTTCGTGGCCAGATCCTGTCTTCAGCTGTGAGCGGCAGTGGGGGCAGCTGCTGAGGCCCATGCCCAGCACAGGGCATGGAGGGGCACCGCCTCCCTCTTTGTGAGCAGCTGTCAAATCAGCAAGCAGAGTGGCCTGATCAGACCACAGTTTGAGATCTTTTCTCCTGCTTATAAAAAAAAAATTGATTTTATTCAGGTATAAGTGTTACAGCTGCCATTTGCATGTCATGTTATCCCAAGAGAGTAAGCAGTTGCCGTTGTTCAGTTGCTAAGTCTTGTCTGACCCTTCGTGATCCCAGGAACTGCAGCACGCCAGGCTTCCCTGTCCTTCACCATCTCCCGGAGCTTGCTCAAACTCGTGTCCATTGAGTTGGTGATGCTGTCCAACTATCTCATCCTCGTCGTCCCCTTCTCCTCCTGCCTTCAGTCTTTCCCAGCCTCAGGGGCTTTTTCAATGAGTTGACTCTTTGCATCATGTGGCCAAAGTATTGGAGCTTCAACTTCAAAATCAGTCCTTCCAATGAATATTCAGATTTGATTTCCGTTAACAGAACTTCCACTTGGCTAAAGTTCCATTTCTGTGTTTCAGGTTAATCAGAAGAAGGAATATAAATTTGACCTGGTGTTCACCACAGAATTCTACAGCACAGAGGTAAGCTGCCATGGTTCAGGAAGTGTCCCATTAACAATTTTTATGGATTTTTTTTTTTTTTTTAAGTGAGAATCTCAGTATTGGGTTGGCCAAGGAGTTCATCTGGAGTTTCCCATAATATATTACAGGAAAACCCAAACAAACTTCTTGATCAAACCTGTACACGTGACCTGGAGGTTTACTTTTGTGTGTGTGTGTGTTTTCCCCTCCTGCTTTGCTTTCTATTTGCTCTCAAGAATTGAAGACTAGAGTTTGGCAGGACAGCTTCATGACCTTAAACAGGGTTGCTTTTAAAAACAGTCCACGTGGCCATCTTTGTCGCTAGGAGGGTGTTTCACACTCTGGCAGCCGCTGCCCCTCCCTCCCGCCTCAGAATCCCTGGAGTGACTCACTCCAAAATGCCAGCCTGCTCTTTCCTGTCCGCTGGTGACATTTCTCGTTAGTGGGCTGGCGTGGCAGGAGGCCACCGCCAGGAGCTTCCTTCAACAGAGGGATTCTGTAGCCCAGAGCAGCCTGTCACGCCGCAGGCACCTGCAGCCTCTCCAGTTGTGACCCAGCAGGCCGTGATTCTCCAGGTGTCCTTTCCGCTGCTCTCAAGAAGAGTAAACAGGAGATTCAGACAGAAATCAGAGCCGGATGAACTTCGCAGTGCTGGGCCGGGCTGGAGGCATCAGCCAAACCTGGGTGGAGGGACCAGCCCAAACCCTGCTATGTGGCACTGGGTCAGGGCCGCAGGGGTGGGCAGGCAGCATCAAGGTGTCTCAGGCAGAGCTTCAGAGAAGGCGGGACCCCTCCAGTGGATGCTTCTGGAAGAAAGCTTGACTGGACAACAGTACGCCAACGTGGCTTATTAACCTAAGAAGTAACATTTTCTTAAAGCATAGGAAGGTGCTTTTGGTTTCTGCGTTGCCAGTGGAGGTGTTCTTTAAAGTGAAAGGGAAAATGACCACTAGATTATTTTGACCTACTGTGCTCCTCTGAAGGGCATGGCGAGCTAATTGACAGGGTGAGGAGAGTTCTTTCATCTTCAGGCAACTGCTTTGATTCTGTGGGGCCAACTGAGCTGGGGTGGGGGGGGGGGACAAAAGGGGACAACTCCCATTTCCTTTCCCCTGCCTTGGAAATAGCTTTGACATCAAAAGAGCCACGTGCCAGCCCTGTCTTTTGCCCTTGATAAGCCTCTTCCGGAATGCTGCCTTTACCGTTTCCCTGTATGCCACTGATGATTAGGAAAGCCTATTGCAGTTTTTGTGGGAGTTTTGGCTTTAGTTCCAGGAGGAGGCTTCTTAGGTAGATCCAATCTTGATTACAATTTGTTTGTGGGCTTTTTTTTTTTTTTTTTGGTTGTTTTAACTGGGACTCCACACAGTTCAAATGACTGTAAAAAGGAAAAGAATTTAGTTGGTCAAGCTACCAAGTTGTTACAGGAGTTAACTCGGGCCATGAACTTCCTCAAATCAAAGGCCCAGTGGATGGTTTGAGCGAACATGCATTTTTCTGGGAAGCGGTTCCTTGGCTTTTATTGTTAGATTAAGGCATCAGTGACCTAAAAGGGTAAAGAACCGTCCCAGAAATGAGTCGTGCACTTGATGTCTACTTAAAGCATCCAGCTACCCAGCTCCATGTGTCTCTGGGTTGGAAAGTTAAGTGAGGGAGATCCCAGAACACTCAGCGTGTCTAGGTTTCACTATGAGTATAAGCCGACAGCCCTCGGTCATGTGGATACTTGGAGCAGCCCCACTGGGGTGGTTGGTGTCTCTGCTTCTCTCAGATTAGGTCTCGGGGCTCTCACAGAGCTAGGGCCCCGGCATCACAGACACAGCTCAGGTCCTGGCTGACCACTTATTAGCTGTGGCACGTGGAGGAGGTTCCTCTTTAAACGTCACTCTTAATCTGTAAAATTGGAGTAAGAGGACCAGACTCATCAGGCAGCATGATGGTATTGTCACTTGTGTTCATGGAGATCCGCGTCCTCTTGGTCAAAGTTTGCAAGCTTGAGTTCCAGCTGAGCGTTACATTGGTCCCAGAGAGGAAAGTACCTGTCCTAGAGTTTTGAGTTGAGCAGCACTCACAGCTGTCAATGAGTATTTCTTTGGGAAAAGGCCCAGCCTGCTTTCCTAAGCGCACCATCAGAAAGCAGGAATTTAAAAGACAGCAAAGGCTGAAGATGGTTGTGTTCAGTGTGAGCCCCCAAATCACACTCTGCAAAGCAGACCACTACATGTGCATGCCAGGGCGTGCCTGCCAGGTACAGACGCTCCCCAGTCTTGTGTTTGTACGTTGGGCTGGGTGGGACGTGATGAGGAACCATCTCTTGTAATTTCAAAATTTTTATTTCAGGAAGATGAGAAACGTCTGGGACAATGTTCTGCTCAAGTATTTTTCAGGAATGAGAAGCCCAGACCAGCCGTTAATGTGACGTGTAGTCAGCTCATTAAGAAGGAGAAGAGACAGGAAGAGGATTACCATCTCTACAAGCTCATGAAGCAGCTTAAAAGCCCCTTGAACGCAGTCAGCATTCCTGGTATGTACCCATCTCTGGAATTTCTATATTCAGGAGCCTGTGTCATTACTAAGTCTCAAGAAGAATGATCATGTAAAAATTTATTTCCCAAATGGCACTTTAACGACAGAAGGTGGTTTGCCTCATTATTTAAACAAAATTCAGAAGTATCCTTTTCCGGTTCTCCTCCTCCAGTACAAGATAGTGACTCCATCCCAGACGGGGGCGGGGCAAGAGCTCGACTCCAAAAGAGGTGGAGGTCTTTGTAACAGGACCCACACGCAGAGGTGCAGTTTTCAGGGTTGAGTCCAGGAGCCGAGGAGATGTTTCTAGAGGTTTCTGGTGGTGGCTTTGGGGACTTAAAGTGATGAGACCCCATCCAGGGCCTTGGCTATGCCCAGCATCGTGTTCTGCACCAGGGCTGGGCGAGCCGACTGTCTTGGGGCCTTGCTGGGAGGCTGTAGTGGAGTCGAGCTGATCTCATTTTAGGTCCAGAGCTAATGGGCAGTGGTGCCGTCTCTTCTAAGAAATGAACCTTGCTTCTCAAGTGACTCAGCTGAAGTGAAGCAGAGCCCATTTGCTCTGGCACTGAGAGACCCAGCACTTACGGCAAATCCAATTTCCAAAACCACAGAGTCATCCCTGCACCTGTACTTGGGCATTAGACTTGACATCTGGCCACGGTGCTCCCTGTCTCTCTCTCTCAGTGTGCTCACTTGCCGGGAGGCTGTGAGAGGCCCCGTTTCAGCGTGGAGGCCCTGCAGTCTCCATTCATTGCTGCATCTGTGTCCCTCCATTACGGGGCCGAGTGTTCTGACAGACCTGGAGGTAGGATCCTGCTCTTTGCGCTTCTCAAATGCAGAGCCTGGATCATTCTCATTATAGGTCTCTGACAACTTGGATTAAATCCTGTTCCAAAGAATCAGAATCTCATACTGTAGTAGAACTTGCTTATATTTAACTGCCTGAAATAAGGGGGCAATGACTAATACTTACAATCTAGTTACTTGGGGATTGATCCCCTCCTTAACTAAATGCAAGTGGGAAGAAAGGGGGGCTTCCCAAGTGGCGCTAATGGTAAAGAACCCACCTGCCAATGCAGGAGACATAAGAGATGCAGGTTCGACCCCTGGGTCAGGAAGATCCCCTGGAAAAGGAAATGGCAACCCATTCCAGTCTTCTTGCCTGGAGAATCCCATGGACAGAGGAGCCTGGCAGGCTGCAGTCCCTAGGGTCGCAGAGAGTCGTACATGGCTTAGTGACGTAGCACACACCCCTCCTTAGCATTGGCTGGGGAAATGTGGTTTTATATATTCCTCTTAAAACACAAATTTTTAGAAATCATTTTGGACCTTCTCTTTTAAATATTTATTTACCACAGGATTTCTAGATTTTGGACACTTTTTAATAGTACAGATTAAAAGTCCTGTATGCCCACAAGGATCATTCTATAATAATATACCAACATGTTGCTACGAAGATTCAGATAATTTAATGGAGTGTATGTTTTTATCAATGAAATCTACAAGTTCTCTTGTCACTTTAAATTCAGCAGAGACATTTAATGGTGCTATTTATAGCCTGTATATATAAAATTATCTACTTACAACTGAAAAGGTTTGGTTTTGGATAAAGTGAATTAAAATCCATTTTGGAGTAGGCAATGCAACTCTCAGCAGATCCCATTATTTAATTAACCCAGGGTTTTTGACTGTTGAGCAGTTTTCTCTACAATTGGTGAGTGAGAAGATTGAATCCATTTTATGATATCCTTGCTCTGCACTGTTTTTCCCTTAAAAAGTAATTGTCTAGTTTTCATTATGAGTAAAAAATTTCACCTTTTCTAATAAGTTCATAAACTTCCTATAGATGAGCCCAATATGTTACATATAAAAGACTGGGGAATAACCAGCTAAAGTCCAGAGTGACTGCATCAGTGCTACTGAATGCATGATGGACACAAATTCAGTTGTCCTCACTATTCGCAGTATTTTGTATAACTGATTTTTCTTCTGTGGTTAATTTGTTTTGATCTCAAGATGTAAACTCATAGTGGCACTGTAAGATGAAGGAAGTCTGTCACTTTCTCACATGCGTGTGCGCACACACATGACAAGAATTCAAGGCTCAGCTCAAGTCTCATCTCTGTGATATTTTCCCCAACTTCTTCAGCCAGAGAAACCTCCCTGTTCCCTGTGCCCTCCTCTCCTCTCTAATCTTCCCTCTTAAGAAAGGTATGTCAGCTGCCTTTCCACACTGTCAAGAAGAGGGGGGTAGGGTCTCTCTTTGTATTGCCCACAGCACCCAAGCAATCAATGAATGCCTTCTGAACTGATACCATTATAAAGCAACCCAGTCAAGTTCTACCAACACAGAGCAGAATTTATGCAAAAGGATTATTTTACCAAGAAGGGTTCATTTCCTAAGTAAGCTGTTAGTATTCCTCACATATTAAACTATTGGGCTGTAATACAGACCAGGAATATCTCTTTCAAACTACAAAAATGATGGTCCATGGACAGCTCATAAATAACTTGCTAAAATTAGAGTTCCAAAAAGTCACAAAAGAGAATTAGTCATTGTTTCCCTACCCATCCCAGTATCTGACATTAAGTAATTTTTTTAAAATAAATGCTGAATTAAAAAGATTACAGTTCCAAAGACAATACCACAGGAAAAACCCACTTGATTTTTTTCATTTGGTCAAAAAAAAAAAAAAAAAAAGGTGACAGATGCTGCCACTGATTGGCTTTAACGCCTAGGATCAGAGAAGGACAAAGACATTTGCTAGATTGGTGAAGGCCAGCACATTCACTGTAGAACAAAAGTAGAAAGGGATGTGGAGAATATAACTGATAGGTATTCCCATCTAATTAAAAGATTGAAGATTTTTAGGTTAATCATTACCACTCTTAGTTTGCATTTATGTAATACAGCAAATGGCCCTTAAACTGTTTTATAGTAGCTTTTTACCTACCAGGCAAGTTGAAGCATGTAAACCTCTATACAGTGTAGACACAGATACGAGTCCTGTTTGACTATGAAACTTCTAAGATTTTGTCCTATAAATGTCTTGACACGCATGTACTTTTTTGCCCCTTCAGACAGTCATGGATATATTGCTCCGTCTCTGCGGCCCATCTGGGACCTAGCTTTTCTGGGCAGCTCCTACGTGATGTGGCAAAAGACAACACCGTTTCTCCAGTACTACATGTCCCAGATTAGCAGTGTCAAGCAGTGGGTAAGAAAGACAAAAAACTGGTTACCCGAGGGATGCAACCAGTGCAATGTTCTTAGACAAAATTAATATGAGTTTCTAGATTTGTGGCAAGAGTTTTAACTGCATTTCATTACTCGATAAATACGTGAATGTCAGATACTCGTTTGAGGACTGAGGATAATAGCAGCGAACAAAAGACTCACATGTAGCTGTCTGTATTGGGACTCATTCTAGCGAGAGAGGACGGTGAACCAATAAACAAGAAAATGTGCATCAGATGGTGATAAGGACTCTGGAGAAAAATAAAGTAGGGAGAAGGGAATGTGGGGTGTTGGGAGAATTATACTTTAGTCTAAAGTCAGGCCCCTCTAATTTGAGCAGAGGTCCAGGAGAAGTGAGAGCCAGCCATGCCTCCAGAAGAGAGGGGGCTTCAGGCAGAGGGACCTGAGGCCACAGTGTGGCTGATAGGCTGGATGAGTCCACACAAGCCCGGGAGGCCACCAGAAGGACCTTGTCATTTACTTAGCACAGGGTTTTTTTTAGCAGAAGAGTGACAATCTGACTTCCAGATTGGATCGTTTTGGCTGCTGTGTTGAGAACAGGCTAGACAGACAAGGGTGGAAGCAGGCAGAACAAGAGAGTATTGCAGTGACCTCGGCAAAGTCTGCTGGTGACTTGGACCAGGATGTCAGCTGTGGAGGTGGTGAGAAGCATTTGGATTCTGAAGACAGACTAACAGTATTTGTTGATGGGCTGAATGTGGAATGTCCGACAATGAGAAAAGTTGAGGATGAGTCTTAGGATTTGGCATGAATAACCGGAAAGCTACTTTTCATTTACAGAACAGATTTGGGTAGAAATTAGCTTGATTTGGGGCATTCTAAATTCCAAGTGGAGCATTTGGATAGTCCTCTGAACGTAAGAGTCTGAAGTTCAGGGGCAAGGTCTGGGTTGGTGTCAACAATACATTGTTGCTTAGTCACTCAGTTGTGTCTGATTCTGCAACCCTACAGACTGCAGCACACCAGGTTTCCCTGTCTTTCATCATCTCCTGGAGCTTGCTCCAACTCATGTCCATTGAGTCAGTGATGCCATCCTACTATCTTGTCCTCTGTCGTCCCCTTCTCCTCCTGCCTTCAGTCTTTCACAGCATCAGGGTCTTTTCTACTGAGTCATCTCTTTGCATCAGTCCTTCCAATGAATATTCAGGACTGATCTCCTTTAGGACTGACTGGTTTGATTTCCTTGCAGTCCAAAGGATTCTTAAGACTCTTCTCCAACACCACAGTTCAAAAGCATCAATTCTTTGGTGCTCAGCTCTCTTTATAGTCCAACTCTCACATCCATACATGGCTCCTGGAAAAGCCATAGCTTTGACTAGATGGAACAATGTTGGCAAAGTAATGTCTCTGCCTTTTAACACGCTGTCTAGGTTGGTCATAGCTTTTCTTCCAAGGAGCCAGTGTCTTTTAGTTTCATGGCTGCAGTCACCATCTGCAGTGATTTTTGAGCCCTAGAAAATAAAAGTCTGTCATTGGTTCCATTGTTTCTCCATCTGTTTGCCATGAAGTGATGGGCCCAAACACCCTGATTTTCGTTTTTTGGATGTTGAATTTTAAGTCAATTTTTCCACTCTTCCCTTTCACTTTCATCAAGAGGCTCTTTAGTTCCTCTTCACTTTGTACCATAAGAGTGGTGTCATTTGTGTATCTGAGGTTATTGATATTTCTCCTAGCAATCTTGATTCCAGCTTGTGCTTCCTCCAGCCCAGCACTTCTCATGATGTACTCTGCATATAAGTTACATAAGCAGGGTGACAAGATACAGCCTTGACGTACTCCTTTCCCAATTTGGAACCAGTCCATTGTTCCATGTCTGGTTCTAACTGTTGCTTCTTGGCCTGCATACAGATTTCTGAGGAGGCAGGTGAGGTGGTCTGGTATTTCCATCTTGTTAAGAATTTTCCAGTTTGTTGTTGTGATCCACATAAAGGCTTCAGTGTAGTCATTGAAGCAGTAGTAGATGTTTTTTTGAAATCCTCTTGCTTTTTCTACGATGCAGTGAATGTTGGCGATTTGATTTTTTGTTCTTCTGCCTTTTCTAAATCCAGCTTGAACATCTGGAAGTTCTCCGTTCATGTACTATTGAAGCCTGTCTTGGAGAATTTTGAGCATTACTTTGCTAGCCTGTGAAGTGAGTGCAATTGTGTAGTAGTTTGAACATTCTTTTGCATTGTCCTTCTTTGGGATTGGAATGAAAACTGACCTTTTCCAGTCCTGTGGCCACTGCTGAGTTTTCCAAATTTGCTGGCATATTGAGTGCAGCACTTTCATAGCATCATCTTTCAGGATTTGAAATAGCTCAACTGGAATTCCATCACCTCCACTAGCTTTGTTCGTAGTGATACTTGTTAAGGCCCACTTGACTTCGCATTCCAGGATGTCTGGCTCTAGGTGAATGATCACACCATCATTATTATCTGGGTCATGAAGATTTTTTTGTATAGTTCTGTGTATTCTTGCCACCTCTTCTTAATATCTGTTTCTGTTAGGTTCATACCATTTCATTCCTTTATTGTGCCCATCTTTGCATGAAATGTTCCCTTGGTATCTCTCATTTTCTTGAAGAGATCTCTAGTTTCCTATTCTATTGTTTTCCTCTATTTCTTTGCATTGATCACTTAGGAAGCCTTTCTTATCTCTCCTTGCTATTTGGAACTCTGCATTCAGATGGATGTATCTTCCCTTTTCTTCTTTGTCTTTTGCTTCTCTTCTCAGCTATTTGTAAGGCTTCCTCAGATAACCCTTTTGCCTTTTTGCATTTTTTTCTTGGGGATGGTTTTGATCACTGCCTCCTGTAGTGTTATGAACCTCCGTCCATAGTTCATCAGGCACTCTGTCTAGCAGATCTAATCCCTTGAATCTGTTTGTCACTTGCACTGTATAATCATAAGGATTTGATGTAGGTTATATCTGAATAGCCTAGTAGTTTTCCCTACTTTCTTCAATTGAAGTCTGAATTTTGCAATAAGGAGTTCATGATCTGAGCCACAGTCAGCTCCTGGTCTTGTTTCTGCTGACTGTATAGAGCTTCTTCATCTTTGCTGCAAAGAATATAATCAGTCTGATTTCGGTGTTGACCATCTGGTGATGTCCATGTGTAGAGTCCTCTGTGTTGTTGGAAGAGGGGGTTTGCTATGACTTGTGCATTCTCTTGGCAATACTGTTAACTTTTGCCCTGCTTCATTGTATACTCCAAGGCCAAACACAACATAGATGTCTTTTAAAGCCACAAGAGTGGATAAGATCAGAAAATGAATGTAGACAGAGAAAGGTCATGAAAGGATTGAGTCCTGGAACACTTCTAAGTTTAAAAGTTGGAGATAGTAGAAAAAAAAGTCTTTCAAGAATGAGGGCTGATTGTTTCAAATGTTCCTGGGAAGTCAAGGAAGATGAGGACCAAGAATTGGCCATTTGATATAGGCAGTTGGCAAGCTCATCAAGAGTTGTCTCACTGGCACAGTGTGGGTGAAATGCTGACTGGAGCAGGGCAAGCAAAGAATGGGAGTGGAATGGACACTCCCTGTCTCAAGGAATTTAGCTATAAAGGGGAATTTTTAAAAAAGAGAGACTGGCACTGTAGGGTGGGTCACGCGGGTTTTCTGTTGTTTTCAGGCTGGGAGATTTAGCAACATATTTGTATGTTGATGAGAAAAATCCAGTAGAGAGGGGTGAAGTAGGACTTGTAGGGAAGAGAAGGAAGACTTGATGGAGTTAGTGTCTTTGCAGAGATACAGATCACTGTGGATTGCTATCAGTGAGTATCTTCTGAGGACAAGGATTTGCCCAGCATCCAGTCAGCATTATTGCCAGTAAGAGCTTGGTGTGCCTATCAAAGGTCACTTGTAAAGCAGACAACTGTTTGAAATGTGTTTTACTTATTGAAATGAACACATTTTTTCCCCCTATAGAGCACTTTTTAATAGAGATGACCGTTTAATTGAGAGTTGTTACATTAGGGGTCTGGATACAGCACTAAATCTTTTGTCAGGTCAGTTTCTCTCATCTACCAAGTCAGTCATATCCTTAACACAAGACTTTAACTGAGAAGTCAGGGGAAATTTTTTGTTTAGTGTAGAAAATGGTGTCAAAGTAATAGAAATAATTTTAATGAGTGTCAGAGGAAAACTCAACAGGAATAAAATAACAGAGACAAAACAGAAAAAAATAGTATCTTTTAATGGCAGTGTTTTCCATTTTTTGCATTTGTCCATCTCACATCACCAAAGTCATCACCAGTTTTTGCTGTGGTTCAAAAACAGCAGCTCCATTCTAGCCAGTCTCGATGTCTATCATCTGTCCATCAATATCCCTCAACTAGCCTGCAAAGTGGGAAAGTGGGGACAAATGTAACTGTAGGGTTAGGAAAATCAAATGCAGGGGGAGAATGGTCACTGAGTAGTTTTAGATTTTTACTCTGTGGTATTTGGGTTTTAGATAAATAATAATTGAATGTGCAACTGCTTGCTGGGTCACCTAAGGCAAATCACTTCTCTTAGGACTATGAAATGAAGATTAATAAGCTTACTGAAGCTAACATAAATCTAAATACTGAAGCAACTGGGAAATTTGGTTTAAGGTTGATAGCATTTCAGAGTTGTTGTTGCTTCGCTGAGTTATATCTGACTCTTTTGTGACTCTCTGGACTGTAGCCTGCCAGGTGCCTCTGTCTGTGGAATTCTCCAGGGAAGAATACTGGAGTGGGTTGCCATTAATTTCTCTAGGGGAATCTTCCTAACCCAGGGATTGAACCCTTGTCTCTTGCTTGGCAGGTGGATTGTTTACCATGAGCCACCTGGGAAGCCCACATTTCAGATCAGAGTTATCTTTTTACAGGTAGTCTCCCATGCAAGTGCTAACTGGGCCTGACCCTTGTTAGCTTGGCTTCCAAGATTAGCGTTCTCTTGAAGAAAAGTATGCACAAACCCTCATAGATTTTCAAATTCTGCTATTTGGTAGCCAGTAAAGACTTTTTTGATCTTTCAGAAAAAGAAAGAAAGAAAGAAAAAAAAAACCCAGCAAGAAGCAAAACAAGCAACGATTTTTTTAAAAAGGTCACCAAGATCAGAAAGTCTCGGGACTGTCCCTAGGAGACTAGAGCCAGAAAGGCAGGGCTGACAAAGCCAAGACAGAGAAGCAAGGAGTGACTGGAGGGGCCCCGTGGCCCAAGGTAGCTCAGGAAACTATAAGGGTTATCGTTTTTCTGAAAGCTTTCTGGGTGGGAACTACTATCTGTACACGCAGGGATAAGCTCACCTTTTAATCCAATTGTGTAAGGAAGTGCAGCTTTAGAAACTCACAGCCTCACGAACACAGCCTGGGAGAAGAGTGGGCTAAGAAAGCCGAACTACAAATTTAAGATCCATCTTACTGGCAGCCACTGCCTTACAACTGGAGAACAGATGTCATTCTCAGACCATGAGGACTAAACCAAGGGTAGGGGAAATACCTGTTGACTAGAGAGAAAAAAAGATACAGACCTTACTGACATCCTTAGCCTTTGATGTGAATTGAGAAAAGTAAAGCTGTTACTTTTCTAGCATTGTTCCAAATGATATTAGTACTAGCTACTGTCAGCACCTCAAACCACCTAACCAGTAGCAATCAGTCCGTCAGTACAGGTCTTCACCCTAACTAGAGGCCCCCATTGGCCAACAACAGTATATTACAGAAACCATCTTACCTACCTTATTTATTCCGCTAAGAAAACCACTACTGACTTAAAGACACCATAAAAACCCTTGAAAAGAACGCAGGCAAAACATCCTCTGGTAAAAGTTGTAGCAAAAACTTCTTCGGTCAGTCTCCCAAGGCAACAGAAATAAAAGCAAAAATAAATAATTGGGACCTAATCAAACTGAAAAGCTTTTACATAGCAAAGGAAACCATAAACAAAATGACAACCTATGGAATGGGAGAAAATATCTGCAAGTGATGCAACTGACAAGGGCTTCATTTCTAAAATGTACAAACAGTTCATATAACTCAATATAAAAAAACATCCCAAGCAAAAAATAAGCAAAGGAGCTAAATAGACATTTCTCCAAGGAGGACACACAGATGGCCAACAGGCACGTGAAAAGATGCTCAATACTGCTAAGTGATTAGAGAAATGCAAATTAAAACTACGGTGAGGTACCACCTCACACTGGTCAGAATGGCCATCATATTTTAAATGTCTACAAATAGAAATTCTGGAGACTTGGAGAAAAGGAAACCTCCTAAAACTGCTGGTGGGAATGTAAGTTGATTCAGCCATTGTGGAAAACAGTATGGAGGTTCCTTAGAAAACTAAGGAATAGAAAACTAAAAATAGAATTGCCATATGGTCCAGCAGTTCCACTCCTGGATATATATCCTGAGAAAACCATCATCTGAAAAGATACTCATGTTCACAGCAGCATTATTTACAATATAGCCAAGACATGGAAGCAACCTAAAATGTCCATCAACAGATGAATAGATAGAGGATGTAGTATAGATACACAGTATTACTCAGCCATAAAAAAGAAATTGTGCCATTGGTAGCTTCATGGATGGACCTAGAGATTATCATACTAAGTGAAGTCACTCAAATACCATACAATATCACTTATATGTCAGATCTAAAGTATGATACAAATGAACTTATTTACGAAACAGAAACAGACTCATAAACATAGAAAACAAACTTACAGTTAGGGGAAAAGGGGTAGGGGAGGGGTAAATTAGCAGATACAAACTGCTCTGTGTAAAATAACCAAGGACCTCCTGTAACCTAGGAAAAAGAATGTGTATAACTGAGTCGCCACTGTACACAGAAACTAGCAACACTGTAACTCAGCTACACTTCAATTAAGAAAAACAACTTTGACAGCATATACTAATAACCTAAGCCTACTTATTCTCTACTAAAACCACACTGGTTCTGCTAGGGATCATTCCTTTTTTAGAGGGGAGCAGAGCAGTAGCGGGTAGGGTGGGTCATGAGTAAGGAAACCAGACACTTCAGGTCTGTCTCTAGGAAGATTACAGAGCCGAGTTATCAGAAGAATGTGACAGTAGATCATCAGTTTGGACTAAGGTTTTGATATGTGATGATTTGAACAAAACTAAGGGATTATTTCTCAATAAAATTAAAAATGATGGCTTCCTGGCAGGCAGAGCCTTGGTGTGGGCAGTGCACCCTGGATACTTTGCCAGGTTCATGGACGTGCCATGTCTGGGCTGCGGTTCTTTAATAAGCCTAGCTTTCAGTTTGGTCTAAGGGTGCTTCCTCCTGGAGGAGGAAGCATCTATAAAAACATGTGTTTCAATAACTTAATTAAGGAAAGTCTTAATTAAATGTAGAGTGTCCAAGCATTACAATAACCCAAATGTTTGTTTGGATTAATTGGAATGCCATCATTTATTTCAGGCCTTTTCCTGTTTTGCCTTAAATCTGGAGAGTGCCACGGTTTCCTTCAGAAATGCTATTTTCAAAAACAAAGAGGCACTGCCCTGAAAACATACATATAAGATCAATTTTTTTTCTTTTTTTAATTATTTAAATTGGAGGCTAATTACTTTACAATATTGTAGTGGTTTTTGCCATACACTGACATGAATCAGCCATGGGTGTACATGTGTTCCCCATCCTGAACCCCCTAGACCAATTTTTTTTAACTGTAGAAATACATGGTAAGCAGATCTTTTTTTTTTAATGTATTCAAAGATAAGCTTTATTCCAATGTTTACATAAAAATGAGTTGATGTCAAACAGGAAAATGTTTTTATAAAGGGTTAAAATTTATCAAACAACAGAATTTGGTCCTTCCCTTTAGTTTGAATTCAACTGGCTGACGCATCATTATTAGTATCTGCCCTCACTAATCATTTTCATCACACACAATATCTAAGTGTCTTTGGATGGCACTTCCTATTTCTCTGGAAGTCTCTTAACTGCTTTCAGTTACAAGAGAAGAGCAAGGATTTTATCGGCTCATACTCTACTCCACTGGAGGCAAAGATACACCCCTCAATTCTCTTGTTTAAATTGTGGCTGTTGGCAAAGTGTCCAAATGAAGGATTTAAGGCTAACACACAAAGAACATAGTATAATCTATGTATAACAGTAACTTTGCTTCAAATTTTTTCTATTAAGAATTATTTCTATTATCTCTCCACAAGGAAGTTATAAAAATACCTGTAAAAACATTGAAAAGGCTCTTTAAAATCCTGGAATGAAAAATTCTGAAGTATAAATTATGATACATCTTCTATAATTTGCAAATAAAGAATAAAATAAATTCTACAAGTTGGAATTTCTGAATGATTTTGGCAGGAATTTACCAGAAGGAGCCAGAACATCAAACCTTAACAATTTTCTATTTTCATCCCAATTGAGTTTTTGAAAAGCTGTATAATCTGTTGACAGGTATAGTCCACATACGAACTTGCTTCTGCTGTTAATGATGAAGTCAATCTGAAGGACAGAGATTTGTATGCTGGATGCGTCAGGCTATTCCATGCAACTGACTGGTCTTCTCTTATTTTTTCCATCATGTTTTAAATAAAAGTAAATATATATATGGTAAAAAATTTAAATGGTACAAGAAGATTTAAAATAATCAGTGAATATCCTTTTTGCCCATAACCTAGAAAATCTGATGTCTTCCAAATCATCAGTCACATGAATAATTTGCAAAGTGAAGTCAACCTTAGTGTCTCATCATCTGAAAATTAATCTCAGGATTTCTGGAATGTGTTGCTTCTCTCATATATTACCTCTGTTACAGAGGATAGCCATGCAGTCTTCTTCTAAAAAATAACTACGAAAGCAACTCGCACGCTCTGCTCCAAGAGAGCAAGGCCAGGCAACACCTTGTACTGCGTGGATCTGGCCCTGGCTACAGGCAGAGGCTCTGGTATCAACCAGAGACTCGGGCGCGTGGCCAGAGCTCAGCCAAGCCCTTCCTGAATGCCTCGGATCCTCCGGGCCAGCTGCACATCCTTCGGGAAAAGCGTGATGCGGCCGGTGTGTAAGGAGAGGAGATAGGCATCCTCAAAGAGATGAACTGGAAACGCTTCTGCTGCCAGGCGGCAGAAGGGGGTCTTTCTTAACAGCAGGTGTGTGGTCTTCTGAAGAGTTCGTATCTCCTTCAGGATTCTGTATCTCCGGCGAGCAGGTGAACGGGAGGCCGTACCTCACAGACAGGCTGCAGGCAGGCCGGCTCGGAGGAAAAGGGATCGTGGCGGGTTACCTAAGGACGGAGCTGGCCGGCGTGCGGCGGGAGCCGGGCTCGCGGGGCGCCTCCTTGGTGTTTCGGGCTTGCGGCTCCGGCGCGGGCCCATGGCGGGCGCGCAGGGCTGTGGCCCCGCGGCTCCTTCTAGATCTTCTAGGTCCGGGGATAGAGGCTGGGAGGGCCGGGACGACCCGGCCGCGTGCCCTGGCTGGGTGCTGTCGGTAAGCAGATCTTGAGAAATGCAGGCAGAAGTCTGAGATAAGAATTACACAGCACAGCAGCCAGCTGTGTCAATAGAACCCAAGGTCAAGATCGCCACCAAATGAGTCAAACAGGCTAAATCCACCCCCAAAGCCAGCAACGCCCAACCGACAGCTGGAGCCTCCAGAAGCTGTTCTTTATAGAAAAGACACTACATGTTCTCCTAGGGATTCTCTGACTGTGCAGTCTGTCTTTGGATACGTGCGTTCACCATTCATGGGTACACTGCTCGGCAGAACGTAAACCTACCCAATGATGAAAAGCACCACAGAAAAGCAGTTGATTTGTGATTGATCCAGGCCCACTCTTTTCACCTTATTCCTCCCCCTCCCTTTCTCCACCTGATGGAAATTTCGTGGCTTGTAAAAAATCTTCATCAGTGTAAGCAAAGGGAAGACAGAATGTAGTATCAAGTCCTTTTTGTTTGTTTTTGCTTTTTCATATTCTTAGTCTGAATGAAAACCTGGTGGATTAAAATCACAATCCAAATTAAATATTTCTTCCATTTTTTAACTAAAGGGATAAGCTCTTTTGCAGTCCAAGCAGTTACTGTCAAAAAACAGGAAATTGATTTAGTCACTCATAACATTTATAAAAATCAAATGAATAAAATAGATGTGGGAGACTGCCTGCTTACCTGGAAAATGTGCTGGTTTTAGAAGCAGTGTGGTACAACATGAAGGATGTGGGTGGTGGGGTCCATAGATTTATCTGGGTTTGAATCCCCATTTATCACCTACTAGCTGTAACCTCTGAAAAAGGCAATGGCATCCCCACTCCAGTACTCTTGCCTGGAAAATCCCATGGACGGAGGAGCCTGGTAGGCTGCAGTCCATGGGGTCGCTAGGAGTCGGACACGACTGAGCGACTTCTCTTTCACTTTTCACTTTCATGCATTGGAGAAGGAAATGGCAACCCACTCCAGTGTTCTTGCCTGGAGAATCCCAGGGACGGCGGAGCCTGGTAGGCTGCCGTCTATGGGGCCGTACAGAGTCGGACACGACTGAAGTGACTTAGCAGCGGCAGCAGCTGTAACCTCAAGTTACCTTCCCTATAAAACAGGGGCTTACCTGGTTGCTCAGATGGTAAAGAATCTGCCTGCAATGCAGGAGATCCAGGTTTGATCCCTGGGTTGGGAAGGTCCTCTGGAGAAAGGAATGGCAACCCAGTCCAGTACTCTTACCTGGAAAACCCCACGGACAGAGGAGCCTGGTGGGCCACAGTCCAGGGAGCCGGACACGACTGAGCGACTACCATTACCATAATACATATTCTTGCAGGACAGGAGAACTCCATGAGAAAATGTATGAAATGCCTAGCACAGGACTTGGCCACAGTGGCCTTCTAGAAATCCTGGTTGCCCTGCCCTTGTCTTAACTGCCTGGCATAGCAGGTCTACATATCAGCTTGAGGTGCATGAGTATCATTAGATTCTCCCTATCTCATAGACCTTAGTCTCCATCAAAACCTGTAAGTATTAAAGAGAAAAAGTGATAGAAAGATCTTACTAGATTTTCCTGACTTGGTGGCAAAACAGTAGGAATCCATGACTTACATATCTTGATGTAGGATAGCACCAAAGGAGATGAGGCTAGACTCAAAGAGGTGGCAGGTGATTCAAGGCACCCATTGAAGAAGTTACGTAAGATGAGCCTTCCAAATTCTGAGCTAATATAAACCTATCCTATCTATTGCACTAATTCTTTTTTCTTCTTCTAGAAAACAAATGATGATGCAATTGATTTTGATTATACTGTTCTACTCCATGAATTCTCAACACAGGTAAAATATAATGGTACATAGAATTGCTTAAACTGGAAGTTTTGGCAGGTCATGATATTTTAGAACTCTTGTTCCCCAGGAAATTATTCCCTGCCGTATTCACTTGGTCTGGTACCCCAGCAAACCACTGAAAGTGAAGTACCACTGTCAAGAGCGACAGACACCAGAAGAAGCCTCTGGAACTGAAGACGGATCAGCTATGGCACTGACGGAGCTTAGTAATTTCTGAAAAGCAAGAAAAATCTGTCTGTACCACATTCTAAACAAAATGACTGTACTCTGCATTAAATAGCCTAAATCATTATTCTAGTAAAACAGCGACGTATAAGGGAATATAATAATTTAGGAAAGCCTGTGATTACAAATAAATATTCAAACATTAAAACATATTGGGATTTTCATTTCTTGATGGGCATGGTTTAGTTTTAACTCTGGAAACAGGTGCGTACTCAACTCTGCCCAGTGACCCCACAGGTTCCTCTGGGTTTCAGCCCCAAAGTATAAAATCTAGTTAATTAGTATATACCACAGCTGGACTGATAAGTATTTATAACAAAACTGATGGTTGCATCTCTAAATCTGCATTTCTCAGTAGTTTTAACATACTGTAGGTAACTAATTTGTATTGTTAAATTGCTTCTATCTAGTATGTGAAAAAGATATTTCAATGAAAGCAAATCATAGGGAAAATATTACCCTATTTTAAGGGTAACTTAAAAACAATTACTATTTTTTATGATTTCAAGCAAGTATTCTTTTTAAATTTTAAAATAAATGTTTGTCCCTAAATGTGTCTATATAAGCAAACTTTGTGCTAAGCTGGGATTCAGTGAGTTCAGTCACTCAGTCGTGTCCAACTCTCCATGACCCCATTGACTGCAGCACGCCAGGCCTCCCTATCTATCGCCAACTCCCGGAGTTTACTCAAACTCATGTCCATTGAGTCGGTGATGCCATCCATCCATTTCATCCTCTGTCGTCCCCTTCTCCTCCTGCCTTCAATCCTTCCCAGCATCAAGCTGGGATTAAAGGGTATTTAAATATTAGTTATTTTACAAATAAAACTACAGTGGCTCAAAGATAAAGCTGAGTGTGTACAAACATATGGAACAGTGATGTGACTCAAAGCATATAAAAATTAATAATTTTCATTTATGAACAACTTATAGGCAGTATCACATTCATTTTCCTAATCTCTTTCCAATTTTCAAAAAATTTAAGACATACACGATAACACCAGGATTTTGCCTGCATTCCATTTGATTCTACTCGTAGTTTTGTTTTGAGCTATGAATAGTTAGAAGTTAATAAGTTCTTCTGAAAGTCAATTGGAAGTTTCTATGTTGGCTCTTGAATAAGAGTCCTTCATGAGATAATGAGTTTATTACACTAATTTCTCTCAACTTAGGAAATTCTATGACCTGTTCTGTGACCTTTCCTAACTTTCAAAGTGCTACAACCACATAACATGCTGCCTGGCACTTGGATAAATGAATGAATGCTCACAATAAACTGCCTGTGAAAACATTAACTATTTCAATGATGCATTAGTCTTATTTGAAGACATTTGAAGCAGCAATTAAAGCTTGAATTCAAAAATTTATACTTTCTCGGCAAGGCATGTAGATGTTTTCTAAAAAGGGATTTATTCCTATATGTCACAATTTACTACTTAACCTGGTGGCTGCCTTGGTTAACTGGCATCAATTTTAAGATCTGTCCATATTTCAAAAGTATTAAAATATGAAAAACTCTAAAACGTCAGTATTAAATTTTAGTGGGACTTACCTGGTGGCCCAGTGGCTAAGACTCTGTGCTCCCAATGCAAGGGGCTTGGGTATGATCCCTGGCCAGAGAACAAATCCCATGTGCTGCAACTAAAAGTTTGCAAGCCACAACAAAGGTCAAAGATCCTGAGGGCCATAACTAAGACCCAGCTGTCACGGCCACAATGTAGTGACTTCACAACCTAAATCTAAGTGTGAGCAGGAGGAAAGAAAGAATAGAAAATCGACTGCATATGTTTACAGATAAAGTTACCAAGCTAAGAACTAACAGCCCACAATCTAACATCACACAAAAGAATATTAACAATATGACACATGTGAACGTTTCATGTTTTGGAGGTAAAGGTGATACTGCAGGGGTCTTTAACCGTGCCTGTACATTAGAATACACTGGAAAACTTCTGATTTTGATCCAAAGAAGCAGGAGTACCTAAGGTTTGGCCTGGATATTTTTTTAAAGCTCCGCAACTAATTTTTAAATTGGGAATCAGGGTGATACTACTGTCTAGCGCTGCTACCATTCTCCAACACAAATAACACTGTCTTTCTTTAAATTAGCCAACAATTATCCTAAGAGCAGTATAAAAGAAACCCTTATTTATAAATACCGTCATTAATTTTTTCCTTTTGCAGACTTTGGCTGGTAACGTGGTCTTTACCAACTACAACCAAACTGAGTCAACAAAAGATGTTGGTTCTGGTCTTGGATGGGTTCCTGTGAGATAGTCTTGTTTTTTGGATGAGCCAATTCTGAACAATATGGTAGAACTTCCTGGCAAAGTCCAATATACCCTAGAAACAAAAGCTTAGCATTTGTCTTTCATAATCTCAACACAGTATGTGGTATATTACAACAGACTCAAATTCAACTAACATTTACTGCATGGATGAAACAGACTACCCAACAACCCTGTAAGTTGTATTTTATTATTTCCAAACTGCAGACACATTAAAATGAACACAGACAAGCATATGAAAGGGTCTGTTTTTTACCTCACAGGTCTGCAAAAAAGTAACATTTATGCCCCTGAAAAGCAGCAGTTACAAATGTGTATAAGCCACAAGCTGAAGCTCTATATAAAACAGCTAGAAATTTAGTTAGCATTTTAATAACCCAATGAAGAATCTGAAAAATGTTCTTCATTAAGATTATATAGAATTCTTTTTTGTTTAAAAAAAACCACCTACTTTTCTGTTCGCTGTGTCTATGAGACTTAGTTTTGTCACGTTTATTTTAATTTGTAGATCTACATATAAGTAAAATCATACAGTATCTGTCTTTAACTTATTTCACTTAGCAATAATAACCTCTAGGGTCATCCAGGTTGTCACAAAGGAACCCCACTCTTAAAAAAAAAAGTGACACTCCAATAAGGATCATGATCTATACAATTCACTTTCAAGTATTCGGCAAAACTATTTTTTAAAAGAATGGAAGTATGTGACACAGATGGACAACAAACAGAAAGCAGATATGACAGATTATCTGATAAACACTCTTAACAAACTTCACTATTCAGTCTAGACGGGTGGTATGTGGCTGTTCTTTCTACTGTGCTTTCAGCTTTTCTGTATCCTGAAAATTCTCATGCTGAAAAATCTGCACGTTTATACATGTTCTAAGCTTATAAGTAGAACAGAAATAAGTCTCCTCTCTCAAATATTAAATATATTTCAATAATAACCATATTTTATTTGAGGTATAAAACCAATCAACAGTTGAGATATACATAGAATCAACCTTTACATAATAGAAACTCCTGAATATATAGGAAGGGCTTCTAAAGTTACTTGTTTTCCGCCTGAATTTATTCCACTGGAATCCATTAAAATATCCAAAGTTGCAGATACAGTTAAAGTTCGTCAACAAAGTGAGAAAAATTAGTTCTTGGCTTTTCCTTTTTTCACAGGAAGTTGACCTGTAGCTTCCAAATACTTATTAATGAGTTCTTCTTGTGTAGCTGGTGAACATGGCTGATATCTGCAATACTCCATTGTATATTCTCCCTTCCCCTGGGGGTTCAAAACAAAATCAAAAAGATTTTAAAAAACCAGACCTCCAAAAACTATCAAGTAAAGAAAGTCATGCAAAGCCAAGATTTCACAAAAATGATCCTTTTGTAGGATGGTCTCTTGAAGAGCACTGAAGTAAAATTCAAACACCTGCTTACCTCTGTGCATGACCTAAGTTCAGTAGAATAACCAAACATATTATTCAGAGGGACCTGAAAACAAACACAGTAAAAACTTCAGCATTGCCTACTGGAAAATGAGAAACCCACAGAAGCCTTAGCCATTTAACTCCTCTAGATTCAGCTTTCTACTAGTAACTCTTGGTTTAAAAGAATTAGAAGCCAAAGAAAAGCTTATTTTTGTTTTATTGAGAGTAGAAACCCCATTTGAAGATAACTTCGTTTGACAGTCACAACTAGCAAATCGATCTTTCAGTTTCGTGGAGTGGACACCACTGACGGCCTCCCCCATCCCCACCCCACACAGCTGCAGCCCAAGTCCTCAGTGTCTCTCCGGTGAGGAGGCGACTATTCGCGCAGCTTTCCTCCGGACTCCTCAATGATGTGCCCACAGTAATCTTCTAGGAGACCTGAGGTAATATGACTAAACCCTTTCTCCCGTGAACTCTGAGTAAGGCAAAGGAGATAAATATTATCCTAATAAATGAGAACATAAGAAAACAGCTATGTAAATAAAGCTATCATGAGAAAGAAAGGTAATTACACATCTAAGAAAATGACATACAAAAGGCCTACATGAAATGAATCTCATTTTTACCTTTTACACTTAAAGAGATGCTCTAACAGCAAATTATAGAAATTGACACACACATATATAAGCACAAATTCAACACTCGAATAGGCAGGGAAATGTGCCAATTTGCTCTACAATTTCCAAACACAAAAGCTAATCCTGATTTTCTCCTGTGGATAATAAAAGCAAGGTTGTCAGTGACTAACAGTACTTACATCTGCATACAGTGTAAAATAGTCCTCAATTCCATCTTGTCCTGTGATTACCCCATGGCGTCGGTTAATTCCTGCAATCACTGGTCCCTGAAATTCATTTGGGGCTATAACTTCCACCGACATAATAGGCTCAAGAATACATAATGCTGTATTTGCCAGGGCTGGGGTTTAAAAAAATAAATAATACATCAGTTTATTAATCTTTAAACAAACTGGAACTCTTTCCTTATCCAGATGTACAAAAGGGAGATGGAAAGTGCTCTCCCAAAGGTACACACACAAATGATAAGATTAAAATATTTGATCTGGACTCATTTTTCTAGCAGCAGTAGCAGTCACTCTTTTAAATGGAACTTCCAGAAAGACAACACTTAATTCTAATATTAGTATGTCCATTACCATATCTTTATCCTTATAAATCATGAGGTTGCAGAGAATAATATAAAAGGGGTCTTAGAACAACATTCAATAAAGTCCTTTCCCACTTAAATTATGCAGTTAAGGGTCACTAATTCTTTCTGAGATCCTTCACTAGCTGTTGAGTCTCTGACCTAAGTAAATCAACCCTTTCTTGTTGGTCCCTGCCAGACATTTATACTTGGAGATAATAATCAAGTCAGGCCTGAGATCTGTCTAGGCTAAACAATTTCAATACCTGATTGAGAGCTAGAAATCCAAGTTTCTGCTTTCTACTCTGCCTCTAATAAGTGACATGCCTTTTGGAAAAACACAATCGATCCAGGTATTGAGTTTCTTCACCTACAAAATAAAGACACTGGCTGAGATGCTAATGGTCATTTAAGCACTATACCCCAATGTTGTATATCTACACTTATTTTTAGTCCCACTTAGTACATAACCAGAATAATTCTTACTGTGACAGATGCTTAAGGGAGAAATGTAACAATGTGGAGAGAATGTAACTTCCAACACTCAAATTTAATATGGACATTATGACAGTGTGGAATAATACTTCAGCCTCAGACTGGATGGACTATCTTTAAAGACTTGAAGCTGGATGTCCCTGGTGGTACAGTGGGTAAGAATCTGCCTGCCAGTGCAGGGGATGCAGGTTTGATCTGATCCGGGAAGATTCCAAATGCCACGGAACGACTAGGCCCGTGGGCCACAACTCCTGAGAACCCAGGCTGCGGTCCTGAAGCTGGGGGCCTAGAGCCGCGCTCCACAAGGGAGGAGGCTGCACCGTGAGGAGCCTGTGTGCACAGCCAACAGTAGCCCCCTCACTGCAACGAAGAGCCAGCATGGCCCAAAATAAACAAACAGCATACAGAAGACTTCCAACAAAGCATGAAAAGGTGACAAGTATTTAATTTTTCAAAAAAATATTAATTTTCCAAGCATCAATTCTGTTTATAATAGTCAGCAATTATTCTTGTATATTCCTTAATGCACTTGTTCTAAAGATACTACTAACTTAAGTGCAATACTTAGAAGAACAGCCATTTAATATACTTGTATTTCTTTGAAATATTTTCTAGTTCAAGTCATATCTTAGCTCAGACCTACCTCTGACTCATTAGTCCTAATTAGTGAGTTTTGATTTCAAAAGAGGGATATAAGTGAGCTCTGCAGATTCCTCAGTGTCATTAACGAGGCCCTGCAGAATTCTATGTAGACATCTAAAGCAGTAGATGAAAAATTCTAGACTGTAGAAGCAGCTCTATTTCTTCTAACTTCTTGGGTTACTACAATGGCTGGGCTTCCTTGGCTCTAAATAAATGTAATTAATGCAGAACCCAGGTGGTGCTAGAGGTAAAGAAAGTGAAAGTGAAGTCGCTCAGTCGTGTCCGACTCTGCGACCCCATGGACTGTAGCCTACCAGGCTCCTCAGTACATGGAATTTTCCAGGCAAGAGTACTGGAGTGGGTTGCCATTTCCTTCTCCAGGGGATCTTCCCAACCCAAGGATCGAACCTGGGCCTCCCGCATTGCAGACAGACGCTTTACCGTCTGTGCCACCAGGGAAGCCCTTCTTTACAGTGGTAAAGAACCCGCCTGTCAATGCAAGAGACATAAGAGGTGCAGGTTCAACCCCTGGGTTGAGAAGACCGCCTGGAGGGCATAGCAACTCACTCCAGTATTCTAGCCTGGAGAATCCCATAGACAGAAGAGCCTGGTGGGCTACAGTCCAAGGGGTTGCAAAGACTCAGACGCGACTGAGCACACACACACAGAGGTACCCAGAAAGACAGATGTGAACAGACGGATTTAGTTACATATTATCTAGTGTTTTCAAAAGGTCAGTAATAATAAGAGAGCTCAAGTGTGAAAGAGTCATCATATCCTAAAGGGAAAGAAGGGGCCAAGTATACAGTGTCCATCCCTTAACTGTTGAGGGTAACCTGTCCAATTCTGTTTCATATTCCCCCACTCTCCTTTTAATTCCTTCTTTCTTCCTAAATCCACCTTCTGATTCACTTGCCCTTTTTCATGCTTTTCTCTATCCCATTCTGTAATGACAAGACTCCAGAGCTAATTCATCCTGCCACTTTTCAATAGTCACATGGCAGCCAAGTCCTATTTTCCTGAAGTAGAATAGCAGGAAGTGAAAATATACACACCATCCATCACAAGACCTTTAAGTCTAAAGTGGTGGGCAGAGGTGGTGATGTTTCTATTTCAGTCCACTAGGGATAAAGCTGAAAACACCATGCTGGGTGCCAAAGAGCTTTGAGAGGAAGTGGTCAAGGGCTAGGACCCTGGCAAGGGTTTGAGTCTCGGTTCCACCACTAGCTAACACGGAGCCTTGGGCCATTTGACTAACTACTTTTGAGTCTCAGTTTTCTGAACCATCAGGTCACTGTGGAAGATAATTCATGTACTTAGCATAGTATTAGTACACAGCACAAAAGTCATCAATAAATGTTACTGTGACTTCTCTGAGACAAAAAGCTGGGAATGGGTGGCATGGAACAGGTCAAAGGTAATATGAAGGGAAGAGGGATAAGCTTTCACTATGCCCAAACACGTATGTGCAAGTATGTTGTGTGCTAAGTCACTTCAGCCGTGTCTGACTCTTTGTGACCCCATGAACTATAGCCCGACAGGCTCCTCTGTCCATGGGATTCTCCAGGCAAGAATACTGGACTGGGTTGTTGTGCCATCCCCCAGGGGATCTTCCTGATTCAGGGATCGAACCTGTGTCTCTTATGTCTCCTGCACTGACAGTCAGGTTCTTTACCACTAGCGCCACCTGGGAAGCCTATGCAATGTTTAAGGACATTCTGATTTAATAGTGTGGAATTACTATCTGGAAGCAGCTGGACATGCCCATTTCCACAGAGTTAAGTATGAAGAAGGGCCAGGATTCAAACTCAGCCCAGGAGGTCAACAAAGGGACAATGATGAGCAAAATGAGCTAATGTAGTCCCGGGGAGGCCTTTATTTCTCCTATAGAGTAACTACAAATTAAATGTTTGCGGGGAGACCAAGCACAGTGGTCTAAATATTGGCCGAAGAAAATGATGGTGGGACTTCCCTGGTGGTCCAGTGGCTAAGACTCTGCTCTCCCAATGCAGGGGGTCTGGCTTCAATCCCTGGTCAGGGAACTAGATCCCACATCCTGCAACTAAGAATTTGAATGCTGCAATTAAGAGTTTGAATGTCACAACTAAAGATCCCACATGCCACAACTAAAAATATCCTGCAGCTACAACGAAGATCAAAGATCCTGCATGCTGCAACTAAGACCAGGGCAGAAAATGAAAAATTAAGAAAAGAAAATGATGGTAATGGTTAACATCCATGGGGTGAACCAATCCCTGAAAGAACATTTAATTTCATATTTCCATTTTAGTTACATCACTGATTAATTTCAGGGATAAAGTTTAAATTGTGACTGAATATAGTTCCAGTTTTCACTTTTTAAAATTAACAACATATGAGAACATGAACTATTTTTCTCCCAATTTTGATAATAGAATAGTTCAAAAGTATAAGTTAATCTGATATTAAGCTCAATTATCAACATTTACCACCTTAAAACTCTCATATGATAATCAGTTGGAGGTATGTGTATGAAAAGATGATTTTCTTAAGAGCCCAGCTCAGTAAAATTTTTTTTACTCTTTTACACTTTTATCTTTTAATCATGGAGAAAAAAGAATCAGATGATGAAACAGCAAAGTAACTCTCTTTTCATGCTAGCACCCTGTTTATTTGCACTTATTTTTCTGGCAAAAAACCCCCACAATACTCCTCAGTTCTATTATCATCTAGTGCTTTTCCTCTGCATCCCCATCAGGCAATTAATCACACATAAGAATATTTGCACACTTAACTATTTAAAAACTAAATGGTACATACCTGTTTAATATTCATAGACATACAGATTTTTTTCATGGGTATACATATGTGTGTATTATGGACATCTAATCTACATTTACCTATATTTCATATAGGTACAACTGAAAAGCATGACGCTCTTTATTGATTTTACCAATTATCTTGCTTTATGCAACCTCTATCCAGGAAAGCTGCCTATTTCCAGCACAGAATAGTTGGTGATTTCTAATTTGTCTTAACTATATTAAAAAAAGTATCACAATGCATAGTTTATGAAATCATCACTTAAAATATATCACAGTTTTGTCAACTGCACCTCAATAAAGCTGAGAAAAATATAAAGTGATTACAACTAAATTGTCAGTTTAAGACTTATTAAAGTGGTAAACACCTTTGAAGGCAAAAGGCAGGTGTTATAATCTGCTGCTGCTGCTAAGTCACTTCAGTCGTGTCTGACTCTGTGTGACCCCATAGACGGCAGCCCACCAGGCTCCTCTGTCCACAGGATTCTCTAGGCAAAATACTGGAGTGGGTTGCCATTTCCTTCTCCATCATGCCTAATAAAATCTTACTTTGTGACTTTATTTCCCTTTTCCTATTAACACAATTGTCAGGTTGTGACAAAGTTTCCAGATCATAGATTTCAACTGCATTTTTAATAGACAGCTAGCTGGCATAAAGAAAATGAAGGATTCTTTTACTCTTTTACAACTAGGAAATGAAATAAATAACTAACGGCTCCCATTAAGTAAAATAAGGAATTAGCGGCTTGGTCAAGAAATAAGCAACCTTCTCCAGCCATTGCCCCACACCTAATCACAGATGCAAACAGACTAAAAATAACCAAGTCCAAAATTCAAACAAAATCAATAAAATCCTGATTCTCTGAATGCCTGGAAATAAAGTGTTAGAATTTTCTGCTGTCCATTTTGACCTTCTTTGATAAAGATATTTATGAATGTTTTATGAGTTATAATGTAATTTTCTGTGAAAACACACTTCTGGACATAACTAATGAATTATCATATAATGGATGTGGAAGAGATGACAAACACAATGAATTTTTTGAATTTCAGTTATAACTTAAAATTCTTTTGTTGAATAACCCTGATGTCAAACTGCTGTGTCATTTGCTTTTCTCTCTTACAAGCAATCAATCAAATACACCTGCAATTGCTTATGGTTCTGGTATCACCAGGGTTTTAATACACATTATTATCCTTGTGAGAAAGGTTGACAGTTTTAGCAGTTTAGTAAGAAATCTGCACTGAGAATAAGGTTTACTAAATTCTTTCAAATGCCTAAAAGCCTACAATATCATATGTGAAAAAACTGTTTACAAATTTATAGATTTTCTGACATCTGAATAAATTACTAAAAATAGCATGACTATAGTTAATGTTTCTTTAAAATATTTCTTAAAATTCTAAGCATTTGTCTTCTTTATTAAAAATACAGCTTACAGATTATCTATGAATTTAAACATATGAAAAATACCAGATAATTGAAGAGAACAAAGTAGGATCTTAGTTTTGTAAAAAAGAAAACATAGTAATCTATCCTCACACTGATTCTATGAAAACCTGTCCAGAACCTACCTTGTTCCCCCTACTGCTGCCCAGGGGAAGGGGGTAGAAGCAGTGGAGGGTGTCGGGAGGAAAACCGAGGCAGCACAGTGCCGCCTTTTGGGGCTCTGATGGTCCACTACGGAAGCAGACTCATCCACGTGGCAGGTGCCAGACGCAGCATACCTTGTTTAAGAGCACCTTCTCCTGCTCGGATGAAAGAGATTTCATTGGAATCCACCATGTGATGTGCTCCATCTTGCAGAACAAACCGGAGCCCAGAGAGCTTGTGACCAGACAAAGGGCCCTTCTCGCAGGCATCCAAAAACCCCTGTTAATGAATAAGCTTCTTGAATGTCTCTTCAGGTGCATTAAGAAAAACCCTCAAACATTTTAGTATTCAGAAGTTTAACATTTTCATGTATATTTCATTTTTTAAAAAATTTCTTTAAAATTGAACAGCCTATTTAAGCTTTATTATTGTGGAATGTAGATAAGCAATCCTTTGGAACAGTCTATTACTTAAAAGGTATGAAATGGTTTGAAAACAATGCTGAGTATTAGCAATCACTTTCTCATAACCTAATATTCAAGAATTACTAAACTCTTATGATACATTAGAGTCAGTATGATCTTAATTTTACAAGGCATAAACAGAGGAAAGGCAAATCTAAGAAATTCCCTAAGTAAAACTTTAATCAAAATTGACATCAACAGCTGTGTCTTAAGCTCCTACTCTATACCTATCACTGCTCTGACTCACTGGCAAACCACTACATAATACTTTTGTGCTACACAATGTAAGAACTAAAATTAAAACATTTTTCCAAAGCAATTCTTTTAAGACACAGCTTTACTGAGATATAATTGATAAACAATAAGCTATAAATATTTAAAGAGTGCAATTTGATATGTGTGCAGTTCTTTTTCATTCATTAAATACTTGTAGAGTTGCTACAATTCAAGTTAGTTTACACAGTCGCACATGTAGTACAATACATTTCTGACATTTCAAAAGTGCTACCTCTGAATGCTGTAGAATGTCTAAGCTTTCCTTTGCCTATGCTAATCTTGGAGAATAAAAGATAATTTAAATTTGTGTGAATGACACATTCATGTGAATGACAAAATACTGTTTTGAAATTAAGTATAATGGATGAAATACACTAATCACAAAAACTGCTACCAAAATTAATGCTAAAACCAAAATCATGATCTGTTAATAAAGACTTCTAAGTTAAAAGTTAAAAGATTTTAAAAAATAACCTCCATCTTTATGAATAGACAGTTGCTAAAAGTTTACAACAGTCTTAAAACCAATGATGTAGAAAGCTACTAAAACACAAATAACCCCTTACATGTGCAGAGCACCTCACAATTCCCAAAAAAATGTCAGAGTCTTATCCAATCTTTGATTCTGTGAGGGGTTCAGGATTAAGTACTGTATGCTCAATTTACAAAAGAAAGTGGCTCTGAACACTGTGATTTACCCAAGGACATATTAATCATTAGCAGAGATGGCAACACAGGCAGGTGTTGGAAATCTTAATGCATGACCATTCTACTACAAGGGTACTACATGTAAAACTTTCACAAACTCCTAACGACTACTACAAACTTCAATTACTAATTATAATTAATCAAGTAGCTTCAATTTATCGAGAAATGTAATAACTATGATTCAGAAACAGAATGATTTCCTCTCATTGTCATAGCTTATATTTATAGCTCTTGAACTTAATGATTCTAAACCAGATGGAGAGCTTAATCAGATAAAGAAGCAGGACTGGAACAAAACTGAACCACAGAAGCCATGATAGCAATATGATTTGATATCTACTACACCGTTTTTTATTTTTTTTTAATGCAATAAAGGCTTTTTTTGTTTGTCTGTTTTTACCTTTTCCACAGCAGGCACAAACTGCTTTGGTACATTTGACCCAAATGTTTCATCTGAAAACTCCAACTTCGTGTAGTTCTCTGGGTCCAGAGGCTCCAGTACACCTATCACTTTTCCATACTGGCCCGCCCCACCTGATTGTTTTTTATGTGTAAATTCAAACCTGAAAGTAATATGAGAAGAAAAAAAAAATCAACATAATTACCAAAATGAAATAAACTACTAACTGAAATGAAAAACCACCTCTCATCAATTTTACTTCTTCCTTCAAATAGGATGGCCTTGCTATAAAATTTTACTATAGGATTTATTTAAAAAGGAATTCGCTCCTTTCTGTTCTTACTTAGAGGTGGGGTACACCATCAAATAATCCATGGTTTTAATTCTGCTAATTTATTTGAATTTCACAAGTAGAAAGTAAAAGTGTTAAAACAAAAAGTCGGTGGAAGGTTCTTATTCTAACCTACATTCCAAGAAGCTTACCCATTTTCTTGTGGAAACAGGGTTCTATTTCCCTGGGACACAGGGTTCTGTCCTGAATCTCTCTGAGGACAGTTATCTGAAATTAGGAGTTATGCAAGTAATTCATTCAGATAGTTATTTGATTTTACAACTTGGACACTAAGGACTAAGGAAATACAAAAAGGGGAGCTTCCGGAAGGATAACTAACACCTGAAAATGATTAATGGCAAAATCATCACAATTAACATAAGTCCTCCAAATAGACACATATATAGACACAGGTTAGTGTTTACTTCAAATTATTAAAGACAACATTAATAAGATGCCATAAGCATCTTGCATGCATATTAAATATATGTAAATATAGGCTACTATATCACTTAAAAAACATTTCATGAGTTTCTACTGTTTGCAAGGCATTTTTCCTTTAAACTGCAACCTTCCTCAAGACCATAAGATTGAAGAAGCTGGCTGCTTTCAAAGTTGTCTGCAGATAACTGCAGGTAAGTGGACATTAACGAACATCTGTTCCTGCATAGAGATCTGTGAATGGTTTGGCAGAAGTAAATAGCAATTTCAGTAGGAGATGTCAGCTTGGAATGAGTTTTCATAGACAACCTAAGTGTGAATGTGCCTGATGAACTGCCTTTAAATAATGTTGCAGTTGCCAAGTTTCAGGATGGGCTGGCGAAAACAATGCTGAAAGGTAAACAGATATCAGAACTAAAAGGACAGCAGAAGAGAAATAACTGCCAAATCACCACAGAATTACTAAGAGATTCCAAAATGGGCCCACTGACGTGTTCTCAGGTATGTTCTCTCCAAGACAATGTAAATTTTGTTTTCAATTTAACAATAATATCCATACAACATCTAGATCTGTGCTGTTTATACGGTAATCACTAACCATGGATATTTAATTGAAGTTAATTAAGATTAAATAAAATTTAAAATTCAGTTCCTTAGTTGCACCAGTCACATTGCAAACGATCAACAGGCAAGTGTGGAGAGTGGCTACTGTCCGGGAAAGCACAGCCCTGGAGGACCAGCTTACAAACGAGTTATCCATACAGTCTCAGGGATCCTGGCTGAGTTTATAACTGAGCGGACGCCAAATAAGAGGATGCAAGTGCCAGGTCTGTGCTAAGCACTTTTTATGGACTGTAGTACTTATTCTTCACCACACCCCCATGAAGTAGGCACTATTTTTTTTTATCATTACTTTACAGGTGAGAAACCTGAGGGTCAGAGAAGCTAAGTAATTTGTCAAATGTGATGCAACTCTTAAGTGGCAGAGCCAGAATTTTCACCAAGACCAACAATCAAACATGTTTCTAGAAGGATAGTAGGAATGTAAATGGATTTAATCTGCACATGATGCATTCAACTCGAAAGCCTTATAAGGACGCTGCACAAAGAGATTTTCCTGGAGCTTAGAGAAGCAGAAAAACTAAGACACCACTTGGTAGGCAGTGAATAGACATGCTGAAGGTAAAAGAATCCATGCTTTTGTGGTCAGACCACTGGCATTCTGTGAAAGAGTTTCATTTTGGCAAAAAAACATCATCTCTCACATAAAAGTTAATGTTAAAAAAAAAGTTAATGTTAACTAGAATTGTGTTGGTTTTACTGTGTATCTTATTTTGTAGATTTATTTTGACTTTATAGTCTTACCAAAGTTGCAAGTCATAGGTGTTCTTACTTATTTCCATATAGTTATTTAAAACAATAATTTGCACGATCCCAGAGACTTATAATAATTTTGCTACTTTCAAGGTAACTCATACATTATTCAACTTTGAGGATAATGATCTCTTGATTAACCATTAATGAAATTTTATTGAGAAACTAAGATCTATCGCAAAGACTCCACAGGGATAAGATTCTCTTAAAGCAGTTTATTTAACATCTACACAGGCAGCTTGAAGTTTTTAACATGTACTTCCGGGGGGGCTCAGTCTGCAGTGTGGGAGACCTGGGTTTGATCCCTGAGTAGGGAAAATCTCCTGAAGAAAGAAACAGCTACCCACTCCAGTATTCTTGCCTGGAGAATTCCACAGACAGAGGAGCTTGGCAGTTTACAGTCCATGGGGTTGCAAAGAGTCAGACGTGACTGAGCAATAATATAATAATTTTATTTTTAAAAGAACCTAAATGGGTATGTGTGTTTTTAGCAAATAAACACCTGATATTGTCTGTCACCCAGCATCTCTTATTACTAGCCTTGTTCTACAGAGATGGTAATTACATTCTTAAAGCTTCAAACTGGTGACTTTGGGGGTCTCAAATACTGCACTTCTCACAACTCTAACTGGTAATACAGGAGATGTTAACTAGCTGCATGTGAAACTTTAAAATTTCATTTTCAGCAAAAAGATCTATGTAATTAGAATGTATTTGACCACTCATTCCTGGGCACTATCAAAGGAGCACATAATTCACAAAACTATTAAGAACACACACAAACAACAACCTAACAGGCTGACTCCATCAAAAGAAAAAAAACAGCTTTCAATTTTTCAGAAAAAGCCTTAAGAGGAGAAACGAAACCCTTTTTTTCTCTAGTTATTTGACAGGTGCTGGCTAATATAACTAGAAAGATGGGAATGCCTTACTTTTCTTAAAAAATCTATTTACTCCGACTTTATTAATAAATAAATTTTAAAGGATATTTGAAGAAGACAACACATTACAAATCCATTTTTAACTTTTTTTTTTTTTTTTTAAGCAACACAACATATATATCTACTCAAAGAACCTTCAAAATCCACTTTGGGAAAAATACCTAAGAATATTTCTAAGACAACAAACTACAGTGTCAGTTTGGTTACATATCTGAAGAAAACGAATCTTAGCTGCCAATTCGACAGCATTTCTTAAGAACAGCCTAGACTAGTGCCTTTAAAAGTGACAGAGGTAATTAAGAGATCTGGAAAGAAAAACGCACTGACTACTCAAAGTTTGTGCTTGCTTAAGGAGCTTTTAAAAACTTTTTGTCAGAAGCTACTTAAATGTAGTGCCTTGTATAAACTCAGTTTTAAACTACGTTTTAATCTTCTTTCAAAGTGATCCAGAAAGTTGGAAGCATGGTGTGATCAAAATCTTTTCCAAGATTAGCAGAGGAAGAGAGGGGTCCAAGTACCTTGTAAAATCCCCCTGCCCTAAATCCTCCAAATTAATGCTATTATTTGCAGTCTTTCGAATCCTGATTTGGGCAGAACCGGTCCAACATCACAGAAAGCTGGGGATGAGCAAGCTTGCCCATGGAAAGTAGAGGGAAAAGGAGGAAACGCAATGACTCACTACCAGGAGCTCCTCTGGACTTTGCCCCGAGCCTGACACCGCGGGTGGTGGATAAGGAAGTTGCTCCATTCTGCAAGAGAAGCAACCAGACTTTTCACGGAGGGGAAACTCGAAGCCCCAGAGGAGATGCTGCAGTGAGGAAAAAGCCAGAACGCCCGTCCCGCGCCTCCGTTCAGGTTAACAACAGGAAGGCTGGTCCCGGGCACCCCCCGCCCCTTCCCTCCCCACCCCCACTTAGAGGAGGAGGGGGCGCTCGGTGCAGGAACCGGAGAGGAATTGCAGGCGGCAGCAGGGCGGGGCTCCACAAGGGGCCCCGGCAGGAGCCAGCTCCCAGGCAGCTGCTTTCAGAATCGGAAGGAGAGAAGGAGAGAGAGCGGGAAGGAGTCGGTGACCCCGCCCCAGCCCACGCCCAGCCTCCAGGCGGCATTAGGACTTTTCCGGCTGGGCTGCCCGGCAGCAGGCAGGACGGGGACGCGGACGCTCGCAAACCCAGCCAACACTCCGCAAGAATGGAAATCCCTCCGACCCACTACCCGGCAGCCAGGGCGGCCTCGGTGGTCGAGAGCTGCATCAACTACCAGCAGGGGACCCCGCACAAGGTGTTTCTGGTGCAGACAGTCACACAAGCCAGCCTGGAGGTGAGTCGGGCAGAGGGCGGCGGGGCACGGCCAGCGTCCCTCCATCCCCTCCGCTCCCGGCTCGTCCGCTCCCAGCTCCCCGGACACCATGCCTGCTTCGGGTCTCACTGCTGTCTCTCTAGAGAAGCTGGTATTTCTGGCTTTTCTCTAGTCTCTGGGGGCAGCCCCGGGACTGTCTGTTGTTTTCACAGGGACACACACACAGATACAGTTTTTATGCGCACTATTATAAGGAAATGGATAAATGTTCTCAGTTTGGGGCGGCTTCTCCCCCTTTCCCCAAGTGAAACCTATAGGAACCATTTGCAAAAGTTTCTTAAAACGGGTACCATGTTTCTCATCTGCTGCTCCAATCTGGACCAACAAAAGCTCTGGTCTTGCGTAACATTCTTCACTGCCTGTCTCTTAAGACCAGTCGTTCCTTTGACCAAAACGAAGGGTAAACAAACGAACAAACAAAACCAGAAACTGACAAAACTGAAGTCAGAGGGAAGGAATTGTGGGCTGAACCACCCAAACACTACCGCGCTGATTGCAGAGTGATGGGCGCTCTCTGGCTAACGGGGTAAATTAAGTGCTATGCTTAAGACCTTAGCAATCACTAAGATTGTTTCCATTTTACTGACATCTAACGGATCTGACAGAAGTTTCACTGCTAACAGTCTGTTAAGAGCTGACAGGGAGTGCATATTTCAAAACCACACTAGGTAACATAATTAGGTATAAACTTTCAATTGTATCTTGATTCAAAAGTGAAGTACCTAAATGTTTGTCTTGCTGTTATAAAATTTATTAAAGTCTCATTCTGCAGGTCCACTAATACACAAGTAAAAGCAGTACTTAAAATCTCTAACCACTTTGCAGTAATCTCAAAATGGAATTGTTTGGAGGCTTTATGAAAAATCTTTTCAGTGGGTAATCCTCTATTTGTCACCTTTAGAATTAAAAATGTTAAATTTTCTTATGTGGAACTTAGGGTCACAGATCCAGATGTCAAAGTTCTCTGATGATTGAAAGTGAATTATAACCGAATATACATGGTTTTTATCCCACTCCTTTGTTCTCATCCAAAATAACCCTGCTTAGAGGACCTACTAAATCAGCCGTCAAACACAGTGACATGCCCTGCTCAAGGTCTAAGGCTTTAGTCGTTTACCTCCAACAGTCAGCTTCCCCCGGCCCCCTCAAAAGAGCATGGATTCCCCTAACCATATAAAGACTTTATTTGTTGTTATAATAACATATTTTCTTAATTTTAGGATATTCCAGGAAGAGGACATAAGTATCGCCTTAAATTTTCTGTGGAAGAAATTATCCAAAAAGTAAGTGAAATATCCTTTATTATGAAATAAAATTTGATTCCTAACATTCCAGGTCACCTCTGCTGATTAAATCATATGATTGATTTGGTTTTTTGGGGTTTGTTTTTGTTTTTTTTGAGAAAAAGTTGTGAAATTCCTTCCTCAAAAAAAATGATCACCGTACAAGGGTTAGTTTTTACTTTTTGTGTATTCTGAGATACACTTAGTATTTCTATTGTGCTATTTAGAAAAGAGGCTCTAGATACTTCACTACAAATACATTTCCTTTAAAAATGTTATATATGCATGGGTCAGTGTGAATTTATGCCTAATATGAAGAAGTGAAATAATTAACTCTAATCATCATTAGGTGTTTTTTATTTGTCTCACTCTGTTTCTTTTATTTAAAGAAAGCAAGGACTTTTAGTTATTTACGAGCAACAGAGTGGCCAACTGATACCACTGTGTTCCGATTAGAATCCTTCAGTAATGGGGCAGGGCCAGTTTTAAAAATTATACACCTCTCAAATTATTAACGAGATAAACTTAAGAGGAAGAACTGCCAGTTGTACTGTAACCATCTTGAAATTTTAAAAAACTTGCCCATTTGTTAAGCATAACTAAGAGATACAGGCTAACAGAGAGAGATTCACTAAAAGGCATCTGAGCTGCTAGACGAATATTCATCTAAAGCAGAACCAATGCTACAATCTTCTCATTTTACATCTGGATACAGATTGAAATGAAGCTGAGTTTGAGAAAATTTCTGTTATTTCAGGAGGAGAGAAGAATAGAAAGACTTAATAAAGTCAGACTAAAATTTGCCTTAGAGATGGACTTCCCATTACTACTGAAATACATTCAAAGTTTTCAACGAATTTACAAGATTATGAGACTTTATATGTTATAAACTAAGTTACTTATTTTTAGCTACCTCTAAGAAAATCGACTTCCCTAGTGGCGCAGACGGTTAAGCATCTGCCTACAATGCACGAGACCTGGGTTCGATCCCTGGGTCGGGAAGATCCCCTGCAGAAGGAAATGGCAACCCACTCCAATATTCTTGCTTGGAAAATCCCATAGACGGAGGAGCCTGGTAGGCTACAGTCCACAGGGTCGCAAAGAGTCGGACATGACTGAGCAACTTCACTTTAAGAAAATTACTGGGCCACCATGAATTAGATACCTCTGAAATAGGCACATTGAAGTCCAGTCTGAAGTAATACCATAAGGGGGACAATGCTTTAAAGGTTCTATCTCAAAGAATAATAATTAGTAATGGATGTCCATTTACATGTAAAGATCTTTTGCAAAATGTTTCAAACAGGAAGTTACAGTGAACTGCACAGCTGAAGTACTGTACCCTCTAATGGGACAAGATACTGCACCAGAAGTCAACTTCACATTTGAAGGAGAGATTGGAAAAAACCCAGATGAAGAAGATAACACATTTTATCAAAGACTCAAGTCCATGAAGGAACCACTAGAAGCACAAAATATTCCAGGTATGTAAATATATAGCAGAGGAAAATATTTTTTCAATTTTAAAAACAGTATCAATTTACCTATGCTCAAAAATATTAAGATGTTTACATTATGCTGGAAATAAACTGACTTTCACAAAAATATTCATTACTAATCTAACAACAATAAAGGTCTTAGGACTTGATAGACATAGCTTAATTAAATTACTTTCTGCACACATATGAAGAAAACTAAGAAATGACTTAGAATTTACATTAAAAAGGTTAATACTCTCTATGTAAAATAATTCCATTTATCATATAAATATTTTCTTCACCAGACAGTTTTGGAAATGTACCTCCAGAAATGAAGCCAGTTCGACATTTAGCCTGGGTTGCCAGTGGTTATATAATATGGCAAAATTCTACTGAAAATACATGGTATAAAATGGCAAAAATTCAAACTGTCAAGCAAGTGGTAAGTAATTTCTATAAAATATACTCTAAATAGGTTCAGTATTTACAAAAGGTGTCATAATTCATGACGGATAAATAGTGCCCCTTCAGTCATTTTGTATTTACAGTAGTGAACTCAGTATTTGAAGGAGAGGTCAGTTATCAAGGCTGGAGAAGGTGAAGCTGCAATTTCAAGAGTGAAGTCTCCAGTTATAATTTGGCAATGGTTTTTGTGTGCGTCGTAATACAAATCATTTCCTTTGGCAACCCAAGCTTTGTGTTCTGATTACTATAATCATATGATACTGAAACTACCTCTGCTTTTTTCCTCTCCTCAAATGTTAGTGCCAGAGCTAGATATAGGGTTGACATTTTCCCCACTTGGATTCGCCAAAATAAAATATTAGCATCTCAGTCTCCACAAACTGTCTTTGATAACCCGTTCAGTCATAACTGACCGCCTCCTGTCTTGTTTGTTGCTAGCATGTACTTTAAGTCTGATAGAACTACTCCAAATTGCCTCCTTCTAGACCTTAAAGAGATTAAAACAAATTTTTTGAATTTAGCTTTATTAAGAGGTTTAAAAGAAAAAAAATACTAGTCAACTAGTAGTATTTAATGGAATGCAAGAAAAAGATTCTCTAAGAGAAAAGCACTTTCCATTGGCTTTTCTCAGTTCGTTGATAACAAACTGCAAGAAAGCTGGAGCACCTTTACTCCAACTTTTTGCAACTACTTATTAGATACCTTTGGGCTAGATCACAGATAAGTAACCTTCCTGATCTTTACCTTATCCTTAAAGGACTTTCTTTGTCGATATAGTCAAAGAAAGGATTGTTTCAAGAGACTATAAAGAGAGAATAGTCTTATTCAATCCTGGGGCCACTTTATTAGTGTTAACCAAAGGAGCCACAGGATTTTTCAGTGCTTCATTATAAGCGTTTAAGAGCCTTGTTTAAGCACAGCAAATTTCTGATAATCAAGGTTTGAAACTATGTAGATATGGTATTTCTGTGTAGTTGATGGAATACTTTACATGCCCAAAGCAGTAAGCAGCATAGATCAAACCTTTAGTTACAAAATCAAACATTATATTTTATTATTTTCAGTTTTTTAAAAGAGAATTTCTATTATAAAATTGGTTTTCTTTAGTATAAACACTCATTTCAGCTGTTATCCCCTAAACAATGTTTTGAGCAACGGAAACATTAAAGAATCTTAATGACAAATTATAGACTGTAATGTTCTAAAATGTTCAAATTATAGACTATAATGTTATAAGTTCCACAACTCTCAATTTGTAATTTTTTTGGTGTGCTGTGTGCCATGTACAATCTTAGCTCCCCAACCAGGGATTGAACCCATGCCCCCTGCAGTGTATGTGTGGAGTCCTAACTACTGGATTGCCAGGGAATTCCATAACATTCAGTTTTTAATTTTACTTAAGTATTATCATCATCTACTAGTGAAAACTGATTTTTGAAATTAAAATATACTTTTTGCCAATGATACTAAGTTTTAAATGCCAGGTTTTTATTTTTTATTATAGCAAAGAAATGATGACTTCATCGAGTTAGACTACACTATTCTCCTTCATGACATTGCATCTCAGGTATAGTATCATTTACCATTATTTAATGTCACTTTGGAAATTGAGACTCACTTGGTAGCCTCAGTGTATGCCTTGTTAATTTTGATTCTAAATCAGAATTCATGTATATTCAAATAGGCACCAGGTTGAAGTATATTACCACTTGTAGCAATTTAACTTGTCTTATGCTATCTTTATGAGGACTGTTTTGTCTCCAACAGAGTATAAATCCAACTGTTTTCCTAAATGTTTTTATTAATTTTATCACAGCATCAGTTTCTTTTACTTGCAGGAGATTATTCCTTGGCAAATGCAAGTTCTCTGGCATCCACAATATGGTACTAAAGTAAAACATAATAGCCGTCTGCCAAAGGAAGCACAATTGGAATAAACAAGGACCATAACACTGGATAAAGTGTAAACACGCTTGTTAATGATGACCTGTATACCAGTCTTCACTGATATCTAGCTTAAGGGGTTAGACAAATCCCAAAAGTGTCATTATGTATAAATGGCCTGATTACAGTACAGAACTATATAGCTTCCATAATAAAGCGCATCACAGTGTGAAAGTGTCTTATCAACAGTAACAGTGCCATGTATACCCCTAATAAAAGCTTTTAATTCCAGCCTCATAGCTTGTTTCATCATGTTGGATACTTACGGAACAGGGGCTGTAATGGTCTCTCTGAAAGCAACTTTTGGCTTTCCTGTGATACAAGGACAGCCATATTCTCTTTCCATTCGCTGAAAAGAACAAGAGAGATCTTTTTTGATATATTTAAATTAAAAAATAATAAACTAAAACAAGAAAAATCCTAAGAGTCTTAATTACCTTAGAAGCATTCATTTAAAAGTGAAAGTGTTAGTCACTCAGTTATGTCCGACTCTTTGTGACCCCACGGACTATAGCCCACCAGGCTCCTCTGTCCATGGGATTCTCCAGGCAAGAAAACTGGAGTGGGTTGCCATTCCCTTCTTCAGGGAATTTTCCCAACCCAGGGATCAAACCTGGGGGTTTCCTGCATTGCAGGCAGATGCTTTACCATCTAAGCCACCAGGGACGGTTATGATGAGCAATAATAAATCTAAAATCACTTAAGTACCTTATGAGGATAAGTACATTACAAACTTTTACAGATTTTATATAAACAAATTCTAATTTAGACTGATTAACTTACACTTACCTCCAGTTAATCTACTAAAACTTTACCTTTGCTCCATTTTATTACATGTTCATTGGAATGTTATATGGATCTGTTGTCATAATTTTCTACTACCTCAACTTCAGAGATACAATCAGAGCCAGAATTTTTAATCATAAGTCAGATGTATTAAAAAAAAATAAGTCATATATATTTTGATTTCATTTATATACATATAAGACCTTTCCTAGGAAAGTAGGGTCTCCATCTACCCATTTGTTTAACTACATTATATTGATCTTCAAGTACTGACTTGAGATGAAAACAGGTAAGAACTGGCCTGGAGAGTGAGTAGTGGTGGGCTGACTTTCTCAGCAGGTTTCCCCCTGAGGCTGAGACCTTAGGGATATACCTGACCAAAAGAACCATGACCCACCTATGGATGGATGGTCTGACTGCAATGTTTTACAAATAAGAAGGTTTAGAGATCAAAAGTAATTGATTAGTAACAGATAGTAGAAGATGCAGTATACCACATCTGGATAAAAAACCAGAGTGAAGATTGAAGAAAGAACCACTATTAGTTTATGACCATAAGACTGAGAATTCTTGACTTTTACGCTCTTAAAACACAGACATAAAGGAAGTGACTTTAACATCCTTGCTGTTCACTACCTGAGCATAGATCTCCAGGTGTAACTCTCCCATTCCAGATACGATTGTCTCCTTGCTCTCAGGGTCAAAGTGGACTTTAAATGTGGGATCTTCTCTTGTAAACCTGCCAATACCTTTTGAAAATTTTTCCAGATCATTCTTAAAAAGAAAACAAAAAACATTACACATTGTACTAAGCATGATAAGCAATGAAACTGTTAAAATTTGATTGGATGAAATCAAATACATGTGCAGTTAAATAAAAATGATCTACCATTTAAGTTCTAAATGCTATTTTAATATATGAGCTTGGATACCACACAAGAGAGCAAGGAACAGCTAATTTACAGAATTTTCTTTTCACACCAAGATTCAAGAGTCTAAGACTTACCTCTATGCCCTTTCCTACTGACAAAATCTCTCCATTTGTGGAAAACTCCCCATAAAACAGAAAGTAGAGTGTTACAGTTTAGAAATCCTAAACCAAAGAAATCAGCATGGTCACCAAGACTACTGTAGGTTCGAGAGATCAGTTAAGACCAGCGAATGCACAGTGAGATGTCTCCGTTTCCAAATAATCTACCTGGATGTAGTTCGATGTACCTTTATCCTCCTTAGATGTTAATTTCTTATGTGGTAAGCAGAATGATGTTCTTCTTAAAGGACATGCCCCATTCCCCCTAAATCTGTGACTGTTACCTTACCTGATAAAAGGGACTCTGTGGATGTGATTAAGGTTACAGACTCTTCATGTGGGGAGATTAACATGAATAATCTGGACAGGTCCAGTGTAATTGCATGAGACTTTAAAAATGAAAAGGAATGAAGAAGGGCAGTTGAGAGATGAAAAGCGGGAAATAACAGACAGGAAATGTCTGAAGCATGAGAGGGACTCACTGCACTGTTGCTGGCACTGAATACAGGAGAAAGCGGGCTACGAGCGCCTCTAGAAGCTAGGAATGCCCTCAGATAACAGCACGGAAATCTGAAGTCCCACAAAAGGAGATGAATTCTGCCAACAATCTAAGCAAGCAAGGAACCAAACTGTCCCCCAGAGCCTCCAAGAAAGGAACACAATCTTGCCAATACAATACTTGATTTTATCCCATTAACAACTGTGAATTGTGACCCATAACTGTAAAATAATACATTTGTACTGTTTTTAAGCCACTAAGTTTTTGCTAATTTCTTATGGCAGCAATAGAAAATTAACATGCCCTGAATCACCAGTGTTAACAGCCAAATACGTGGTTAAAGAGGTGTTAATGTGTTTTGTTTATGTTATCTGAAATTCTAACCACAAGGCTGCAAGGTAGAATTATCCCCATTTTACAGGTGGGGAAGCTAGGTACAGAGAAGTCAAGTGACTTGCTCAAGGCCACACAGCTAACTAGGAATGAATCTTAAGTTAGTCTATCTCCAAAGTCTTTCCCCTTTTCCCTGCATTGGCCAGGGACTCAACTTACAAGCTGCCCCACTACTGAGATTCATGGTTTTATGCAGGGTTTCATTATTTGATTTGTACTAACTCCAGCAAGCAGACAACCCTGAGACACCAAAAAGCTTTATGAATATTGATCCATTTGATTTCCATCCATTATTGTGAACTATCAACAGTAAAATGTCTACATAAACTCTGAATTTAGGAATAAAGAATAATATTTTTAACTTCTAGTCCTTTGTCTTCCGAAGGGAAAAGCAACCTATTTGGCAAAGAACCTTGAACAAACTGGCGTTATCACTGTGGTGAGATGTAAGGTTCAGCTTGCTTCAAATTTCTGAGATGGAGTGACTGAATGTTTCTTGCCACCTCAACATTCTCTTTTCTGTAATTTGAGAAGGAAAATCTCAAGTTCCTCAAAACAGATGAAGCAGTAGCCGTTAATATACCCGTAAGACAATAAATCAGAACCTGTTCTATAATGATAGTACCTAGATGACAAGAGATCATACAATGTTCACTCAATGCATAAAAGAATTAATTTCAATATAGCACATTAACCTGACAGTTATGAATATAACTAACTTAAGAACTAAACAATTATGGCTCAAGATCAGGACTAATTTCAGTGACAAGTTATGCAAATACAGAACCTATTCAAGCAATTTTGGCTAAAAAGCTAAATGATAAGAAATACAATCATAAAACTGTTATATCTGAAAGTGAGTCAAAACAGTCTTATTTGCAGGCCTTCCATGTTATAATCAGACATTTACTGAATAACTACCACAGATGTGGAGATGTACTATAATCCATGAGGCAATTTAATTGATGCAATATTCTAATGTTCTTTACAGTGAGGTTTTTCTGCAGTTGAGGACAAATGCCCCAGTTTCCTCTTTTCTATCTCTTATGATCTCCATCTAGGAAGTTACTTACACTTACCATTCTGGAGCCAATGATATACCTTTACTGCAGTAAGAGTTATAAAGCACAGTCTGATGAATACGTTAAAACCATCAACCTCTTCAAATATTCTGAGGAGTACTTACTAGTAATAGACTGGTAAATTTGAAAAGATGATTTGAATACCAGAAAAGGAAACAGAGTCCGTAAGAGCGCTTATGGTCATCACAAGACACCATATGCGTTGTGGAGACAGGTGAAAGGGAGCTCAAAGTTTTACTGTGATTTACTAAGTGCTAAATCAAACTCCTACCTTGTTAGATGGCTTCATTGCTATTGAAATGACAGGATCGGGGACATGAATTGACTCCTAGAACAGTTTTAAAAGAACAGACAAGAATTCAAACACAGTACTGTATATGTCAGAGATGGATTAATTTCAATGTTCTTTACAAGCAGAAGAAAACACTATAGTCAACATCTTTAAGGCAGACAAAATATATCTTGCTCTACTTTTCATTAAATGATGAATATATTAATATATAAATAAAGGTTATACTGCAATCATTGATAAGAAAAGCAGAGAAAGGGACAAGATTCTTCATACATACAATATCAAATGAGAGGCAGATAGATTTTATTATCCCCATTTTACAAATAAAATAATTAAAGGGTTGGCAAGATTAATGAATAACTTGGTCAAGGGCCAGCAGTAGCGCAGGGCATAAGTAAGGCTCTGACCAAGGTCTATTTGCTTCAACGCTCGAGCACTTCCCACAGCCTCCAGTCCCTTCATACTGCTCATGACAAGTTTAGAGACAGTCTGATCAATAATACTTATAAAAAGTCCACTTATTGAAACTGATTTTTTTTGTAGTGTCCTAACTCCACATGTAAAACCACAGACATCAGAGAATACTTTAAACAAAAAAGCTAAATTATAAGATTAAGAATTCATCATATGATACAGGAGCTACTACGGAGATCACCTGTTAGGGCTGGACAAGTTCTTATATATAAACAATCTACTGTAAGCGCCTATCCCCTCTGTACTCATATCCTCCTTTACTGAATTCAGGAGAGGAAGCCCCCTCGGGAGCACATGGTCATACTGTAGAAGAGCCGCCCTCCTGTGGGGGCAAAAAGGGGGCAGGAGTGAAGGGGACTGACAGGCAGGAAGTGCCCTGAGCATACCCTGCTAGTTGCATCCTGCCTGCAAAGCACAGTTCTGGTCTGTCATGCAATTCCCCGGAGTCCAGCCTAAATGTTACAGTCTGCTCTTATGGTTCTCTAGGAGACTGAGGGAGGCATCCTCTCTCCAGCTGCTGAGTTACTAAGGAAGGAGCACTTGGCTGGGACCAGCCTGTTGATGGTGACAGCAACCAGGGACGCACCCACAATAGGGAGCCAGGTCTCAGGGTGGAGGAGTCACAGCCATACAGGCCAGGTTACCTAAGTGGAGATTTTCCCTCCATGCTAAACCTTGGAGGATGGTGGAATGATTTTACTAAGAAAAATCAGCTAAGTTAGCTAACACAGGACACTTGTTCAGTTGACATTAAAAGAGCCACAACCAATCTACACTTGATGCCTGTGGCACTCAATGAAAACTTCTGTGATTGTTTTTCTGAAGTACTAGAACATACATTTTTGAAATGCAAGTGATAAACAGCTTTGAAGTTAAATGACTTACCATAGAAAGGCTGCTATTATCTTTGTCTGTGAATGTGTCTCCACTGGCACAGTCAATGCCGAACAATGCACAGATGTCTCCAGCAAACACTTCCTCAACATCCTGAAGAAAGGAAGAATACAAAATGATACTTGCAAGTAATTCACATCTGCACAGAATCACTAAAAAGTAACTGCATGATAAACATACTGTACACAAACATGCCAGAGTCTCACCATGAATTCCACAAAGAAAGAATTAGATAGAATCAACGCAATACCAACAATCAACCATGGCAAGATACACCTTCAACAAGCTCTTATTTAAACCACATGTCAACTCGCAAGATTCTACTGTAAATGGAAACTCAGAACATGGCATCTTTACTTGGGGGATCTGCAGTACCAACAGAACACAGAGCCTCATGGTTCTAAAGTAATTCCTATAGCATTAAAAAGTATGTAGTGCTATATGTGCTGCCATTGTCTAACAAGGAAATGTCTATGACCAAGGCATACAAGGAAAGCTTGCAAAGGAAGTTTTGAAAACAAAGGCAGGAGATGTAAGCAGTTAAGAAAACACAGGAAATCTAAGAATAAAGCACTGGGGCCTCTAAACTTCCTAGTCTTTGTCCTTTTATATTAACAGTTCATTCATAACAGCTGTGGCTGTGAATAAGCAAGTGTGCATGTCTTGCTTTAATAGTTACACAGCTATAGGGATCCTTCTGGCCCATGAAACAGCTCTGACAATCACTAATCCCTCTAGCCTGCCCCCTGCTGCCTATTTCAAAAAACAGTGATGTCTAATTTTGAAAGACTGTCTATTCATTTTCCAGGAGATACAACAGTTATGGACGTCAAAAATGTCTGCCCTAAGATTTTGCTTAGACTAATAAATTTCTCTAGGAATAACTGAGCTGAATTGGGAAAGGGTGCAAGGAGGGGACAACCTCCTGTACTTGGTCTTCCTGCCAACGCTTCACCCTGCAGACCACAGAAGGCCAGAACAGGTTCAGAGCCAATTCAAGAAGTCAAATCATAAGCCAAAGTTTATCTCCCAGACCAGGCCTTCAGAGGTTTTAAATCTTTAGATGAATTCTAGCACCAATAAAGCCCTTCTAGGGGTTGATTCTATTTCCATATTTCAGGAAGTAAATCCACTGGGCAATATGGGAAGTTATGTGTAAATTTATTATTCTCATTTACTTTTGAGAACCACAGTTCCACTGAACTAAAAACCTATTATACTCTTTCCAAGGCTAGCTCTTGAGGAAAGTGCTGTCCCTTCTTCCTAATCCTGGCCACTGAGGACAGACAGCTAACTCACAAATGATGGTATAAAACGTGTTCGTAATATGTGCTAATTTAGCCTACACCAAAGTGCTAGATGAGAAATGTAGCCCACCTAACTAAAAAGGAAGAAGCTAGGAAAACACATTCAACTAGAAGTGATTTTCTTGTGGTGCTCAGGATAACAAAAAAAGTAGACCTGTTTTAACTGCATGAGAGAAATTTCTGATTGTACAATGAAGCCCCGGTACTCACCTCCATCATGTCGGCATGCATGCGAACCAGTCGCTGCACCCGCACTTTCTTTCTCGTCCTTGTATTATAGATGTTATCACCTTTCTTCAACTCTCCTTGATAATTGCGAACGTAAGTTAACTGTCCAAATCGACCTGCCTAGAAGTCAAGATTGGGTAGGACAGAAAGAGTAAAAAAGAAACACAGGAATCAAAAATAAGAGGAAAATTTCATAATCACCTTCAAATACTTGCTCTCAGTTTTAGTAGTACAACTTATATATATATATGTTTCAGCTTATTGTCATAAACTACTTTGATGCTAGTTTTGAATAAATGGTTCTTGTACTTTCTGATATCAAAATTCAAGATACTACTTCTGTTTCCTCTGAAAATATTAGAAAAAGTTTTTAAATTATAAGGCAGTTATTTCATAAGTTCAGCTTAATATAGTAAGATATAAAAATAAGGTAAAATTATATTAGAAAGACAACAAAAATATCATTAGAAATGAAAGACTATACATGTTAGAAAAACTGATAATCACCTGGAAAGCTATACAAATATGAATTCTGTAAAGTAACTGAATATAAAATGAATAATCAGGATCATTTCCTCCTGAATAGTAACACTAAATGTTAGGTAAATATGAAAAAGTTGCCAGTTCTTCCCATATTAATATTTAGGTTTAACACAATAGCAATAAAATTCCAAAGAGGACTTTTAAATACTTCAAAATATTAAAATAATAGCCTTTATAAAATAAATATCTAAAATGTTTAATTCATTAGTCAATAGATGAAAAAGGAGACATTACAATCAATGAAAAAATTTAACACTGTTCAAAAACTGGTAACTGTACAACTGGTCTTCCATTTGGAGGCAGAGGAATCCAAACAGCCTTCTGAGATCCTAACAGCATTCAGCAAAACAAAGTCCAACTGGGTTAACAATGAAAAAAACAAAAGAACCCACAAGAAAGCAGAAGAGACAAAAGGAAGTATTTATAGAATATAATCAAAGAGGAAGACTGAGAAAATAACAAAAGACAAAGATTGCTGTATTTGACTATGTAAATTTTAAAATAATTGTTTTTTTTAAATTTTATTAGAGAAAGGTTCATACAAATAAGTAAAACACTTTAATTCTCATTTTAAAAAGGGAAAGACAAAAACATAAAGAGGGAATTACAAAAGAGGACATAGAACTGCATAATGAATATATGGAAAAATGTTTTCTATTATTAAGAATTAAGACAAGATATGGAGAAAAGGATTGGGGGGAGGGATGGTTAAGGAGTTTGGGATGGACATGTAAACACTGCTACATTTAAAATGGATAACCAATAAAGACCTACTGAATAACACAGGGAACTCTGCTCTATGTTATGTGGCAGCCTGGATGGGAGGGGAGTTTGGGGGAGAATGGATACCTGACTATGTATAGCTGAGTCTCTTCCCAATTGACCTGAAACTAAAAATATGAAAGCAATCTGGAAATATATACCATTAAATATTTAAAATATTTTATATCTTTTACTCAAGAATCACATTCTGGAGATCCTAAGAAAAATATTCCTAGGACTTCCCCGGTGGCACAGTGGATGGGAATCGGCCTGCCAATGCAGGGGACATGGGTTTCATCCCTAGTCCAGGAAGATTCCACGTACCGTGGAGCAACTAAGCCCGTGCGCTGCGACTACGGACGGTGTGCCTAGAGCCCGTGCTCTCCAACGAGAGAAGCCACTGCGACGAGAAGCCCAGGTCCTGCAACAGAGAGTAGCCCCTGCCCACCGTAACTAGAGAAAGCCTGCACCCAGCCAACGGAGACCCGGCGCAGCCAAAAGTAACTAATAAACAAACACGCACTGCAGTGTTATTTCTACTTCTTAACTTAAAATTACTTTTTCTGGATTTAGAATAAAAATCATACTGTAAAAACTTAAAAATAAAAACTAGGAAAAAGCACTGCCCCCAATATAATTCCATCCCAGAAATAACCACCCTTGAACACTTCTGACCTATCTGCCTTTTTCCTCCTTAAAATATTATACACAGAAGCAACACCACCACAACAAAAAGCACACCCAGTCCCAAAATCTTGGTTCCTAATACCACTCACAATTAAAAGGAACCAGGGCTCTTAGACAGATGGCTGATTCTCGGGCCGGGGCAGGGAATATACAACATAAGCCTGGAAGGTAAGGAAGTGTGCAAAAAAGCAAAATACTGGGGCCTGTCTAAAGGTCACAAAAGCCACCTGCAAGAGCAGCAGCAGCGGGCACCGGTCAGTCTGGCAATAAAATAAATAACATACTACCGGATTTTAGCTCAAAGTATGAAAGTGATATACATAAGTCCAGACTGATAAAAACAAACGACTGAATAAATAAATATGGGGGAGAAAGGACAACTCTCCCTTACAGAAGAATCCCACATAACTCACAGACACACTGCCCCCTCATGGAGGAAGATCGTGATTCATCCCTTAAGTGTGGGCTGTGCATAGAAACCTTCTAGAGTCAGTGTGGAACAGGGTGGGGGACAAAGGAACTTTACAGCGGAGAAATCTGTAACTAAATCTTTCCTAAGAGTCACTTTGTAATAGGAATAAAAGCCTAAAAGAAAAATTCTATATACATCAGTGAAATACATTAGAAAGCAACTTACCTCCAGTTTAAAAGCCAGGCCAACAAACGGATGGGAACTGTCTCTTTGGGGGTTCATTAAGATTTTGGTTTTCTCTTCAGAGCCACTTAAAATAAAAGACATACACATTTATGAGATGCAATATTTGATATTTCTTTTATATCAATTTGTTTCATCAGAATATTACCTGAGAAAAAGCATACTTGCACTAAACATTTCTGAGCTTATTCTTAAGCGAAATTTCACTGAATGGGATCAAGAATAACTTCTGGCCAATACTGCACTGTGACAGGACCAGAGCAGAATAAAAATCACAAAACGAGTCTCGCAGAAAAAAAATAATGAAAGCTTAAAACATTTTTGTTTCTTAAAAAATATTTTTAAAAAAATTTGGTTCCACATGAGAAAATTTTCTAATGATGTAAATCTTCATAATGAAACAAACCATATTCTAACTTACAAACAGAATATGATACGGGAAGGTATAATAAATAATTTTCTTTATGCCAAAATTGTTACACAAACAGAAATAAAGATTGATTTTTATAAATTACTGGAAAAAAAACCCACAAATGCAACATCAAAAACCATTCTTAAATTCTTTTCCAGTGCACAGATGTTCAACTCTCTGTACACAGACTAAGAATCAATTTCTGAGACTTACTCCTGATTGAGAATGGCGTAATTCTGGACTTCAGATGGATTCGGGAGGTATTCTAAAACAGCGTCTAACAGAGGCTGAACTCCTTTGTTTTTCAAGGCACTTCCCAGAAAGACAGGGGTAAATGACCTGTTTATTGTGACTCTTCGAATGGCAAGCTGCAAAAGAAAAAAAATTAGTTCATCTTAAAGTTATATTTTGTGTTTCAGATTAACTACAAAGCAACAAATGATGAAATAAATTGATACTCTTTGGATTACAGGCTTTAGTGGAGACTGGAATGGGGTTCTCTACAACTTAAGGTCAAAATACACCCCCCCCCAAAAAAAATAGAAAGAAAAAGGCTATTTAACTTTCAACACTGTAACTGCTTTCAACCCTCAGAATGTCACTAACTTACAATTTGTAGAAAAAACTATATATACACATCAGTTCAGTTCAGTTCAGTTCAGTTCAGTCGCTCAGAGGTGTCCGACTCTTTGCAACCCCATGAATCGCAGCACGCCAGGCCTCTCTGTCCATCACCAACTCCCGGAGTTACTCAAACTCATGTCCATGGAGTCGGTGATGCCATCCAGACATCTCATCCTCTGTTGTCCCCTTCTCCTCCTGCCACCAATCCCTCCCAGCATCAGGGTCTTTTCCAATGAGTCAACTCCTCGCATCAGGTGGTCAAAGTATTGGAGTTTCAGCTTCAGCATCAGTCCTTCCAATGAACACCCAGGACTGATCTCCTTTAGGATGGGACTGGTTGGATTTCCTTGCAGTCCAAAGGACTCTCAAGAGTCTTCTCCAATACCACAGTTCAAAAGCATCAATTCTTCACTGCTCAGCTTTCTTCACAGTCCAATTCTCACATCCATACATGACCACTGGAAAAACCACAGCTTGACTAGATGGACCTTTGTTGGCAAAATAATGTCTCTGCTTTTTAATATGCTGTCTAGGTTGGTCATAACTTTCCTTCCAAGGAGTAAGCATCTTTTAATTTCATGGCTGCAATCACCATCTGCAGTGATTTTGGAGCCACCCAAAATAAAGTCTAACACTGCTTCTACTGTTTCCCCATCTATTTCTCATGAAGTGATGGGACTGTATGCCATGATCTTAGTTTTCTGAATGTGGAGCTTTAAGCCAACTTTTTCACTCTCCTCTTTCACTTTCATCAAGAGGCTTTTTAGTTCCTCTTCACTTGCTACCATAAGGTTGGTGTCATCTGCATATCTGAAGTTATTGACATTTCTAAACCCGGCAATCTTGATTCCAGCTTGTGAGTCTTCCAGCCCAGCGTTTACACATAGGACAGTGTAAATGGTATGTTAACAACTGTGCAAAACAGAGGAAAAAGCAATACATATGCAAACAAAACAAAACAAAAATCTATGGAAAGAAACACCAGAAACTATTAACTGGCAGCCTGGTTTAGGAATGGGGCCCAGAGTGACTCAGACAGAAAAGAATCTGCCTGCAATGCGGGAGAACTGGGTAGATTGGGAAGACTCCCTGGAGGAGGGCATGGCAACCCACTCCAGTACTCTTGCCTGGAGAACCCCATGGACAGGGGAGCCTGGCGGGGTCCATGTAGTCACAGAGAGTCAGACACAACTGTGCAACTAAGCACAGAGCAGAGCGCGGGACAGCTGAGAGCCGGGTAAGAGGCTTCTGTGTGCCTTTACATAGCTTTTGAATGTTTAAACCATATGAAAGTATCATCTATTAAAAAAACAATTAACCAGTTTGCTTTCTTTTTTTAAAGGACATACATACGGAAGCCAAACCAGTGCAAGGTGCTCATAAATTAAGGGTCCTGATAGTAACCGGCTGTAAATAACGACTTCCTGGTCTTGCACCAACCTCTTGTGCAAGCACCATCCATGCATCCCAGCCTTGCTCCTCAGGGGGTGCTGGCCACAGGCCTCAGAGGGGGCGGCGGAGCCTTGGCTCTGGCGGCCGGAAGAGGCCAACAGCAGTCTGTGCTGCGGCCACAGCCCACCAGTTGTTGGTGCAGCAGAAATACGGAGCAGCATAGTTATTTCTCAGTCCTCAGGAAAAATAGAAACCTAGATATTCTACAAACCTTACAGCAAAACATTTGTAACCACAATTTCTAAACATCGCAATGAAAACTAGGATAACAACTGAGCACAATAAAACGAGTATAAAAAGAAGAAAATAAACGTGTTAAGAAAATAATCACTATTTGAAACTCTCTTAAAAACTTGCTTTTTCTAGGAACCAGAAATGGCTTGGTCGCTAACCACTGAGATACCTTAGGCCACAAGGTCACATATTTTACTTTCCAACCCTTCCTTATATGCAAAAGTAGGAACATATGAATCTTACCACGCTTTCTTTATTTCCATTGAATAGAGAAACACATGAATGTGGTTGATAAATAGAAAAAAGGTGAAATTAAAGCTAAACCTATACCAGCCTAACAAAAGCTATGTTCTTACCCTAAATTTCCCTTACTTTTGTTAAGAATCACATTCACACTTGAAAACTTGCCTTTCCACTGTCCCTAATATACCCAGTGACAACACAGAAATAAAGTACCCTGCATCCTGGAAGAGACAGGAGACGCGACGGGACTCAAAAGCCCCCTTGCAAGGCTGGCCCCTGGCTGGCTTCTGGGAATCTGGCTAGCAGCTGAGTCCCAGCATTCCAGAACTGGTAAGACTGGCCCACTGTGCCTACACTGCTGCAGAAACAATGGGATGTATGCTAAATACCTGCTTTCCTTCTGGGAGTCTGGAAATCGGTACGTGCTAGGCAGGATGTGTCTATGTGACTGAGTATGTCGCTCGGTCATCCCGACTTTGTGACCCCATGGATCGTGGCTGGCCAGACTCTTCTGTCCATGGAATTCTCCAGACAAAACTGCTGGAGTGGGTAGCCATTCCCTTCTCCAGGGGATCTTCCCAACCCAGGGACTGATCCCAGCTCTCCTGCATTGCAGTTTAATTCTTCACTGTCTAACCTACCAGGGGAGCCTTATGTGACGCCTCCAGTGAAACCCAGGGCACCAAGTCTCTAATGACCTTCCCCGGTAGACATTTCACAGGTACAGTCACAATTTGCTGCTCGAAGACATGCAGCTTGAGGACACGCATGGCAAGACTCCGCTTGAGAGCGCGCCTGGAAGCTTCCACCTGGTTTCTTCTGGACGTGACCTCAACACGCCTTTTCCCTTTGCTGATTCTGCTTTGAACTCTCACTGTAATGCATCCTAGCCATGAGTGTGATTACCTGCCGAGTCCTGACTCCCAGTGAATCAGAATCTGGCATGGTCTCGGGGACTCCTGACACATTCCTTTCAATAGATCAAGACCTCTCCCTGGTGGTTCCTAGGATACGCTGCTTGACTTTATTGCAGGCCCAGACCTATACTTTCCTATACGGAGTTCCTTAGTCATCAGAGAGCTGGGGTGGTAAGGCCTTTGTTAATGGTACAGAACTCAAGCTCAGATGTTAGTAAGCATCTCAGCTTAAATAGCGTTCTTTCCTTGTGCACCTGATCTATACACTCCTTGAGTACACTGCATTACACACAGTGTTTATTTATCTGATCTCTGCTAAGTGTTCTAAGCGGTTTAGCAAAATAAGTGTCAGTCTTTTTTTTATTATGATAACGTAAACACCACAAAATTGACTATTTTAACCATTGTTAAGTGTACAGCTCAGTAGCATTAAGTACATTCATACTGCTGTCACCACTATCTCCAAAACTTTTCATCACCCCAAACTGAAACTCTGGATCCATTAAACTTCCCATTCTTTCCTCCCCCAGTCCCTGGTAACCACTGTCCTACTAGGAACTTGACTCTTCTGGCTATCCCACAGAAGTGTAATCATACAATATTTGTCCTTTTATGTCTGGCTTATTCCACTTAACACGATATCCTTAAGACTCACCCATATTGTACCATGTATTAGAATCTGATTCCCTTTTAAAGCTGAATAATATCCCATTGTATGAACATGCCAATTTTACCTGTCTATTCATCCACTGATTGGCACTGAGTTGTTTCCAACTTTGAGCTACTGTGAATTATGCTGCTGTCAACAATGGTGTGCAAATATCTGATCCCTGCTTTCAATTCTCTTGCGTATATAGAAATGGAATTGCTGGACCGTATGTTAGTTCTTGGATGTGAATCTGAGCAAACTCTGGGAGACAGTGGGGGACACAGGAGCCGGGCGTGCTGCAGTCCACTGGGTCGCAAAGAACCAGTCACAACTTTGCAACGGAACAACAACAACGTGGTAGTTCTGGGTTTAATTTTTTTTTTGAGAAATCACCGTACTGTTTTCCACAGAAGAAGCATCACTTTACATCCCCACCAGCAATGCACAGGACTTCAATTTCTCTACATCCTCACCAACACTTGTTATTTTGCTTTTTAGGTAACAGTCATCCTGATTGATAAAGTGGTATCTCACTGTGGTTTTGATTTGCTTTCCCTAATGACTAGTGATGTTGAGCATCTTTTCATGTGCTTATTGACCCATTTGTTCTCTTTTATGGAGAACTGTCTATTTAAAAACTGAATACCAGTCTTAAGCAGGTGATTTTCTCTTCATTTTAAAGCTGAACAATCAAGTAAAGAAATCTATATGGCCTTCCAAATACTTAACAGTGTCCACTTCTAGTTTATCTTCTTTCTTTTTAATAGGGATATGTCCAAGAGGTTGAATGTTTAAGTATCCCCTTCATGGCTCACTGCCTTGGTGGCAAAGGGGCTTGTATAACTCAATGAAGCTATGAGCCATGCCGTGTAGGGTCACCCAAGATGAACGGGTCATAGCAGAGAGTTCTGACAAAATGTGATCCCCTGAGGAGGGAATGGCAAACCACCCCAGTATACTTGCTGTGAGAATCGCATGAACTGTATAAAAGGCCAAAAAGATATGACACCCAAGCTGAGTACCCCAGGTCTGAAGGTGTCCAAGATACTACTGGGGAAGCATAGAGGAGAATTACCAATAGCCTCAGAATGAGTGAAGTGGCTGGGCCAAAGCAAAGATGACTCTCAGCTGTGGATGTGTCTGGTGATGAAAGTAAAACCCCACGCTGCAAAGGACAGTACTGCATAGGAATGTGGAGTGTCAGGTCCATGAAGCAAGGAAAATTGGACATGGCCAAGCAGAAGATGGTAAGAATAAACACTGAAACCTTAGGAATCAGAGAACTAACATGGATGGGAATGGGTGAATTTAATTCAGATGACCATTGTATCTACTACTGTGGGCAAGAATCCCATAGAAGAAGCGGAGTAGTCTTCATAGTCAACAAAAGAGTAGAAATACAGTACTTGGCTGCAGCCCCCAAAAGACAGAATGATCTCAATTCGTTTCCAAGGCAAGCCGTTCAACATCACAGTAATCCAAGTCTATGCCCCTATTACTAATGCAGAAGAAGCTGAAGCTGATCAATTCTACAAAGACCTAGAAGACCTTCTAGAACTAAAAGAGATGTTCTATCCACCATCAGGGATTGGAATGCAAAAGCAGGAAGTCAAAATATACCTGGAGTAACAGGCAAGTTTGGCCTTGGAGAACAAAATGAAGCAGGGCAAAGGTTAACTGAATTCAGTCAAGAGAATGCACTAGTCATAGCAAATACCCTTTTTCAATAACACAAGAGATGACTTTTCACATGGACATCACCAATTAGTCAATACCAAAATCAAACTGATTACATTCTTCATAACTGAAGATGGAGAAGCTGTATATAGTTGGCAAAAACAAGACCTGGAGCTAACTGTGGCTCAGATCATCAGTGTCTCATAGCAAAATTCAGGCTTAATAAAGAAAACCAGGAAAAACAACAGGCCAGCCAGGTATGACTTAAATCAAATGCCGTACGAATTCGCAATAGAGGTAACAAATAGGTTCAAGTGACTAGATCTAAGAACTACTGACAGAGGTCCATGATACTGTACAGGAAGTGGCAAACAAAATAATCCCAAAGAAAAAGAAAAGAAAGAAAGCAAAGTGGTTGTCTGAGGAGGCCTTACAAATAGTGGAAGAACAAAGAAAAGTGAAAAGCAAGGGAATGAGGGAAACGTACATCCAATTAAACGCAGAGTCCCAAAAAATAGCTAGAAGAGGCAAAAAGGCATTCTTCAATGAACCATGCTTAATAATAGAAGAAAACAACAAATGGGGAAAGACTAGAGATCTCTTCAGAAAAAATGGAAACATCCAGGGAGCATTCTGCCCAAAGATGGGCACAATAAAGGATAAAAATGGTAGAGACCTCGTAGATGATGAAGATCAAGAAGAGATGAAAAGAATACACAGAAGAACTATATAAAGAAGATCTTAATGAACCACATTATTACAATGGTATGGTTAGTGACCCAGAAACAGACATTCTGGAGTGTGAAGTCAAGTGGGCTTTAAGAAGCCCTGCTGTTAATAAAGCTAGTGAATGCGATGAAATTCCAGCAGAACTATTCAAATACCTAAAGGATAACACCAAGCTGGTTTTAGAAAAGGCAGAGGAACCAGAGATCAAATTGCCAATATTCGTTGGATCATTGAAAAAGCGAGAATTCCAGAAAAACATCTATTTCTGCTTTATTGACTACACCAAAGCCTTTGACTGTGTGGATCACAATAAACTGTGGAAAATTCTGAAAGAGACGGGCATGCCAGACCACCTGACCTGCCTCTTGAGAAATCTGTATGCAGGTCAGGAAGCAACATTTAGAACCGGACATGGAACAACAGACTGGTTCCAAATAGGAAAAGGAATTTTTACGTCAAGGCTGTATATTGTCACCCTGCTTATTTAACTTATATGCAGAGTACATCATGAGAAACACTGGGCTGGAAGAAGCACAAGCTGGAATTAAGATTGCCGGGAGAAATATCAATAACCTCAGATAAGCAGGTGACACCACCCTTATGGCAGAGAGTGAAGAGGAACTGAAAAGCCTCTTGATGAAAGTGGAAGAGGAGAGTGAAAAAGTTGGCTTAAAGCTCAACATTCAGAAAATTAAAATCATGGCATCTGGTCCCATTACCTCATGGGAAATAGATGGGGAAACAGTAGAAACAGTGTCAGACTTTATTTTGGGGGGCTCCAAAATCACTGCAGATGGTGACTGCAGCTATGAAATTAAAAGATACTCCTTGGAAGGAAAGTTATGACCAACCTAGACAGCATATTAAAAAGCAGAGACATTACTTTGCCAACAAAGGTCCATCTAGTCAAGGCTATGGTTTTTCAGTGGTCATGTATGGATGTTAGAGTTGGACTGTGAAGAAAGCTGAGCAGTGAAGAATTGATGCTTTTGAACTGTGGTATTGGAGAAGACTCTTGAGAGTCCCTTGGACTGCAAGGAGATCCAACCAGTCCATCCTAAAGGAGATCGGTCCTGGGTGTTCATTGCAAGGACTGATGCTGAAGCTGAAACTCCAGTACTTTGGCCACCTGATGCGAAGAGCTGACTCATTGGAAAAGACCCTGATGCTGGGAGGGATTGGGGGCAGGAGGAGAAGGGGATGACAGAGGATGAGATGGCTGGATGGCATCGCCGACTCAATGGGCATGAGTTTGAGTAAACTCCGGGAGTTGGTGATGGACACGGAGGCTGGCGTGCTGTGATTCATGGGGTTGCAGAGTCAGACACGACTGAGCGACTGAACTGAACTGAAAGGATGACACCATCAAGGTTTTTATGGCAGCAAATCCAGAAGACCCAGTAGTAGCCACAGAACTGGAAAAGGTCAACCCTCATCCCAACTCCCAAGAAGGGCAGTACCAAGGAGCGTGCTAACCATTGGACAACTGCACTCATCTCCAATGCTAGTAATGTCATGCTTAAAATCTTGCATGCTAGGCTTCAGCATCATGCAAACGAAGAACTTCCAGATGTCCAAGCTGGGTTCAGAAAAGGAAGAGGAACTAGAGATCAAACTGCCAAGATTCACTAGATTACAGGGAAAGCAAGGGAATTTCAGAAAAACATCTATCTCTGTTTCATCGACTATGTTAAAACCTTTGACTGTGTGATCGTGACGGACTGTGGAAAGCTCTTAAAGAGGTGGGAATATCAGATCATCTTATCTGTCTCCCGAGAAACCTGATGTGGGTCAAGAAGCAACAGTTAGAACCCTGTATGGAACAACTGATGGGTTCAAGATGGAGAAAGGAGTATGACAGGGCCGTCACCGTTTGTTTAACCAACACACTGGGCATATCATGAGAAATGCTGGGCTGGATGACTTACAAACCGGAAAAATGCTGGGCTGGATGACTTACAAGCCGGAATCAAGATAGGTGGGAGAAACATTAACAACCTCAAATATGGGGATGACACCATTCCAATCGAAGAAAGTCAAGAGGAAATAAAGAGCCTCTTGATGAGGGTGAAAGAGGAGAGTGAAAGGGCTGGCTTAAGACTAAATTAAAAAAAAAAAACTAAAGACAATGGCATCTGGCCCCATACTGCACGGCAAATAGAAGGGGAAAAGGTAGAAGTAGTGACAGATTTCCTCTTCTTGGGCTCCAAAATCACTGCACACAGTGGTTGCAGCCATGAAATCATAAGACAATTGCTTCTTGGCAGGAAAGCAATGACAAACCTAGACAGTGTGTTGAAAGCAGAGACATTACTCTGCCGACAAAGGTCCATATGGTTTAGTCTATGGTCTTCCCAGTGGTCACATATGGTTCTGAGAGCTGGATGGTAAAGAACACAGAATGCCAAAAAATTGATGCCTTCGAACTGTGGGGCTGGAGAAGACTTGTGAAAGTGCCCTGGACAGCAAGGAGACCACACCAGTCAATGTGAAGGGAAATCGACCCTGAAAATTCACTGGAATGACTGATGCTGAAGCTGAAGCTCTAGTATTTTGGTCACCTGATGCAAACAGACAACCCACTGTAAAAGTCCCTGATGCTGGGAAAGATTGAGGGCAGGAGAAGAGGGCATCAGAGGATGAGACGGCTGGATGGCATCACAGGTGCACTGAATATCAACTTGAGCAAACTCTGGGAGATGGTGATGGACAGGGAGGCCTGGTGTGCTGCAGTCCACGGGGTCGCAAAGAGTCAGAACTGCCTGGGCAACCGAGCACCACCACTGGAGAGCTGCCTGTCTAAAAACTGAATACCAGTCCTAGGCAGGTGATCACTTCATTTTAAAGAGATGAACAACTAAGCAAAGGAATCTATGGCCTTCCAAATAGTCAACAGCGCACACTTACAGTTTATCTTTTTTCCTTTTGATAAAGACAGGTCCAAGAGGCTGGCTGTTTAAATATCTCTTTTCCTAGAACAAACTGATTCCTTTCCCATTTTATATAACTCACTACGTTAAAAAAAGAGTAATATGCCATATCACACTTGTTTTTGAAGGAACCAATTATGTTAAACAACTTGCTTGGATTTCATTAATGAAGCCCCTACGTAAAAGCATCATGTCCCTCCCCTACAAAAAACAAAACAAAATGAAACAAAAAAAACCTTCTTTTTCTTGTTAATATAAGACATATTTTGAGAGCACCTGCCTTTAAATCTGAGATTGAGGGAGTTTTTTCTTCCAGAAACATCTCTCCAAGTTGCTCATCTGAATTAGCAACACATTCAATCAGCTCCTGCCGTTGGTCTGTGGCTGCCGCCCTGAATTCTGCTGGAATTTCCCCGTATCGAACAATCTGACTAAGAGAAGAAATGTTTTACTTTGGTACTTTAAGAAGATTCAATTAAATTGTAATTAACTTTACTCCAGTAAAAATTAATTTGAAAAAAGAATATTCAATTAAACATATAAGTTATCAATGAAGAAGATAAACTAATGGTCAAAACATTTTTTGAGATAAGAGCTCTGATATTTTTGCTTTAAAATCACAAATAAGAAAAATATGTATCTATAAAATTCAGACAGAATAGTGGATAAAATACTTTCAAACAGGCAAAGCAAATCGCTCAAGGTTGTACTACCAGTAAATCTACAAGCCACACACAATTCAAAGCCAAACTGACCCCAAAGCCCATGAGGACAGCTGATCCGTGAACAATGCAAGTTTGAACTGTGCAGGTCCACTTATACAAAGATGTTTTTCAATAAACATGCAAAAATACGTGTATTACATTGTGTGCAAGACTTGTATTGAAGTGGACAGCCTATCATTATGTAGGAATAAGTAAATGATATTTAATATGAAATTCAAAATGTGTTAGTTTTATTACTGTTTTATAACTTTGCTTTCAAAGAATTACATCCATACAGTATGCCTCTCTCACAGAATTACAGAAACTGCATACCATCACACGTAATTTTTTTAAGTCACAACATTTCCAATACTGTATTAGGAATATGATTATAATGTCATATGCCATAAACAATTTTATAATGACTAGGCTAGGCTACTGCTTTCCACCAATTACCCTAGGCTACCATAAAGCAATACATTGCTGCTTCTTTCTTATCAATGCATGAACTGTTATACCTGTAAATAAATATGAATGTCTTTTCACATTATCTTTTCATTTTTGATAGCATCCAGTCAACAGTAGGTTATTAGTAGGTAAGTTCTGGGGGGAGTCAACAGTTATACTTGAACTTTTTACTGGATGAGGGATCAACACCTCTAATCTCCACACTGTTCAAGGGTCAACTGTACTGGAAAATTCTATTAACCAAATTAATCAGAATATCACAGTCTTTGACAAGCAAGATTAGACTTGACTATTCCGGGTCATTAATAACAAATCCAATTACACAGTTTTTTTTAATACAGAATACTCCATTTTGTAGTTTTAAAAAAAAAGTTTACTAATTATGACAGACTGTTCAAACTTGACCTCCATTCTCCATTCCTTTAGGGGCCAGATAGCTAAAAGTCACAAATAAATACACACACGAGAGAAATGGACATACTTGATATTTACAAACTTCAGTCTGAACACTTTAAAAGTATTTCTTTAAAAACGCAATCTAATATCAAGCACTAACAAGCTTTCCAGAAAAAAAATTCCTGAAAAAAAAAGGGGGTAGGGAGGGAGAAGCAAATCGCAAGTAGTCAGAAAATAATTCTTATTATCCTAAAGAATGCCTCTTCACAGCCTTCAGAATCTAATTTCTTCCTTCCTGGCAAGGACCCTGCTTAAGTCTTTCATTTTGGAAACTTCCTTTGAAAATATACATACCCAGTGGTCTAGGGCTGGGAAAAGGCGCAGGTATATTAAGAAGTTCCAACTGTGGTTCTGATGCACAACAAAGTTTAAAAACCTCTACTTTAGAAGACAGAATTGTGTGCACTGGTAATTCTGGGCAAGTGATATAATCATTTGCTTAAAAATATTTTTTGAGTCCCTATTTTGTACCAGACAGTTCTAAGGCTGGGGACATAGCAGCAGATAAACCTGATAAAAATTCTTGTCCCTTACATTCTAAGGAGAGGTAAACTTGGTTGTCATTACTTAGTTGTGGAACAAAAAATGAGAGATACGCCTTGTCCACTGAATAGGCTTGATCTCCTTACGTAAAAGATTGTCAATAAAGATAAACTCTGTAGTTATCTGATCACAAAGGCCTTCATCCACCTGCCAGACTAGTAATCTCAGTTCCAAAACAGAGGAAGGGACCCCCTTAGAAAGGACCTTTGGAGAAACTGCCAGGCTCCGGAGCGGTCCTTCAGAACAAAGGATCACTTACCACTCCTGGCACTGTCTAGATTAGTGCCACTCAAACTGTGGCATTCAGACCTGAAACATCAGCGCCACTTGGGAGCATTCCAAAAATGCAAACACCAGGCCCCACTCTATAGCTACTGCATTAGAACCCCTGCAAGTGGATCCAGATATGTGCATTTTTCCAGGTGATTTTTCTCAATGCCACAGTTTGATAACCACTGGGCTCTGTATGTAAATGTCTCTCAAAAGTTGGTTGATGGACCAAACAGCATGTCAAAAGTTACCAATTTGCTTTTTGTATTGCCCAAACTACATTCTTTTATTTACATAAAAGAATATGCAACTTCTTTTACACATTAATCTGTTTATCTTTGTAATCCTATGAAGTAAGTAGAGGAAGTACTTATAATCCCTTCTTCCCAGCTTTTATAATACTCACGACACAGTAGTTGTTCCAACAAAATCTACAGAACAAATGAACAGATCAATGAATAAAAGCAGAAAAAGAGATATTACATCATTAGTTTAAGCTGAAGGCCTCCTTTCACCATACCACGTATATCATGTAATATACATATATCATCCAAATGCATATATGTATATATCATCCACATGTATATATGATATACATGTATCATGCTAAGCAAAATGGGAAGCAACTAGAATTAAATGCATTAAAAGAAAATCATCTTAGATGACATTTTTTCAGTCTCATTTCAAAAAAGTTTATATTTAAAGCACTCATCCATTTCCTTCTCTTTGATACTTTTTTTAAATATAAGATTTGAATAGTATATTTTTAACACTTACCCAAAGTCTCCATCAAAATAGATGGCTCGTTCCTCAATAAGATCTATAATGCCTTTAAAATCACTCTCTAAACCAATGGGCAATTGCACAAACGCTGCATTATGACTTAGCTTAGACCTGAAAAATAAAAATACATGTTTACCCCTTTTTCTCTTCACCAAATTTCTTTGAACTGACAAAGTAAATAAAAAAAGAAATCAATGGCAGATCTTTGGAACTGATTACCAGATCAGAGCCAAAGGTACAAACAGCTGGGAAGAGATGGACAAATTCATTGTGCTCAGGAAGTACAACCCTATTTAGGCAACAAAAATATCTGTAAGATAAGTGTTCTTTCCATTAGATCCCCAGAATACCCTGAATCAGACACAGAAGGGAGAAGACAGGTAACTGGGTGGTTGACCGGGAAATTAAAGGATGGTGGGATAACTGTGCTCACGTCTCCTCCTTGGATCAGCTAATACAAGTGAAGCCAAGTACAGCTATCTGAAAAGGAAATTCCTCAGAGGGAAAATCCGTGCGGTGGTTTTAGACACTCATCGTCCGCCTGTACACCCAATCGGCACAACCACAGAACGGAGCTGCACACACTGGCAGGAATTCACGTTCAAGTAGAAACATGCTCTAGCCACCACTGTCTAGTCTGTAACTCTGACCAGATAACTAAGAACCACCAAATAGTTCACAAGGAAACGAACAGCTTGAAAGAGATGGCAGCTCAAGAAACAGTACCAACTTCCAAGGAGAGTTACCAGAGAAAACAAAATGTAAAGATCTGAGAAGTAATTACCTCTATTAATATGAAACTGAAGTACATAATTGCTGGGATTAAAAAGAACAAAAACCAGGCTAAATAACAGAAGGGAAGCAGATGAATACCAAAGAAGTGAGTTGGAAGACTAAAAAAATTTTCTCATAACCCAGTGAAAAATGAGAAGGAAACAGAAAATATGAGAAAGTATGGCAGAAAAAGTAAGACAGAGAGGCCAGATTCAGAAGTTTCAAAATCTACTTAATGGGAATTAGAGGATGAGGTAACAGATAACGGGGAGTGGAGCAAAGCAGTATCTGACTACCAAAATAGTCAAATAAATGCGGAAAGAGAATCTGCCTGGAATCCAGAAAAAGACTTGGCGGAAAGAAACCATCTATTGCCAACCACAAGTAAAATATAATTAGAACAAAAAGGGAAAACATTTCATTTTACGAAGAAAGCATTACAAACACCCAATAAAGAAAAGTTTCAGGTGCATATTCTCACACACGTCACCTCCCTCAGAGCACACAGCAATACCATCACTTAAAGCTCCCTGACACTGCATCTCTTGTCAGGAGACACATTAGTCTCTCCGCTGCCAGACTTTACTGCCTACATCCAAGAGCTCTGTCACAGGAGCCTTGAGTGGGAACTCTGGCTCCATCTACAGATCTACAAAAGGTCAAGAGTGAAATCGACTCTTCTCAAAGGCTGTGTGAAATACATCATACTGTGAAAAATGTAAAATCATGTGAAGACCACTGGGTTATGTCTCGAAAGGAAGGACTGCTGCTTTCCTAACAAAAACATTAACTGATGAAAACGAGAATATAGCATACTATTGACAATTTAAGGCATTACATTAAAATTCCTCAAGTAAAGGTTAAAACTGAAGACAATCCTTTACACTTGTCTAAATAAACATGAAGTACTTTTAGAATCTATCCTAGATTATAACTTCTCTAATTATAACACTACAAATGACCAGATGAGTTCTGAATTCACCTTCAACTTATCTAAAAATTTAAGTCATATTTCTCTGATTATCCAGAGAAAGTACTTGATAAAATCATATCACAAACTAAACTATGCACATCAGGGTTCTGTTTACTAAGATAAGTAATTCACATATGTGAATTTTAAAAAGGAAAAAAAAATTAAGGATAAAGCTTAATGACACTGAATTAACTGTGTTTCTAGATGTAAGGTGGAGAAGGAAATGGCACCCCACTCCAGTGCTCTTGCCTGGAAAATCCCATGGACAGAGGAGCCTGGCAGGCTGCAGTCCATGGGGTTTCGAAGAGTCGGACATGACTGAGCGACTTCACTTTCACTTTTCACTTTCATGCACTGGAGAAGGAAATGGCAACCCACTCCAGTGTTCCTGCCTGGAGAATCCCAGGGACGGGGGAGCCTGGTGGGCTGCCGTCTATGGGGTCGCACAGAGTCGGACACGACTGAAGTGACTTAGCAGCAGCAGCAGCTAGATGTAAGGTCAGTTAGCTAGATCGTAACTGTTCTAAGGTGCAGTACCTCATTTGCTGCAGGGCCCTGGCTGGGTTGGAGCCCATTCGGTCGAGCTTGTTAATGAAAGTTAGAAACGGGACACTGTAGCGCTTCATCTGCCGGTTAACAGTCATGGTCTGGCACTGCACCCCTCCGACCGCACAGACAACCAGGACCGCACCGTCCAGCACTCTCAGGGCTCTCTCCACTTCTATTGTGAAGTCCACGTGCCCTGCACGAGACAGAGAAGCGTGTGAGCGTCTTAAAAAGCAGTCTGAATCTTTACAACACGCACAAGTAAAAGGCTTTCCATCTCTGATCATTATGGCAGTCTTCTAGGTAGAATGTGGATTTTTTAAACCACCAATATCATTAACCAACCATAAGGTCCAGGGGCCCAACAAAGTCAAACTTCAAAAAGATACTAGGACATGGGCACCTCTGGAATTAGCAGCAACATGTAAAAGGCAAGAATCTTCCTAGTCACTATTTATTTGCACTCTTTTTCAGAGAAACCACTTAAGGATGAAGTATTCTAGGTCCCGTTCAGATTTCTCTAATAGGGAATTCACAGTCACACTTCTGGAGTTTTATCCGATGCTCAAAAATGAGCTAGGTCATAGGAGAGGAAAGAAGTCAGTGTGCTGCTGCCCAAAAGGCTGCAATAAAACCAAGAACTCAACTCACCAGGAGTATCTATGATGTTGATGTTGACATCTTTCCACATGGTGTAGGTGGCCGCTGACTGAATAGTGATTCCTCTTTGTCTCTCTAGTTCCATGGAATCCATGACAGCACCAACTCCATCTTTACCTTTCACCTAGACACAAGCATAGCAATTCAGGTTTCTCTGTCCCTGCATTCCAAGAAGGGATGACACCTTTACAGAAGGAACCATAACACAGAGAAACCCAATTTTAGAGAAACCTAATTGTCAAGCCACATCTCAGGAAATACCAATTGAAACCTGATTATAGTATTTGGCCTCTATGAACAGCAACCCTTTTTTCACTGCTGTTGTCAGCAGTTGCTGCCACTAAGCGCTACCTGGTCTTAAAAGCCATCCTGGCTCTCTCTGCCGTGTTTCTTCCTACCCGCCCTGCGTCAGGCTGGGAGCAGGCGTGCAGGGAGCAGCTATTTCCCTTCCCTGCCACTCGTGGACTTTGAGGGCTGGGTGGGAAGGATTCGGCTTCTAAAGTCTGCGATTTAACAAGATGGTCTTCATCCAAAGTAACACTTTTAAGTGGAAAGTTGAGTTAGTGGATATGTAATGCCTTCAGGAGAGTTCCAAGATTTTCTAAAATAATTTTTTCCTGATAACTGTCATTTTTAACTAGTAGGCTGATACTACACATCATCATTTTAAACCCTTTCCCCACTTAACATTATAAACATCTCTCCAAAACATTTCAAAGTATGCAAACACTATTTTAATGGCTGCTTATGGATGTATCATATTGACTTAACATTCTTTTTTTTTTAATTGGAGGAAAACTGCTCCACAATGTCGCATTGGTTTGTCATAGATCACCATCAATCAGTCATGATTGTACATACACCCACTCCCTCTTAAGCCTCCCTCCACTTTCTCATGGCACCCCTTCAGGTCACAGATCACCAGGCTGGGAGCCGTGTGTGACACAGCAACTTCTCACCAGCTGTGTGTTTTGCACACGGCAGAGCATACATGTCTGTGCTACTTTCTCCGTTCACCCCATTCTCTTCTCCCCCACTGTGTCTACAAATCCCTTCTCTATGTCTGCGTTTCCATTCCTTCCCTGCAAACAGGTTCGTCAAAACCATTTTTCTAGATTCCACATATATATGTTAATATACAATATTTGCTTTTCTCTTTCTGACTTACTTCAGTGTATATAACAGACTCCATCTCACTAAAACATCCATTTTTATGCCTGAGTAATATTCATATATGTGTGTCTCTCTCTCTCTACTCACCTGTTGATGGACATCAAGGCTGCTTCTAAGTCCTAGCTGTTGTAAATAGCCCTGTGATGAACTCTAGGGTACACGTGTCTTTTTCAATTATGGTTTTCTCGGATTGACTTAATGTTCTTAAAAAAAACAGTCTGCCCAGGATACCCACAGTGATGATTTCTAGAGAAACTCCTTAGAACAACATTTCAAGCCAACCTGAGGTATCCACTTTGTGACTCTGATTAAATTTCCAGGGTTACCATCCTTCTAATCTTTCGGGATTGTGAAGTTTATTAAATCCTTACAAAACAATCAAACCAAGATCAAACTAATCTGCAGTCAACCATGAACCCCATACCTCATGCATTTTTGCGATTCTGCCAGTGTAGTAAAGCACTCGTTCTGTTAATGTAGTTTTCCCAGAATCAATGTGAGCTGAGATCCCGATATTTCGTATCTTTTCATTAGGAATCATCCCTGAGGAACACCATCGGCAGATCTTCCAATTAGCCTGAAAAAATAAGAGAGCTCAATTCAGGGCACTTTTTATGAAATAACAGTGGACAATTAGAAAGGGCTGAGTGGACATCTCTCCTCTAAGAAATCTCAATGAACACAAAACGGCATAGGAGATAGCCTGAAAAGGCAAAACAGTGAATGTCTCAACCATCAACTCCTGTAACCAAAGAAGAGACTGAAAGGGAGAACAAGAAAGGCATACTCTTAAAAAAAAAAAAAAAAAACAGAAAAAATACATTCAAATTAATTAAATATAAATGGACAGATATTTTTACTATACGGTACAGGTTTGAAAACATACACTTGGGCTGATAAAATCAGAAATACAAGTTCCCAACAGCTGCTTTAATAGGAAATAGCTTTCACTCTAAATTTTACTTTGATTTTCCCCAGTTCCTTCTTACTGTAGATTCACAGCTAGCAAGGATTTTTGAGGATTTTTAAGCTGTATGCAGAGGTGCCAATATGTTCAAGGTAGTGTACAAAGGTTGCCAATTCCTTCTACCCCAAAACAACAACTTTTAAACAACAACTTTATTTTACTCCAGTGGTGACAGGGAATTCTGCATTTTATGCAATCAAGACATAATATAAATCTCTCCCTATAGGACTGCACATCCAAAATGCGCTGCAGCCACTTCTAGATAAGGGGAAGTAGATGTCAAATGGAATCTGGGTGATCAGCACTTAGTTGATTAAAATCCAGGGATATCAGCAAGCAAAGCAAAGGTCTGCATGACAGGAAAGGATCAACTCCTACCTATTGTGGGTCAGGAAGCAACAGTTAGAACTGGACATGGAACAGACTAGTTCCAAATAGGAAAAGGAGTACGTCAAGGCTGTATATTGTCATCTGCTTATTTAACTTATATGCAGAGTACATCATGAGAAAGGCTGGAAGAAGCACAAGCTGGAATCAAGATTGCTGGGAGAAATATCAATAACCTCAGATATGCAGATGACACCACCCTTATGCAGAAGAACTAAAGAGCCTCTTGATGAAAGTGAAAGAATAAACTGGAGAAGTTGGCTTAAAGCTCAACATTCAGAAAACTAAGATCATGGCATCCAGTCCCATCACTTCATGGCAAATTTATGGGGAAACAGTTGAAACAGTGGCTGCCTTTATTTTGGGGGGCTCCAAAATCACTGCAGATGGTGACTGCAGCCATGAAATTAAAAGATACTTACTCCTTGGAAGGAAAGTTATGACCAACCTAGACAGCATATTAAAAAGCAGAGACATTACTTTGTCAACAAAGGTCCCTCTAGTCAAGGCTATGCTTTTTCCAGTAGTCATGTATGGATGTGAGTTGGACTACAAAGAAAGCTGAGCAGTGAAGAATTGATGCTTTTGAATTGATGTGTTGGAGAAGACTCTTGAGGGTCCCTTGGAGTGCAAGGAGATCCAACCAGTCCGTCCTAATATCAGTCCTGGCTGTTCATTGGAAGGACTGATGTTGAAGCTGAAACTCCAACACTTAAGCCACCTGATGCCAAGAGCTGACTCATTTGAAAAGACCCTGATGCTGGGAAAGATTGAGGGCAGGAGAAGAAGGGGACGACAGAGGATGAGATGGTTGGATGGCATCACCGACTCAACGGACATGGGTTTGGGTAGGCTCCGGGAGTTGGTGCTGCAGTCCACGGAGTCGCAAAGAGTCGGAGACGACTGAGCGACTGAACTGACCTGAATGCTCTGCGACCTCTCCCCGCGTCCCGCAAAAGGCAGACAGAACCAAAGAAAGGTAATGGGAAGGTCAGGCTACAAATCAAATAACACGGGTCAGCTAAAAGAGATAGCACTCGGCCCAACGACACTCTGTACTGAAAAGAGCACTGGAAAATGTGCCAGAAGCCCTGGGTTCGAGCCCCGAACACACTGATTTTTCAGTTGTCTTGATCTTCACTCCAGTTACCTCTTCTCTTTAAGGTATACTAAAAACACGAGGCTTAACCGGAGGCCGCCCAACCTACCAGGGCACCGAGACGCTGCTCATGAATAACCAGCAGCTGTGCAGACACCCAGGGGGCTTTTCACACTGAGGTCCATTCGGGGTCGTCAGTAAGGAGATGCCAGGGAGGGAGAGGTGTCGCTTCCCCCCCGGCCCCGGACGCACCGCAAAGTCCCGGGGACAGACCGTGGTGCGGTCTCGCCCCGCCGGACTCCACTACCTGCTTCCCCTGCCAGCCCAGGGCTGCGGGGACCCGCGGGAGCGGCCCGCGGCCCACAGCCGCGGCGGCGGCAGCTCCCAGCAACCTCATGGCGAACGCAGCACAGGCCAGAAGGTCCCGCGACTCCGGCCCTGTCCAGCAACCGGCACTACTATTGGAAGCGGTCAAAGTCACGCCGGCAATCAGCGCCAAAGAGCACTTCCGGGGCGAAGGATACGAGGGAGGAGAGAAAGAAAGAGAGAGGGAGAAGCTTCCGGATCTCAGGGCAGAGCGGCGTCCTCCGCTGCCCGGCTGCCCTCTACCGACTGGGAAGAGAAAGTGCAGTCGCTTTGCGTAGCTAATCAGGCTTTTAAAGCACGCTGCCAGAAAGATGCAGCCTTCATTTGCTTTGCCTATACAGCAAAGTGGAGAAATGTTTATATTTAACTTAAAAATGCAAAATCGTTATTAATGCTACTACAAAAATATGAAAAAATAATCTACAGGATATGATCTGTAAAAAACTTGGGAAAATAAAAAAAAATCTACAAATGGTTTTTCTCGTTTCAAGATGTTCTATATATAGTTCGATGCTAAACATGATATGTCTAGTCTATATAGAAGATAGCATCTTTGAGATTCCACTTCGATTTCTTGGAGGCATTGGAGCTAATGATCTTCCCCTCAAAACCTTCTTCTGCAGTCTTTGTCTCAACGGAAACTCCTTTCCTCGAGTTGCCGGGACCAAAAATGTGACTTTGAACCCCTCTTTGACTTTCCTGCTCTAGTCAGTCGGCATGTACTATGGGCCCTGCGTTAAAAAATGGATCCAGAATCTGCACCTTCTCCCCACCTCTCAAAGCACTGCTGTCTAGATGGAATTACTGTCAGCCCATCTGACCTTACAGCTTCTGCCCCACGGCTGCTCCGCCTAGCCCTTCACAGCCACTAAAAGGGATCCTAAAACCCCGAGGGTGTCATTTTCTGCTAAAAACACCCATCCAGTGAGTTATTGTTACTGTCATCTCTACTTTAGCATTGGCTTGAAATTTTTTATAACTAAAATTTTAATCTTGAAGCTTTTCATTACCTTAAAAATTTAACTAACTAAAATTTAAAAAAATTAACCTTTAGAATAAGCACCTACAAAGACTTGCTTGAGCAGCCACGCCAGCCTGGCCCTACCTCACTTGCTCTTGCTTCCTCTCCGCCTCCGGGCTGACCCTCACGTAACCAGAGCCGGTGCTCTGCTCCTGATACACGCCGAGCTCTTTCCCTTACTTCTCTGTTCACATCCTCTATCAATTAGGTGTCCCTGACCAGCTCTTCTAAAACAGCAACCCCTGCCCTATGTTTGTGCGCTGCTTCGTTTTCCTTCTGAGCTCTTCTTAGATACATCCAGACACACCTTACACAACTATTGTCTGACTCTCCCAATTAGAACTGCTCCAAAAGGATAGTGGTTTGGTTTTCTTAATTGCTGTATTCCTTGCTGTGCTCAATAAATACTTGTTAAATGAGTAAGAGCAAATAAATAGAAATCAGAGTAAATTACAAGAGACAAGAAAAACCATAGATTCGATGATGAATTTTGGACTTATTTTTTATATATCAACCATTTGTTAATTTGTAGTAAAGGACTGACTTTGATGAATAAATCCATTAATGTTGAATATACTTTTAAGCAAACTTTATTCGTAGGCTTTCAAAAACTGAGTCTTTATAAACCTTTGTATTTGCTTAAAATATACAAATTAAATAATAGTTATGTAAATGGTAATAAAATTAAGGTTTTAATTTTAAGATATAATTTAAGTAAAAAAGTTAGTTTTGAAATTGCTTTTTGAAATTACCGTTTTAACAAACTAAATTTCCTAGAGTAAAAATTCATACTCTTCCTGTATGTGTATATTTATATTCATATTTTTCTGTAATTATTACACCAAGTATGTTAATTTTTTTTGTTAATCACCACTTTTAACCAAAGTAATAAACTTTTGTTTGCTCCACAGAAAGAATTGGAAGACAAAAAACCCAAAACCGTCTAACTAGGTTTCTGAGTACACTTTATAAATTACTTCTGTTAAGTTTTAAAATGGCAAAATATACATTATATTATTTAAAGTAGTTGCACATTCTGCTAATTCATAGTCATTTTATAATATATAAGAATAAAGATAAATTCAATGAAGGTCCTGATTCACTGCATTGAAGGGAAGGTCTAGTCAAACCTCAGTAGAATCTCCAATATATCCTAGCCTGACTGGCCCAATACCACAGTCTTAGTCCATTTAGTCTGCTATAACAAAAGCACTAGACTGGGTGACTTGTAAACAACTGAAATTTATGTCACACTGTTCTGCAGGGTGGGAAGCCTGAGAGCGAGGCTCCAGGAGATTCAGCGACAGTGTGTGCGACGTCCTGGTTCACAGGCAGCCAACTTCTCACTGTGTGCACACGAGGTAGGAAGAACAGGCGAGCCGTCTAGGGTCTCTTGTTGTTTAGTCGCTCAGTCGTGTCTGACCCTTCGCAACCCCATGGACTGTAGCCCACCAGTCTCCTCTGTCCACTGGATTTTCCCAAGTAAGAATACAGGAGTGGGAAATACTCCAGGAAAATACATTTCCTCCTCCAGGGGATCTTCCTAACCCAAGGATCAAACCCCTATCTCAAGCGTTGGTAGGCAGATTCTTCACCGCCAAGCCACCAGGGAGACCCAGGGTCTCTTTTTTGTTGTAGTTCAGTTGCTAAGTTGTGTCCCACTCTGCGATCCCATGGGCTGCAGCATGCCAGTCGCTCCTCCACTATCTCCCAGAGTTTGATCAAATTCAAGCCCACTGAGTCGGTCTCTTCTACAAAGGCTTTAATTGTATTCACGAGGGCTCCACCCTCATAACCTTACAAAGGGCCCACATCCAAATACCATCACATGGCCATGAGCAAGTCACCATTTGATACCAATGTGCTCCTGCCTCTGCCCTGTGACAGTAATAGATAATGAAATCATAAAAGTAAGTAATGGAAACCTATCCCTGGGACCGAGTTACCAGGAAAATTGCTAAAGTAGCAAGGAACCTAAGTACTCAACTTGGCCTTACTGTCAAGGCCACATTCACCAAATAGTTAATATCCTTATATTCCCCAAAGACACAGACTTCCAGAAAGATCAGTGGTTGTCCATAAAAAAAAATATGTGAACTACAATTTATGGCGAGCCTTCTTTTTTATACTAGTTGACTTCAGAATGGGCTTACTTTATGGTTCAACTGGTAATCCGCCTGCAATGCAGGAGACCTGGGCTCAGTCCCTGGGTTGGGAAGATCCCCTGGAGAAGGGAAAGGCTACCCACTGGCCTGGAGAATTCCATGGACTGTATAGTCCATGGTGTTGCAAAGAGTTGGACACGACTGAGTGATTTTCACTGACTTCAGAATTAGGATAAAAATAAATTCCAGAAAAAGTCAATTTCAGTAGTGTGTGAATGTAAAGAATTGACATTTAATCTCTGGATGTCACATATTTTATAAATAGCCCCCTAGGAAGCACTGTAGCAGAAGAGGAAATACATATTTAATTCAATTTTAACATGATTGCCACAGTGAACAAACTGGGGTGAAAAAATCATCTATGAATTTTGTTATATGATGCATGGAAGTTATACTCTTATAGGTACAATATTTATTCAAGTGTGTTTCATATTTGAATACAATGATTTGAGTTAGCGATCAGTGTAATAATGTAGAAGAATAACTACAATGTCTACTGGATTTTGATCTATCCAGTGAATTTACACAAACATATTATTTAAAACCTATGCTTTATGATAAGTTCCCAATGTGTAATAGTATGTTATTAGTATACTCATTATTCATAAGAGGAAAATTTTAACATCTTTAACTGATACGTGCTCAATTACTTTCCATTCTAAAAATGAGATGACACATATGCATTTTATTTTAGTGACTAAAGACATGAAACACAACTAGTAATATTAACAGGATATGATATAGAAAATTAGTAGTATAAGCCCAATTACACAATTCTAATTCCAAAGTTTAAAAAGGAAGATATTAGGATTATAGAGTTAGTTGACTTTGTTCTTTTTTCTCCCTTTGAAACAACAAAAACTTAAAAAGTTAAGATTTTATATTCTCATAAGCTTTATGCTTAAATTTATATAAACAGATCAATGCTCTAATTCTAGAACAAAAAATTAAAGAGCTGAATTTTTAAATAGTATAATTAAAAAGGGAACAGTTGTATTAAGTACCTTGCTCAGACACACACATCACCTGTCTAAGAAATTTTGAGACAATCAATCATTAAGGTTTGCAGAATACCAAATGCATTTTTCTAAAGGTCACAAAGAGGCTGAGCAGAGTTTCTCCAAGGACAATCCAACTTTAGAATCTTAACTATGGAGATAAATTAAGCTGTCTGTGAGAAAGGAGAACAGAAATATGCTACCTTAAGATGTAAAGAGAAAGGTCAATAGAAACTCTGATGAGTGTTAAAAATGTAATACAGAACAAAAAATAATATACTGTATAAAGAAATGATAAGCATGAGACAAGCGCTCGGGGCTGGTGCACTGGGAAGGCCCAGAGGGATGGGATAGGGAGGGAGGCAGGAGGGGGGATGGGGATGGGGAGCACATGTACATCCATGGCTGATTCATGGCAATGTATGGCAAAGCCCACTGAAATATTGTAAAGTAATTAGTCTCCAACTAATAAAAATAAATGGAAAAAACAAGAAATGATAAGGAGAAAATTCAGGTATATTAGCAATTTAAAATCTCTTCAAAAATGAACTATTTCTTATTCTTTACGTCCTTTATCAAAATAATAACATTTTTTATAAAGGAGTACTAGTATAGTTTTTGCTTTATTTTAAAAAATTCTTTAAGCCGGCTGGCTACATAAACACATTATAAAATTTGAGCTAATTTTAGCCTTTATTAACATCACTCTATTATAGTGTTGCTAAAAAAAACTGGGACTATTTTTGAGCAGTTTACTAATTTTATATGCTAGAACAGTTGTACATTCAATCTTGAGTATACAGGGGAAAACATAACCAATATAAAAATAATTGTGAAAGCAAAATCAGTACGTGTTATGTTTTAAAGAGTGTTATAGAATGTTTAACAGCTTGCACTGTTGAAGATTCAAGTTTTATTCCTAAAGTAGGGACAATATAAAGCAAGCACTTTCAAGAACATTCAGAAGAAAGTTGCTAAGAACAGTACTGATTTAATAACAAAAGATTGGTCTTACATATATTACCCAGCACCATTACTTTCTCTGTTAAAACAACCAAAACTAAAGAAATCAAATGCAATGCTATTTATTTTTTGTTGATTTTCACAGGTGATCCTTTGATGTTGAGTTTGTCCACAAAAACATTTGATCTTCTTCCATGTTCAATGGCTGGATTTTGATGATGTTTCTCCCTAGGAAATATACATATGAACATTAATATCATTTTTAAGTGGTCATAAAACATCAACACAAACTTGATAAAGGCCAGTGTAATTTAAGGTGAGTTTTATCTTAAGAGTTCCATAATAGCTTTGAAAAACATATGGCAGACAATTTCACTCAACATTTAAGAGAGCAACAGCTGCTTCTCTGAGACAGATATAACTGTTTACCTTTGAACCATGCTATCCAACATTGTAGCCACTAGCCACATCGTTTACATTTAAATCAATTAAAATAACATGGAATTTCAAAATTCAGTTCCTTGGCTGTATCACTGACATTTCAAGTGTGATTCAACAGCCACATGTGGATAGTGGCTACCATATAGACAGTGCAGATGTATAACATTTTCATCACTGCAAAAACTCATTTCAGAAAGTTCAGCTAGACAATGCTGGTTTACAGAAAATGCCACTGACAGGGTTATAGATTTCTAAACCATCTATAAGGAGCATGCTTTTCTCTAGCTGGGACCTGAATCTCACAGTCAAACTTAGGTTTGATTATAGCACTGTTAGGTTTTTATCAATAAACTTCTCAAAGTGAGACAATTATGGTTTACAATTAATAGGGGAGCAAGTTTTCTATGGAAAACATTAGGGCTCTAAATTCCTAGACAAGTGTTTTAAAATAAAAGATAGCTGGCACACAACATTCTGCACAAGGCTTCCGGTTTCCTCGGTACCCACTTGTTGCTCGCTGGTTCTGGGCAGCCTTCCACCTTCTGCAGCGATCCTCCGCTCTTATAGCCTAGAACAGATTTCTGTTTTGAGGCCTGGGGAGGCCTCTCTCTCTCTCTCTCTCTCTCAAATCTAATGTCAACAGGAATTAGGTAGTGTTTTCAATTTTCCCCCAGAGAACCAAATTAAATTGTAACTCTAGAATACACACTAAATGTGTCCAAGTCTCATCTTTAAAGTTGGTTTTAGCACATTTGTACTTCACATCTATTCCAAAAGGTAATTCCAAATGAGGCTACAGTTTTTGCAAAATTCTTCCAAAATATCTAATACAGATATTGTAACATACTATTTAATACATAAGTATCTAAAAACATGTTTGCCATTAAATGCTCAATTTTGACTTGTTAGGGAAGTTTCGTTCAGCCTTTTAGCTCTCCCCTTACCATATCCCTAAATGCCGGTATCTTTACCTAGTACAACACCGGTATCTTTACCTAGTACAAAATGTACAGCTCCTACTCTCTCCCGATGAGACTCTGTTGCATAAGAATAACTGCATTATAGTATATCACTTTTCCTCAGGAGGATTTTAGTCCCACTGTCTAAACCATAATTTGCTAGTGAGTTACTAGTCATACAATCCTAAAATATTATTGGGTTTCAGGTACAAATTTCAATTTGTGTTGGAATACTCAGATGTAATTTAAAATTATTACATCTTTCACAAAACATTGATATAAACCACCTGGACATCAATCAAAACTTCCTGAAAACAGAGGTAAAATTACACAACTTTCCTTCTAATTTGTCTTTAAAAAACGCAATTTAATTAGAAATAACTTTTACCTTCTTTTAAGTTCTCGGGATCCTGAATTCTCATGACCAACACTTCGCATCCTAGAGTTATCTAGATTGCGCCATTGTCCCCTTGGCTGGTACTTCAGAATCTCATTTTGCCACTCATCATCAAAAGCATGAGCATCACCTACGTTAAATATCAAAATAAAAGGGTAAGTACTAAGGTATCAACTGTCAGTAACTGCTTTGCTCCTCACACATTCCCTGGTGTTTTCCATCGGCCTAACCTTAGAGATAGGAAACTGCTTCAAATATAAAGGTCTTTGACTCAGAGAGATATTTCCTTTTGTATTTGTTCCTCTCCTATTCCTGCTGGTAATTTGGTTACTGATGAGCTGTTTTTTCACACAGCTGCCTGGATATCACGTTATTCTATCCCTGGACCCCATGACCCAGAGACACTGACTTACAGTCTTTCTTTCTTCCTGGTCATCTCACAGAGGTCCCACTTTTCCACTGTACTTGGAGGACACTCCTCCTGGGACTAGCACTTTCTATTACTCTCACAATTTCACTACATAATCTGGCCTCACAAGTTTCTGCTTCAGTTTCCTAAGATAGGTTAGTCACCTGCCAGTTTATGTTGCTATGAACTAGATAATCTAAATTCTATAATAACTATAAGTAAATGACAATACTTGTTCTTTCAGATTGCCTGTACCACAATGTTACTTTGCCAAAATTTTCTTCAATATGTTAATTATTGTGAAGTATTCTATATATATTTAAATATGACCAAATTGCAAAGGTTAAAATTAAAGAAAGGTGAAGACGTTGTGGCTTTCATCTCATTGCATAATAATAATTTTTTCCAATTCCAACCTTAAGAGAATTTCTTTTTCTAAAATGAAACAATAATTAAAACTCTTTACTATGATAAAACATTTTTATTCAAAATATTTTCTAAAAACAGGAAATGAATATAACTTAAAAACTATAATGAGAAGAGTTAGGACATTAGAAAGAATTGAATGCATTAAAGAATGAGTAGAAAATTTAGGAAATGGAAAAGATGAGCTTGATCCATATATATTATCTAACAATATCAGATATCTAAATCTTACCTATACAAAGGCCTGAGTGCCCAACAATACAGAATAATTTAAGTAAATTATGGCCAATTCATGGTAAAAGTCTTAGGTAACCATTTAGATAATGTTTTTGAAAAAGTAACATCATAGGTGGCTGTTCAAAATTATAGTTGGGAATTAAAATAAGCACAATATAAACTATATAGATGGTAAAATACTAATTTTGAAAAAGAAAAGTATGTGTTTATATGTTTATATATACATAAAACTATTAGGAATATATATACTAAAACATTAATACTAGTGTTTTGGGTTGGAATTATGGGTGATTTTATTTTCTTTCTTTGTACTTTTCTATGCTTTTCAAATATACTTCTTTGATAACCACAAATATATAAAAACTAATTTTTACTAATGACAGCTTTACTAAAAAACAAAAGATTCCATTTTCCAAGTATAAAACAAAAAATAAATGGTACTCAACATTAAAAAATCACTATGAAAAAACAGATCTACAATGAAACTACAATTTTATTACTATGTTGATAATGTATTGCCTACATATACAATTCATAAAACTGCCTGAAAGAACATCATATAAAATGTTTCTATTAGAAAAATTCTCACCAAGTCCTACTGGTACAGCTGCTATTTTAACTTTGAGAGGAAGAATGCCACTTTTTCTGGTAACTTACATTCATTCATATTGATGAACTCTTGATTGACCTCTTCATCTCCAGTCTTGTTGTTCTTTGACTTTTTAATGACATGAGCTCGGTCATGGAGGTGATGACCAACAGCCATTTTTTCTAGTCCACTGTCAGAATCTCTTAATGCTTTCCTGGTTTCCTTTATCTGTGAAAATGAAGAAAATAAAAATTAGTTTTTATTTATATAAATATAGAATATAAACTCCTCAGAACCTACTTGCCTATACAGGTAAGAACATAAATCTATTGCTCTAAAAATAATGGATACTTAGTTCCACTACCAACTGGTAGTAAAATTATGGTAATAATTCTCTGATGTTTCCTGACCTGCTTAAAACTAAAATGCCTAGGACAAACAGAACCAGTATAATTATTAAAAAAAAAAAAAAAGAATACATGTAAGGGCAACTAATTATTCAGCAGTCATGAAATGACTTAAATATTTTCATTTAAGTCACCCATTAGACAGGCAACCCCTAATTTTCTTTACTATAAGTACTAACAAATAAATGGAGAAGTGGCAACTCTCAAACCAAAATCTGTAGGAGTCAACTGTTTCAATCCCTACATGATAGTAAGTTGGTAATTTCTAGGTAAGAATGAGGACACACACCTCCTCCAATCCAATAATAGTATTCCTAGCCCTTTTTGCACAAGGAGACAGCTATGAAGATCAATAAGTGAAAAATTATCAACAGCTACATATCTATCATTAGAAAAGGAGATTTTAAAACTGTGGTATATTCATATTTTGGACATTATATAGAAGTTAAAATAAAGAAACCAGAGCTACACATATCAACTTGAACAAATTTCAGAAGCAATTACTGAGCAAAGTCTAGTTGCAGAACAAAGTCACATATGCTAGGAAACCATTTATACAAAGCTTAGAAACCTGTAAAATGATTCACTATATTGTATATGGAGCATACATAAGTAATGAAATCATAAAAGCATGCATAAAAATGATAAGTTCCAGGTACAGGCATACCTCAGAGATAGTGCAGGATCCATTCTGGACCTCTGCAATGAAGGAAATAGTGCAATAAAACATGTCACATGAATTTCTGGTTTTCCAGGGCATACAAAAGTAATGTTTATCCTATTCTGTTGTTACTAAGTTTGCAGTGGCATTATGTCTAAGAAGGCAATGTACACACCATAATATAAAAACACTTTATTGCTAAAAATCGCTAATTATCACCTGACAGCACAGGATTGCCACAAACCTTCAGTTTGCAAAAAATGCAACTTATCTGTGAAGTGCAGTAAAGCGAAGGCCAGTAAAATGAGGTATGCCTGTATAAGAAAACGGTTCTCTTTGGGGAGGGAGAGAGGGAAAAGGGACCAAGGAGGGAGGAGCATATTGGAAATTTTAACTGCATTTTTGCTTAAAAAGAAAACAGAAGACAACTTAAATAGAGAAAAGCATTATGAGTTCACTAAACTGGATTAAAGAAATATGGGGTATTTATATTATTCTCTATGCCCTGTCTGTACACTTGAAATATTTTATGAGTTAAAAAATTCATTTACTTTGAATATAAACTAACTGTAGACATTTATTTCATGAAATAAAGACTTCAGTGTCTACTTCCCTTGTCAACATGTAAAGGTAATAAAACATCAATAGACACTGAATATAAGAAAGGCACCTGGGGGCACAAATGGAGGTAGGTGGGGGAGCAAGTGAGGGAAAGTGAAAGTGAAAGTCGCTCACGCTCTTTGCGACCCCCTGGACTATATAGTCCATAGAATTCTCCAGGCCAAAATACTGGAGCGGGTAGTCTTTATATTACGGTGAGTACATTGCTTTTTTATACATACTGCTATTGCAAACCTAACAACAGAACAGAATAAATGTTACTTTTATATGCACTGGAAAACCAGAAATTCATGTGACCCATTTTATTGCACTGTTCCCTTCACTGCAGAGGTCCAGAATGGATCCTGCACTCTCTCTCCCACTACCAGTGGAGGAGACAAAGAATGCCTTAAAATAAACAACTACAAAAAAATAAATAAATAAATATACAACTACAGTCAACTTTACTGCTTTTTCACACTTTGCATTTTCTTCTTCTTCTTCTTTTCCGCACCAGCACCAGGTCAAATTCTAATAGCTAAAGTTTGATACAGGTGATCTATCATTCATAACTTTATAAAGTTCCAAGAAAGTACTCACTCCCCCTGGAGCCCGACGGGTCTGTGTTGAAGCCTGGAACACCTTGGGCGGCTCATCTCCTACTTTGGAATAAGTCATCACGGAGGAAGAACTAAATGAATGTCCATTTGGATCCACTGAAAGGTGACCCTGGAGAGAAATATGATCGTATATCCAGTGAGCTCACTCAAGTATGAAGGACTAATGTCAGAAGCTTCAAATAAGCAAAACACTAGCTGTAAGTTCTAGTAAAGACAGTGTATATGATCAGTATGATGTATCCACATGGTACCCTCATGAAGGCCCTGACCTCCTTCCATTTTAGGTACCAATTCACACTCCTCTCGTAAGGAATAATGAATAACTAGTGATTCACTTAGAATTCCTCAAATCTTTGAGGTCAAAGACTTCAAGGCTTACGTTTATAGACGTTACGTCCTGAAGCATGTGATACTTTTATAGTCAGTGGTTAACTTTTGTGAGCAATTTTGCCATTGTTGAGCCATTTAACCATATGCCAAGAAGTTTTATACCTTCTGTGGGTACCAGTGCTACACTTCTAATGTCCAAGATTTGGACATTATGAGATGATCCTTAGATTTCAAACTGGATGACCAAATTAATATGGTTGGTCTTCATACTGAATCAAGTTATTATTTTGATTATGATTAATGTTATGAGTGGAAAAGTAAGGTTAGTACTAGTTTATAAGTATTCAGACTATATGACTCTAATCCAGTTTCTAAATATCATTCTTAAAATTTCTATTTTGAATTATTTTTAAACACTAAAACTTAATAACTTAGATGCTATAATTTTTTTAAGTAGACAAGTTATACATAATAAAAAATCTAAATTCATATAAAATGTTCATTTACAATAGTGACCTTCACCAGAATAAATATTTTTGAGGTTGAATTTTTTATTTTGGAAATTTAAGTAATGCTATTTATCAAACTTGTAGATTATGAGATCATTTTGATAGGTTGTGATCAGGAGTTTTAAAATATGAAATAAATAGAAAATATCAATAGACTGTAAACAGCATGATCTTTTTCTCATGAAACTTTCAGGTGTACAATATATACAGTACACAAGTAGGGTCATGATGTAAGATATATTTTTTATATAGTTTATAAAACTATATAGATTATATAGTTCTGGGAACTATGGTTAGAAAATGGTTGAAAGCCACTATAATACAGGGTGCCAATAATGGAAAACAACATTCTCATCCATCTTTTAGTACTTACAAAGTTTCTTTGTAATTCCTGCATACTGTTTCGCATATTTAACATCATTCGGTCCATTGCCTGAAAAGGGTTGACATCTGTATGCTACAGGACATTAGGAAGTATGTTATTAACTATAAATACAACATGAAAGAAGCAAATCCACCTTCCTCAAACAGCTGAATTTCTTTTTTTTCCTTGACTTTTGTTTTGGGATCTCATGCAGTGATTAACCAAGCAAAGATAATGTAAGGACTATACAATGGAAGCGATTTGTTAAAGAAAAATTTGAAGCATACACACAATCCTAGACAGCCAGCATATAAATGGTTAGGAAGCTGTAACACTATAAACACATGCATACATACATATGTATATATCCACATGAATATACATGCAAGAACAGATAAATATACACATCATTCAACTTGATCAAAACATAATTTGGTTGTTATTTAAATACTGAGTGGTATATTCTGGGCTAGCACAGCTTTAGCATAGACTAGTCTTCAAATTTTTCCTTCTTACCTCTGTATATCCCACCAGGCAAAAAAATAAAACCTGAGTGTAAGATAACAGTGTCATCTCCAGCAGGACCACGTGGCTAACAGAAGCTGACTCTGGAGAAGCCAGCCCTCCTTTCCATCAGCGTTAGCGATGGTTGCTCAGTCATGTCCAACTCTGCAATCCCGTGGACTGTAGCCCGCCAGGCTCCTCCATCCATGGGATTTCCCAGGCAAGAGTACTGGAGTGGGCTGCCCTTTCCTTCTCCAGGGGATCCTCCCATCCCGGGGATCACACCCGGGGCTTCCGCACTGCAGGCAGACTCTTCACAGTCTGAGACACCAGGGGAGCCTTTCCGTCAGAGCTGGCGCTGAGTGATGGGAGGGTGACTCATTCCACTAGCAGGTCTGGGAATTGCTGCCTATCACTGATGGCTCGATAGGGCATCCCCTTGAAGCGTGAGGTGTGCTCCTCTCCAAGAACAGTTAAAATTCCTCTGGAACAGTGGTTTCTTAGCCAAGAGTGGTTGGTACCCCAGGGGGACATTTTTCAATAATTGCTCTCATGTTTGTCACCGCTGGGGAGGGCGTATGCCTGGCATCCAGTGACAGGGGCAGGGATTCTGTTAGACATCCTACAAAGCACGAGAATGGAGGACAGCTCCCCACAACAAGTTACCCGGCCCGACATGAAAGGAGCAGCATCGAGGCAGAGAAACACTGCTCTAGAAAAATCTCCTATTGATTTTAGGTTTTATCACTGGAACGATCACCAGGAATCAAAAAGTTAAGCACACATTCTCGCGTGTGAGCCAAAGCATCGTCTGCCGTTAGAAGCAGCTTCTGGTTCCAGGACTCCCCGCTCAAGCAGGAAGAGTCTTTTGACTCCTACATGTAAGGCGTTGTTAAGCAGTGCGGGTATTTCTGCCCTTCTGGAGGTTCTTTTGCCTTGTACCCTTCCGGGACTCAGTAAAGAACTATCAAAGGTCCGTTTACATCTCTGCCTTCTATTGGGTTTTTAATGCTAATGGCAACCCACTCCAGTAGTCTTGCCTGGAGAATTCCATGGACTGAGGCTACAGTCCATGGGGGTGCAAAGAGCTGGACACAACTGAGTGACTGACACGCTCACACACAACAGGAAATAGAAAAGTCAAGTTCCTCTTCAGAGTCTGCACTGACCATTGTGGGCCTCCCCCGTGGCTCAGGGACGAAGACTCCGTCTGCAATGCCGGAGACCCAGGTTCAATCCCTGGCTCGGGAAGATCCCCTGGAGAAGGGAATGCAACCCACTCCAGTGTTCTCCTGGAGAGCCCCGTGGACAGAAGAGCCTGGTGGGCTACAGTCCGCGGCACTGCAAAGAGCTGGACGCACCTGAGTGACGGTCACATCACTTCACGTCTAATCTAACCACAGTACAGAGCAACAAAGACACGTTTAGGAAATATGATACATCTTTCCTGATAACTCAGCTGACAAAGAAACCGCCTGCAATGCAGGAGACCCCGGTCCCATCCTGGGTCGGGAAGATCCGCTGGAGAAGGGATAGGCTGCCCACTCCCATATTCTTGGGCTTCCCCGGTGGCTCAGTTTGAAAAGAATCCGCCTGCAATGCAGGAGACCCTGGTTTGATCCCTGGGCTGGGACGATCCCCTGGAGAATGGAAAGGCTGCCCACTCCAGTGTTCTGGCCTGGAGAATTCCATGAGCTGTATAGTCCATGGGGTCGCAAAGAGTCGGACACGACTGAGCAACTTTCACACTTAGGATGCAAAGGACAGCAACAGAATTAATCTGCATTGCAGAGATTCAACACAGTTCTGGAAATATTGTGAACTGTTTGTTTCAGCGTTACATTGAGAATCAACGCTGTTTAAGAGATAATTCAAGAGAGACTAAAGAGCTAGCCTAAGGAAAGTGAGGGAAAAAAATCACATCTTTTGGGTATATTTTGTCTCCTCTCAATTCACTGTCAGCCATTAAAGATGTGTCTGTACTTGCTATGGGGGTGGCCCAGCACCTTGACAAAGGGAGGGGTACAAATTAGAGCTGAGATTCCAGTGGGCTTCGGAAGCCTTCAGGAACTTTGTACAGCGGCTCTTCTCTCTGCCTGGAATGTTCTCTCCTGACTCAGTATAATTAGTTTCTTCTCATCATTCAAGTATCATCTCCTTAGAAGGGTTACCTGTCTAATCTCTGCTCCACCTGAACCTGTCCCTGGATCATGTGCCCATTTCGTCTCCTTCAAAGCACTTAGACTATCTGAATTATTTTGTTCTTTATTGTCTGTCCTCCTACTCTGTGCAAATAACCTCTGTGAAGGCAGGGCTATCTTCTCTTACTCATCCCCATATTCCCAATACTTTAGAAACAACTCCTGGTGCATATGAATAGTAAAGTCGCTCAGCTGTGTCCGACTCTTTGCGACCCCATGGACTATAGCCTACCACGCTCCTCTGTCCATGGGATTTTCCAGGCAAGAGTACTGGAGTGGGCTGCCATCTCCTTCTCCAGAGGATCTTCCCGACCCAGGGATTGAACCTGGGTCTCCCGCATTGCAGGCAGACACCTTACTGTCTGAGCCGCCAGGGAAGCCCCCTGGTGCATAGGAGGGCTCAATAAATATTTGCTGAATGAATGAACTAACTATCTGTAGCTCAGTTCAAGCTCATATATCCAACTGCTTACTAGATAAATCAACCTGAACAGCCCACAGATGCCTCAACTGCAAAACACCCAGAACTGAAATGATCGTCTGAATACGCCTGCCCTCACACTGGCACTGCCTCAACGCTCTGTTCCTTAGCTCGGTGGCATTTTCATCTGCCTAATTCCTCAGGCCAGGAAAATAAGCACAAAACTTTTCTTCCCCTTCTCTACTGATCCAACAACCCGATGAATCGCCAAGTGCTATCCACTTGCTTATTTAACTCTCTCAAAAGAGATTATTTCTCTTTATCACCACAGCTATTACTTGAGTAGAAGCTATCTATCACTCATACATCTCAGAACACTTTGTCAGCCTCCTAGCCTCTCTGCCTCCACTCTGGCCCCTTCTAATATCTCTCTTCCCTGGAGGGACAATGCTTTTTCAAAAATCAGAATCTGATTCTCCTACTATTTTGACAAAAATTCATCAGTTGCTTCTCCTGCTCTTTTGTTAAAGTCCACAGTCCTTATCAGGGCCAAAAGTCCCCCCTGGTACCCTCATCACCCTTCTCTATACCTGTTCTCCAACTCATACCCTAGGGCCAATACCCAAATATCTTTGGGCTCCCTAGCCTCCTGGTCTTTACACACGCTGTTTCCTCTGTGTTGATCTTTCTTCTCCCTTCCCAGCTTTTCCTGGCTAATTCCTATTAATCCTTCAGGCTCAAGAAGTCTTCTCTAACTGACCTCCACTCCACCAACCCAAAGGTCTGGGCTACAGGCTTTTCTCTATCTGTGTGCCCACAGCACGCTAAACTTCCTGGATTACTTGACTGGTAACTCTGTGCTATGGCTGTTTTTTTCCCTTCATCGCTTGTCCCACTAAAAACACTGATCAGGAAGCACAAATGTTATAAGGCAAATTTTAAGGTAAGAAATGGCTAAAGTCTAGCACAAGAGAATTCAAAAAACTTTTTCATGAGCGTATAGATGCACGCATAGAACGTGCTCCAAGATGATGATGCTATTCTCTGCTACTCCCCAGACTGCATTTAAGTGTATTAGAAATTAGCAGCAGAGAACCAGAGGACCAAAGGCTCAGAGAAAAACAGGGGTGGGAGAAGAAAGCTGGCTGCAGAGTACTTGGCCATGGGAAAGGAAAGCATGGCTGAGCTGACAACAGAGCCCCAGAGGAGCCGTCATATGAATAGTAAAGTCGCTCAGCTGTGTCCGACTCTTTGCGACCCCATGGACTATAGCCTACCACGCTCCTCTGTCCATGGGATTTTCCAGGCAAGAGTACTGGAGTGGGCTGCCATCTCCTTCTCCAGAGGATCTTCCCGACCCAGGGATTGAACCTGGGTCTCCCGCATTGCAGGCAGACACCTTACTGTCTGAGCCGCCAGGGAAGCCCCCTGGTGCATAGGAGGGCTCAATAAATATTTGCTGAATGAATGAACTAACTATCTGTAGCTCAGTTCAAGCTCATATATCCAACTGCTTACTAGATAAATCAACCTGAACAGCCCACAGATGCCTCAACTGCAAAACACCCAGAACTGAAATGATCGTCTGAATACGCCTGCCCTCACACTGGCACTGCCTCAACGCTCTGTTCCTTAGCTCGGTGGCATTTTCATCTGCCTAATTCCTCAGGCCAGGAAAATAAGCACAAAACTTTTCTTCCCCTTCTCTACTGATCCAACAACCCGATGAATCGCCAAGTGCTATCCACTTGCTTATTTAACTCTTTCAAAAGAGATTATTTCTCTTTATCACCACAGCTATTACTTGAGTAGAAGCTATCTATCACTCATACATCTCAGAACACTTTGTCAGCCTCCTAGCCTCTCTCCCTCCACTCTGGCCCCTTCTAATATCTCTCTTCCCTGGAGGGACAATGCTTTTTCAAAAATCAGAATCTGATTCTCCTACTATTTTGACAAAAATTCATCAGTTGCTTCTCCTGCTCTTTTGTTAAAGTCCACAGTCCTTATCAGGGCCAAAAGTCCCCCCTGGTACCCTCATCACCCTTCTCTATACCTGTTCTCCAACTCATACCCTAGGGCCAATACCCAAATATCTTTGGGCTCCCTAGCCTCCTGGTCTTTACACACGCTGTTTCCTCTGTGTTGATCTTTCTTCTCCCTTCCCAGCTTTTCCTGGCTAATTCCTATTAATCCTTCAGGCTCAAGAAGTCTTCTCTAACTGACCTCCACTCCACCCACCCAAAGGTCTGGGCTACAGGCTTTTCTCTATCTGTGTGCCCACAGCACGCTAAACTTCCTGGATTACTTGACTGGTAACTCTGTGCTATGGCTGTTTTTTTCCCTTCATCGCTTGTCCCACTAAAAACACTGATCAGGAAGCACAAATGTTATAAGGCAAATTTTAAGGTAAGAAATGGCTAAAGTCTAGCACAAGAGAATTCAAAAAACTTTTTCATGAGCGTATAGATGCACGCATAGAACGTGCTCCAAGATGATGATGCTATTCTCTGCTACTCCCCAGACTGCATTTAAGTGTATTAGAAATTAGCAGCAGAGAACCAGAGGACCAAAGGCTCAGAGAAAAACAGGGGTGGGAGAAGAAAGCTGGCTGCAGAGTACTTGGCCATGGGAAAGGAAAGCATGGCTGAGCTGACAACAGAGCCCCAGAGGAGCCGTCAGGCTGAGCTGCTCCGGATGTGCTTGGCTGTCCTCAGTTTGGTGTTTTTTCACTTTTTGAGAAGTCAGCATAAGCACATGGAAGTCTCCAACTTTTAAACACAACTACGGGGATCCCTTTTGTAAATAAAGCGAATCGTCATCAACCAAAATGTACTTTTTCTTTTGGAAAACTGAGTTTTTTACGTTGACGTGATGTACTCCACAAAACACACGCCTAAACATTCTAAGACAAATTTAACACACGAAACAAGTTTTCAGTAACAAATGCTAAAAGCTGTTATGAAAGTGAGATGGCATGCCGATTCAATAGGCTTGAGTTAATGAAAAATAAAATATTGTCAGAAAATATTGCTAAAATGGCTTGTGTCTTATGATACGAACCATACCACCAAAACTGCCAAAAGGCACGAGAGAACTCATTGCCTAGAAAAAAAATCCAGTTAATTTTGGTATGATATTTATTATACAACAATCTCTGAAAAAGAAAGTAATGCACTACATAATTACATAGTTCAGAGCTAACCAAATTACAAAACCGTTTAATCAAAAAAATCTCAATATATATATTTAAAGTTATCTGCTTATTATTCATTGTAGAGCCTGACATGAGCCTAGAAGACAAACAAGGAGACCACAATCTCTTTTAAATAAGACTGCTCTAGTACTTATTAAGGAGAAAGTAATTGCTATGGACTAAGACAAACATTTTTCAAAGAAAATGCAAATTTACACCAAAATTAACACATAAAGTATAATGATTAAGATTATATCATCTTCCTTTTGTTCAATGATTGCATATTTTTAAAAAATCATTTAATTTTGCCTGAAACCAATTAAAAATCAAAAGTATCTATATTTATAACATTTCAAAAGCTTCAAAGAGATATTGGTCAAAAAATTTAATGGATACTTCCTAAGAACTAATATAGAATAAGAAACACAGACTTCAGAAAGGATCATGCATATAGGTTTAGAAATATTTAGTCTTTGATAGGAAAAAGAATGTTAAGCATAATAGATGGAATAATAAAAATAAATTTTTTAATACATGTATAAATTAAAAACTCTCATTACTTGGAAATTTCAAATGCTGAAAATAAATTTTGAGTTTCTTGGTAAAAGGTATATACAAAATTATACCATCATTCAGTGATAATTTTCTCCCTGTGTAAGTCATGTCAAAAAACTAGAGAAAACTGTTTAAATTTTATAATAAATTAAAACAGTAATCTCCAAAGTGTATTTGTACATCAAGAAAATTCCTCATTCTGTTTCTTTTAACTGAAAGGAAAAACAGATTTTACATTGACTCCGGCACCATCTCTCAATCTGTCAGATGGTCATATGTTGTATCTTGAATTATAAACTGCCTAATGAAATAAACTTACAGATTAAATGATCTAGTCTTAAACAAAACTGACCCCAAATGGACAACTGGCTTAAAAACATCCCAATAAAGAAATCATGAACTGAAGAAAAAGCTAATAGTACAAAGAAATGGCATAGCTGATGCTTTTCCTACTTTGGTAGGAATCTCTATTTTCCCTCATAATAGGGCTGATAATGATGACAAATGGCAAGAAATGGGTGAAAAATAACTTTTTCGGTTATCAAGTGTATATCTGAAATATAAATTTTCATCCACTATGCTTAAAAGCATCAGCATGTGGCTCACTACTTAATCAAAATACTCATTTTAAAATTTATAGCTTCACAAAGAGGAAAAAAAGCTCTGTGTAAACTATTATTAAAAAGTTCAAATAGAACAGCTAGCATGCTCGAAAAGCCTGCTCTTTACTTAGCTGTGCTATTTTCAAACTCAGCAGCTGATCTGTCCATCTTCTATAGTCAATTTCTAATTTTTACTCCTACTTTTATATGATTAGAAATGTCACGTAGGGATAGAGGTCTTTTGTTGTTACTGTTGTTTGTCTGTTTTTGCTTTCTTTTAATTAATGTATTTAATTTTGCTTTGACATAAGTCTTTCATACTGAGACATAAACATGTCAAATGTATCACACTCTAGGGGAAAAAAGGAGAGTCATATCTCACCAGTATAACTCATTCAGAGGAAAAGAAGAGTTTTGGTTAAAAAGAAGCTGAATGTTCCTTGGAAAACCTACTGTAACCAGATGAAATTCCTATATTTAAAAATTACTTCTGCCCTTCAACTGCCCTAGGGCAGCGCTCGGCACTCTTAGTTAGCAAAGAGTTTCCACAGCTTGAACAAGAGAAAAAAAAAAACTCACTGGTGTTAGCTTTCTAAGATATTGGTACAATATAATGCAATTGAATATAATATTATATATACCACTTAATTTTAGATGGGAGAGGTAAGTAAATACTACCGAGCAGTATTTACTATATAAAATACCATGAAACTCATTTTATGAAATGGTTTGGTCTAAATCTGATATAGTAAAATCACCATTTACTTTCTATTTAATAGGTAGGCGAGGATTGCCATTTCTCTTGGGAAAATGCTGAAAGAGATTTACTATTAAATTAAAAAAAAAAAGATGATAGGTTCACCTGTAAGTGATTAGTGTCCTTACTCAGTGCTGATTTTTTTTTAAAAAAGCTAAAAGCTTTACACTCTCTTTGAATATTATCATATCCTTCATTAAGGTAGCCAAAAGCGACATGTGGCTATTTAAAATTAATTTTAAATAATTAGAATTAAAAATTCAGTTCCTCAGTGGCACTAGGCACATTTCAAAGTCTTGATAGTCATATGTAGCTAACCATACTGGACAGGGAGGATTTAGAACATTTAAATCATCCAGAGCATTCTATTGTATAATGCTACACACAGATTTTAGCCTCCACCTATGGTTCATCATCTTCAGTTCAGTTCATTCGCTCAGTCATGTTCAACTCTGGAATCCCATGGACTGCAGCATGCCAGGCTTCCCTGTCCATCACCAACTCCTGGAGCTTGCTCAAACTCATGTCCATCGAGTCAGTGATGCCATCCAACCATCTCATCCTCTGTCGTCCCCTTCTCCTCTCGCCTTCAGTCTTTACCAGGATCAGGGTCTTTTCCAATGAGTCAGTCCTTCACATCAAGTGGCCAAAGTATTGGAGTTTCAGTTTCAGCATCAGTCCTTCCAATGAATATTCAGGGTTGATTTCCTTTAGGATTGACTGGTTTGATCTCCTTGCAGTCCAAGGGACCTCAAAAGTCTNGTTGAAGCCTGGCTTGGAGAATTTTGAGCACTATTTGCTAGCGAGTGAGATGAGTGCAATTGTGCAGTATTTTGAACATCCTTTGGCATTGCCTTTCTTTGGGATTGAAGTAAAAACTGCCCTTTTCCAGTCCTGTGGCCACTGCTGAGTTTTCCAAATTTGCTGGACTATTGAGTGCAGCACTTTCACAACATCATCTGTTAGGATTTGAAATAGCTCAACTGGAATTCTATCACCTCCACTAGCTTTGTTCGTAGTGATGCTTCCTAAGGCCCACTTGATTTCACACTCCAGGATGTTTGGCTCTGGGTGAGTGATCACACAATCGGGATTATCTGGGTCATGAAGATCTTTTTTGTACAGTTCTTCTGTGTATTCTTGCCACCTCTTCTTAATATCTTCTGCTTCTGTAGGTCCATGGTATGGACCTTTCTGTCCTTTAGTGTGTCCATCTTTGCATGAAATGTCCCCTTGCTATCTCTGATTTTCTTGAAAAGATCTCCAGTCTCCCATTCTATTGTTTTCCTCTATTTCTTTGCATCCATCACTGAGGAAGGCTTTCTTATCTCTCCATGTTATTCTTTGGAACTCTGCATTCCAATGGGTATATCTTTTCTTTTCTCCTTTGCTTTTCACTTCTCTTCTTTTCTCGGCTATTTGTAAGGCCTCCTCAGACAGCCATTTTGCCTTTCTTTTTCTTGGGGATGGTCTTGATCACTGCCTCCTGTACAATGTCACAAATCTCTGTCCATAGTTCTTTAGGCACTCTATCAGATCTAACCCCTTGAATCTATTTTCACTTGCACTGTATAATTGTAAGGGATTTGATTAATAATAAGGGAGATGATTTCATCATCTTAGACAAAAGTTAATTTATGCCACTAGAAACTGGACTCGGTAGCAACTATTTTAGTTTTTCATTCAAATATTGGTCTTGGCCTTCTTTGTATTCAGAATTGTTTTCTTACTTAACTTTCCTTATTTAATCATCACATTTATGCAACCATACTAATTCAGCTATGTGGGCTTTTTGGTTTCTCAAAACTTGATTTCAAGCCGCACTGGCAATACAAATATGAGGCAAGCTAAAATACAAATTGTTCTAAATTATGAATCAGATAAACTACAGTTTCAAATAAATTTATCTTTCTCTTGGTTATATATTTCTTATTCCAGCTCATTAAACATTCAGATTTTTTAAGCACAGGTACTCAGGAAAAAAACATTTCTTCTTCTCATGGATAACCAGCAGAGTTACAGCTTAGGCATCCTCACTAAGAACTTTACAGGTGGATTATAAACAGATCTCCTCTCTGTGCTAACAAGGGAATAAAATGGTCACCTCCCACTTTTTGCACAAAGGCTACAAGCAGCTCATTTATGCATGCAAATATTAACACAAAGCACTATGTACAGCCCTACTCCTCCTTTGCTATGGTTGTAACAGATATATAAAATACTTCAGTGCTCATGTGAAAGATAAAATTTCAGAATGTCGTATTTGATTTTTCTGCTCTCTCTGACAGTTCTTTCCTTTGGGCTTAATTTTAGACTTTTATGGAAATTTATAGCCCTAAAACTAAAAAATAAACATAATGACCACATTAACAAATTTAAAAATAATTGGAATGAAACTAATATATATATTGGAATAATGTGTATGTGAAAAAGAATATGAAGATTACTTTCATTTAAATGGCAAATGTAATTTTATCCATCAAACTTCTTAGGAGTATTTGAAACATTTTGCTCTATTTAACAACAAGATTATAGCAAATAGAAAATATAAAAGTCCTGGAAGTTTCCCAGTTGACCACTTCAGAAATGTTTATTGAGAGTGGCATGCGAACATATCCATTACCATGTGTGAAACAGATAACCAGTGGGGATGCGCTGAATGACCCGGGACCTCAGTCTGGGCTCTGACAACCTAGAGGGGGTGGGATGGGGTGGGGAGAGGGAGACAGCACCATGAGGGAGGGGTGACATAGGTACACCTGTGGCTGATTCATGTTGATGGATGGCAGAAACCAACACAATATTATAAGGCAATTATCCTTCAATTAAAAGAAATCTGTTAAAAAATGTTTACTGAGGTCCAAAGCTCTACATTTGAACTGTAGATTTATTTTTTAGAAACTCCTGTGGATTTGTTGTTCTAGAACTGCCATTCTTGAGGCTGAAAAAGTAACACAAATAAGCAGAAAACAGCTAAGGTATATAAATATCCTGAGTTTTTTGTTGTTTGTTTGTTTGTAACCCTTTAATTTTGCTCTCAGATAAGACTTCTGAATATTTACTGTAGTTCTACAAGTCTTTTGAATAACTTTTAAAAGTTAATCTAAGTTTTGAAGGTCCAAGGTAGCCAAGGAGTAGATTGGGTTTCCCTGGTCCAGTAGATAAAAAGCATTATACTACAGTTTTGGATGCTATTTTAAAGCAAGAAAAAACGTGTTGCATGCAAGGATATTTCCATGCCTGTCCTAATTTAAGACATGGGAGTAAATGATAAGGTGAGAAAAACCTTATCATGGTTTTTCTTCCTTCCATGGTTCCCACAGAAAACAATGTCTTAAGTTTGGCTTATAACATATAACCCTACGGTGCTAAAAGTTTTGGTATCACAGTGCAATTCTATACAGTTAACACTTCATTGTCAGAGAATTCTGCTTTTCAACTGGTCCTTCCCTGTGTATAAGGGTTAGTTCTATAACATTAATCCTATCCTATTATCAGAGATAAACTCTTCTGTAATACTTTTCTTCACTATCTTTAAAATAAAGAACTTACAGTCAAGGAATTTTCTTCATCCTCACGTCCCATACGGTTACGAGCTCTTCCTCTCCTATCAGAGATGCTGAGCATGTCTCTTCCAAAAGGTTCAGGAAAACTTCTCATCATCTGTCGCATACTTTCTCGGTGTGCGATGAAAGAATCACTATTGAAAATACATGCAATCATGTAAGTGTAAATGTTGGAATTTAATAAGTAGGCAGCTTAATACTGCAAAGAATGATCTGGGGCTAATATGCTTGTTAAAGAGACAAAAGGAGTTAAAAAAGCATTTTTGAAAATGCAAAGCACTTTGATACTTTATAAAGTAAGGTCGTAATTGCTGGATATTAGATGTTATTACATCTTAAAATGAGAGTTTTCTCACTTTTAAAAGTCTTACGGTGCATGTGTAAATATGGAAAATTGAAATGGGGGGAAACTTCTACAATTAAATCCAATGTAAATGTTCAGTTTAGACTGTATAAATGTGTTTTTTTTTCCATAATNAGAAACTAACACGTCAGTAATCTTACTTCTTCATTTGCTCTCTTGTCTTTTATACACTCATCCACTTGGGGTCATTTCCCTGCTTTTCAGCCTCCCTCCTGCTGACAAATTTCACACAAAGTCATCAAAGGAAAGGGCTCCCCAGTGTGTGCAGGCTGAGTATGCTCTTAGCGCAGCCGAACACAAAAATTTCAGCAGGAGTCCAAAAATTAAGCTGCTCTTAACCAAATTAGTAACGTTCAGTATTTAACTACAGAAATACTCTTGCCCTAAATTCACTTAGGAAATATAATAAAATGAAGACACTAGAGCATTTAGGTTTATTTATAGATTATTCATATTTCATTCTTTCTAGCTAAAAGCAGAGTCTAACATATTTAGGAATGAGCAAGGAAAAATATTACACATACAATGCAGAAAAAATGCCATAAATAAGATTATCCTCCCATGAATTCTTGTAGGATAAAGTTTTGGATCTGTCTTACTGATAGGAGTGATGGGCATGGGAAATGTAACAGATTACTGTTCTTAGATTTGCCACCTGTTAAAAAGTTTGATAATCACTATTTCAGCAAAATTATAGGCAACTAGCACCATGAGGAAGTTGTGACAATTTAAAAATTTAATAGGTCAATGGCACCCAGTGAGACTAGTGAGCAGAAAGAGAGTTGCTTTATGCTTTCCCAAATAAAGACCTGAAGTCCAAAAGTTAGTTTGCAATTAAGGAATCAGAAATTGGTGTATGTTATCTTCCCAGTTTTTACTTAAAGGTACAGAGTTTCAAGTAGTTCTGAGACCGATAAGTGAGTTGTCTAAGAAATAATTCCTAGTTTTTATCTCAAAACCAGATTATTTCGAAGTGTTTCATATCCAGATGATACTTAATGCCAGGTGGTAGCAAGAAACTGGAATTATTGTTAATCTTGTTAGATGTAAATATGGCATTGTGGTGATGAAAGTATTTTTCAGAGATGTATTTGGAAAAACATATGAGTGAAATACCTGAACTCTGGAATTTGTTTTAAAACACTTTAAAGACAGCAGCAGCAATAGAGATGGGTAAAGCAGGTGTATGTTGTGAAATTCTGATTAAGGGGTACATCCAGTACTATACCCTTACACTTCTGTAATATACATTCAAAGTTTGTCATGATAAAAATCTTTAAAGAATAAGAAAGAAATAGAACTATGTGGAATTAAACAATTTTATACTACTTGATGTTTCAAAATGGATGATTCAAAAGAGTCTCCTTTTGCTGAGATCTCTATACTCACTGGACATTCAGAGTTTAGGATATGGGTACAAGGATGGGGATATTAAACTATTCATTCTTATTAAAATGCAGATACTTAAAAAAACACTCAGCGTTCCCTTTAGATACATGGATGAGATTCAAATTCAACAAGGAAAGATATTTCAGGGATTACTAGTTTTGGTCAGTAAATAGATGAGAATTAAACAACTATTACTTTTCTATAGAAACATAACATTTAGTAAGATTTATTTTTCTAATTGGGCTAAAAATTCAGCACTAAATGTGCTCATTAAAAATGGTGTCCAAAACAAAACAAACAAACAAACAAACAAAAATGGTGTCCAGGTTTCTCTTTATTCAAGTAGGAGTAGGTATATTTGTACATAGAACAAATGTCAAAAAACATCTTTTTCTTTTTGTTGACACACAGAAAAAGGCTGCTTAAAAAAACGGGCTCACAGTCTGGCTTTTGCACCTGTCTGGACCATTCGGGGAAGAAATCTAGCTGGATCCTGAAGTGAGTTCAACTTATGTTCACCCAAAACAGCAGGTGCTTAGAAATAAGACTTTTAAGATTTCTCCTGCTCAAGCTTGAATTTTTTTTAACAAAGGGTAAATCTCTAATGGAAGCAAGGACTTGTTTTAAAACTTTAAAAATTAACTTTGTATAGTTTTCTTTCTCAGGTAAGAAGAGTTTTTACTTCTTTCTACTTATTCATATTGTTCTCTTGAAAATTAATGTTTTCATTCTTCTAGGAAAATATACTGGAAATATGATGACACTTTGCAAAGCTATTAATAGGAACAGGTCATATCATGTATATAAACTAAATTATTAATTTGAAATATGATTAAATATTTATATGAAAAATATTCTTTGCATACCTGTTAAGTTAGTGAAGTGTGAAAGTTGCTCAGTCGTGTCTGATTCTTTGCAACCCCATGGACTATACAGTCCATGGAATTCTCCAGACCAGAATACTGGAGTGGGTAGCCATTCCCTTCTCTAAGGGATCTTCCCAACCCAGGAGTCAAACCTAGGTCTCCCACATTGCAGGCAGATTCTTTATAAGCTGACCAGGGAAGCCCTTGCATATTTACAGGATGCAATATTTTGCAGACACTAAATTCAAGCTTGAAAGAATACCTAAAGACTAAGAAAATGCTTATGGTATATATTAAGGAAAATAATTTATTTATAACCATAAAAGTTGGTTCTAATTTTGAAGAAAAAAAATCCATATATGGAAAATAGAAACAAAATAATGATAGTAACCAAAATCTAAAAGACACTTAAACGACGCTTGCTCCTTGGAAAAAAAGTTATGACCAACCTAGACAGCATATTAAAAAGCAGAGACATTACTTTGCCAACAAAGGTCTGTTTAGTCAAGGGTATGGTTTTTCCAGTAGTCATGTATGGAGGTGAGAGCTGGACTATAAAGAAAGCTGAGCACTGAAGAATTGATGCTTTTGAACTGTAGTGTTGGAGAAGACATTTGAGGTCCCTTGGACTGCAAGGAGATCAAACCAGTCCATCCTAAAGGAAATCAGTCCTGAATATTCGTTGGAAGGACTCATGCTGAAGCTGAAACTCCAATACTTTGGCCACCTGTTGTGAAGAACTGACTCATTTGAAAAGACCGTGATGCTGGGAAAGATTGAAGATGGGAGGAGAAGGGGACGACAGAGGATGAGATGGTTGGATGGCATCACCAACTCAATGGAAATGAGTTTGAGTAAACTCCGGGAGTTGGTGATGGACAGGAAGGCCTGGTGTGCTGCAGTCCACGGGGTCGTAAAGAGTCAGACACGACTGAGCTGACTGACTGAACCAAAATCTTGGGTTGCATAAGTCCCTTAATGAAATTTTCAGTATTCAGATTTTCCATGAGAATGCATTTTCATTTAAGTACGGAAAACTTTACTTATACTACTAAGATGACTATATGGCCTCTTTCAGGATTGCTGACACAAACCACAATCAAACAGAATGAAATTTGGCACCAAACATGTCCACAGAGAAAACCATAGTAGAGAGCTAGAAAATAAATTGTGCTCCATGTTCCCTTGTAAAACCCATAAATAAATATGTGTATCTACATTTAAAAAAAGGTAAAGATAAGATGATTAAAAACAAACAAACCCAACTCTGCATGCCAGGAAGTGCTAGCTTTTAACCTTTGTGTTTTTAACCAAATTACAAGTATTATTTATTTGAAAAGGTGTATGCGAATATATACTGTGAGGCAATTTCACTGAAATAACTTCAGCTCTGAAACATATAAGGAAACCCCCCAAAGTCCCAAGCATACAATAAAACACTAAACTTCATCACTTTTAAAATTTCTCTTTAATTTTCTCATGAATTTAACATGCTGTTATAGAAAGGTAAACATTAAAAACGAATATACTTGGATTCAAAACTAGATTTTGTTTTTCACTCAAAGCTCTAAAGTGTTTGACAATTTGATACCATATTTTACTAGCCTCAATTTACTTAATAATTCTAATTTTATATCCAAGAAGTATATACTTTTTGTCTGCCTACTTTTGATTAATTAAGTAAATTTGGAGAGTGTGCTTATGATTGATATCCTTGATTTCGAATTAGTGAATTATTTAGAAAACAGTAGTGTTTAAATTGGGTTTCCCAGTGGCTCAGCGGTAAAAGAATCCGCCACAATGCAGGGAATGTGGGTTGGATTCCTGGGTCAGGAAGGTCCTCTGGAGAAGAAAATGATAACCCACTCCAGGATTCTTGCCTGAATATCCCACGGACAGTGTTTAAATTAGAAAGTGCCAACATCAACAATGGCACCTATTGAATGCAAATACAGATCATCCTCCACTTATGATGGGGTTGTGTGTGTACGAAGTCGCTTCAGTCATGTCGGACTGCTTGTGACCCCGTGGACTGTAGCCTGCCAGGCTCCTCTGGTTCATGGGATTTTCCAGGTAAGACTACCAGAGTGGGTTGCCATTTCCTTCTCCAGGGGATATTTCCAACCCAGGGATCCAACCCTCCTCTCTTATGTCTCCTGTGTTGGCAGGTAGTTTCTTACCACTAGCGCCACCTGGGAAGCTGTAATGGGGTTAGTTAGTTAGTTAGTTAAGTCGCTCAGTCGTGTCCGACTCTTTGTGACCCCGTGGACGGTAGCCCACCAGGCTCCTCCGTTCATGGGATTTTCCAGGCAAGAATACTGGAGTGGGTTGCCATTTCCTTCTCCAGGGGTTCTTTCCAACCCAGGGATCGAACCCAGGTCTCCCACATTGCAGGTAGACACTTTAACCTCTGAGCCACCTGGGAAGCCTACATCCTCATAAATCCATCAGAAGTTGAAAATAACCCTGTCGAAATGCATTTAATACACCTGAGCTATGAAACATCATAGCTTAGTCTAGTGTATCTTAAACCTTAAATGTGCTCAGAACACTTATATTAGCCTGCAGTTGGGCAAAACTATCCAACACAAAGCCTATTTGTAATAAAGTATTAAATTCCTCATGTAATTTATTGAATACTGTACTAAAAGTGAAAAACCAAATGCCTGTAAGTGTATGGGTTGTCCACTGTCATGATCTCACCTGAGGCTTGCTACCCCTGCTCCCGCGCACCTTTTCAAAGTATTGTATCACATGTTGCTAGCCAGGGAAAAGATTAACATTCAAAATTGAAAGTATGGTTTGTATTTAATGTGTATTGTTTTCACACCATCGTCAAGTTGAAAAATGTTAAGTGGAACCACTGTAAATTGTGGACCAAACGTAATCACCTTCAGCGATCCAACAATCAACTATACCATAAAACTATAAGACAGAGAGTAAAAGACACTAGATTGTCATTAAATAGTATCTCTTGAACATTTTCTACATGTCAGACATTAAAATAGCCACCAGGCAACCCAATGACCAGACGCATAATGTGAGCAATAGGGATAATAATTGTATAAAAGATACAGGGCATGGAACCCCTCTGTGTTCCCTAAGGTCAGTGGATGATTTAATAACGACTGTCACCTTTATCAATTCCTTATGCTTGACATATTCAGTAATGGATACTCATTTTGTTTGGGGTTCGGGTAAAAGGGGTGAGTCAAATGAAATAAATATTTGAAATTTACTTGAAAATTTACTTGAAAATAAATAAAATTTACTTTTTTACTTGAAATAAATATAAACTCACATTCTCTTTCTTATCTCCCCTAATTATTTTTACTCTCTATATTACCAGTTGTGGAGCAAAGAAATAAGTCAGTTTTATAAAGTTAATTTTATCCCAAATCTCTATGATATGGCTGCCTGGATTTGAAGACGGCTACAGGGAATGATGACTGAGAAACCTGCAGCCATGTAACTGACGGTCCTGTCCATCCTAAGTGCAGGGGAAGAGTGTTCTTCGCTGTATGCCTACTATTTGTGTTCTGTTACTATTTCTGACGCTGCCTCTTGGGTTCACTGCCTTTGCTCAGAAAGAGGCATCCAAGAGTTTAAATTACACTTTTGCTAGATGTTTTAAAGAAAGTACTAATCATACATTAGTTTAGTTAGGGCCATTGCTCTTTTGATATCATCAAGACAATACAACTCAAAAGTTGTCATAATCTTCTTAACTGCTGCCCATTGTATTTAGGTCACAATTACATAAGAACCACTTCAACAGCTCAACTAAACTATGGATATATTTAGTCCCTACTCTCACAGGCTTTTAAAAGAGCAAATTATAACACAAACTTTGAAATTTGTTCAAATGACATTGTTCATAAATGTCACAACTGCTCCTAAACACATTAACTAAAACAACATGATAAATTTACCTGAGCCCACACACTCCTTGGCTTCCCTGGTGGCTTAGATGGTAAAGAACATGCCTGCAATGCAGGAGACCTGGGTTTGATCCCTGGGTGGGGAAAATACCCCGGAGAAGGGAATGGCTACCCACTCCAGTATTCTTGCCTGGAGAATTCCATGGACAGAGGAGCCTGGTGGGCTATAGTCTGTGAGGTCCCAAAGAGCTGGACATGACTGAGTGACTAACATTACACCCCTTAATTATAATGAATAACCTTTAGAATAAAATACATTTAGTTCTGTTTTTAAAATATTAATAATTTCATCTTTTCTACTGTTAATTTTCTCTCAGTTATTGCCTTTATATTATTTGGTTTTAATATAGTACTATTACATTTAAGCCAAAATAATATTTTCTTTTAAAAACAAATCGATGTAGTAAACTGGTAACATTTCTACCTTTTAAACAGATGGTGTCCAGGTTGCCCAGAGAATTTAAGTGATCAAAATAAATTAGCACAGCAAGTCAAAATTCAAACTGGCAAAACACTTGGGTAAAAAAAATAACACAAACCTTCCTGTTTTAGGGATCCAACTAGATTGTGTTACACGTTTATATAATCACCAAAGGAAGAACTACAGAAAATACAAAACCCAGGACACCGTAGAAAACTAGGTCATAATTAAATAACTATTTTCTGGATCTTCCTCTTTAGACATCACAGGATCTCACTTGAAGCCGTTCACTGGGCTTGGCACTTGTTTACCTGAGGTGTTAAATGCACCCCCTGTTTCGCTGTCCTACTTGCACGTTTAATAGGAAGAGGAGTCCCTTTTCAAACACGGCTACCTTTGTAACAAAGCAGGAAAGGAAACAAACTGCACCTGGCAACTTCCAACCGCTTCCAGGGAGAGACAGCAAAACTCTGCAATGCTCTTAGAATCACATATTATGGAAAACACTCTTTTAGAAAACGTTTCCCTTGTAGAAGACTTCCCATCTTATCAAACATTCCCTGCCTCTCTTTTGGAGTAGAAGCAGGTGTCGTAAGTGCCCTGTGAGTATAATTCTCCAGAAGTTCCGCCGAGAGGCAGTGACCGTCCCCTGCAAAGCCCCTGCAGCGGCCAAGGCGGGACTCCGAGCGCCAGCGGCAGAGGTTAGGGGGCGCCAGGTACCCGAAATCGGGCCGAGTTGACAGCAGCTCGCACGGGGGTCGGTTGGGCGGGGAAGCCTGCCTAGACCTCTCCTCACCTCACGCCCCCAAATTTCTCTTCCTTTCCAAGTCCTCCTCTCCTTTCCCTCACACGCCCCTATATCCTCTTCTCCCTTCCCTTTCACGCCCCCCCGAGTCTTCCTCAAACTGTCTACTGGCGTCACCCGAACTCTCTCTCTCCTTCTTTGGCGTTTTAACTGACTTTCCCCTTAAAATAGCTCCTCTCAAGATCTCCGAGTTCCTGCGCTACCGCGGCCTCCCGCCCCCGACACTCACGAGAAGAAGGGATCATCCTCAAAGCTGCTGCTCAGCATCCCGAACATCCTGGCTCTGTCTCGGGCAGCGGCGTTCGCGGACAGATTGGCAAACGATGTAACTCGCCGCGGCCGCGACCCGAGTCAGCCTGGCCAGCACTGTCAACGCTTGTCTCCCAGCCGCAAAGGCCGTGGCCGTCGCGAAAGGCGGTGCTTGACGCGGAGCTGCTTTCCTATTGGGCGCAGATCCCATAACGTCACCAAGACGAGGCGGGGAAACAGCGTGCCGCTGCCATGGCAACCACGAGCAACACGGGGCAGGCTAGAGGCTTGTCCAAGAGCCAGGCAGGCAACCCAACATGAAGCCTCCTGTGGGACAAGATAGCTCGTTCTCTGGGCTGCAGGAACACAGAAATTAGTCTACTCTCTGTGTGACCTTGGGTAAATCGCCCTCGGTCTCGAAAATGCTCTTTTCGGGAAAATGGAGATGGGGCAAGATTTGGGCTACACTGCATCCAAAGACCCCTTTACCGGCCTCATTTTGTGATCCACAGCAGAGTCCTGTCCGAAACACACTGTGGTGGTTGACCTAACGCTGTGAACAATAAGGAAAGATGTGCAAAAAGTTTTTGAGTACATTTAGTAAATAGTGTGACTCAGTACTTTAGGGAAATCGGATGAGGCCTGTTAGATTTCAACAAATTTGTGTTTTGTGAGCCTAACCCGAAAGCAGTGTTTCCCAAGTGGGAAATGCTTAAGCTTTACGTATACATGGTATTTAAAAATAAGACGAGAATGTTGTTCTCTTCCATCCTCTTTCCAGTCTGTTTCAAGGAGCGGTGCTGGTGTGTCTCCAACACTTCTCCAGCATTCCTTAACCTAAGAGTTGGACTGCAGCAAGCAGCCATAGCCAACTAAAATTCCATTAGTGTATATTTTTGTTTTAACTATATTTATATATGAGCCTTCTGTTTATGGAAAGGAAAGTGGTCTTAAATTTAAAGCAGTAACTTTAAGTGAAAGTTTAAAAGTTTCAACATGTAAGTGAAACCATATGCTAATTTAAGGAAATAGCACAGGTGAGATGTGGATATGTTGGGGGGTGGTGGGAGGGGGGTGGTATCATGACTGGTTCTCACATTACTGAGCCTGGAAAACACGGTCCTGAGGCGTTGCAGGAGCCTATAAAAATGTGGAGGAGAAGAAAGAGAATATTAGAGAAAGAGAAGATGATTAGGGGTCTAAGAAGAGAGAAAATGCATGTTGCATGCCCGTCCTTAACTAAGGATCCTTAACTGTGGGCTCCCCAGCGTCTGCAGAGGGTTGTCACGGGGAGACAGAGTGCTGTCCATGGCTGCACGGGGCCTCCTGGCACTGGGCCAGCAGAGTGGGACTCTGCCAGCGTGAAGAAGTGTGCAGGGCCTGATTTGGAGGTGGCAGGAATACTCAGGGTTATTTTGGGAGCAGGAAATTTAATCCTTTGGACCTTTTACCTCCCCACCTTTAGCCAAGTTCTTTGATTCCCACCCCCATCCCCATCCTGAGACTGATGACGTGAGGTTGGGCAACCTTTACAGCCCAGGTTAAGACCTCATAGCCCTTCCGAGGAAGAGGATATTTTTTTTCTCCAGCCTCAGAATAAAGTTCAGAGAGCATATACATATTAGGGATATTCTTAATTAGTTTCAAGGCAAAACAATTGTTTTAGAAGAACTGAAATTATTTTCTGTTTAAAATAATACAAACCAAGATGTTAAAGAGGCTAAAAAAAAAAACTTAAATGAAAGGAGGTAAGTTATTGGTGACAAATGAGAGTATTAAAATAGTTTTGAATTAAGGTCAAACAAAGCAGTTTGTGGGAAGTTTTCCCCGTTTGTTCCCATGGGGAAATTTTTCTTAGCATTGCACTGTTGAAACATTTAAGCTTTATTTCAAGCATCGGTTAGTTCAGGGTGTTACAGTTTGGGTCTCATGCAAATGCTTAAAAAAATGTTAGTAGAGGAAAGGGGAGAGCGGATGCTAAAGAGACCTCACAGTTTCAGATCAGGTGGGTAACAGGTAGGAGCCGGAGCAGGGGAAAATAGAATTGCAAAGCAGGACTGTGGGGAGAGCGCCCTGGACTGTCTTGATCACATTAGATATATGTACTGAACATGTGCCAAGTACTACGGTAGGCTCTTCATGTATATTAACTCATTAAATCCTCATGATTTTTATGGAGGAGTGATTGTTTTTATCTCCATTTATAGGTAATGCAACCAAGATACAGAGAAGCTAAGAAAGTTGCCAAAATTCACACAGCCAGAAATTGAACTGGGCAGAGTGCCTGGAGTTTTTGCTAGTAGGAGCTATTTGCATGTAATGTGGGTGATGGGCCACACAGAGATGCAGATGAAAGCAGGTTTTTATATCTCAAAATCATGTGAACAAACTAAATAATGCACTCATACTAAAAATTGTAAAATTCAGTGGAGATTCATTTAAAATCAACATAACTTTACAAATATCTAGTGAGTGCCTACCCTAGTCAGACACTTATCTAGACACTGAGGTGTTGGTGAACAAAACAGACAACAATTGCTGTTGTCCTGGAGCTTATATCTTGTGAATGGGCAGAATGAAAAATGCCACCACAGAAAGTCGTACGTACGTTGAAAGGTGACAGGTGTTAGGAGCAAAACCTGAGCAAGGTAAGGGGAATGGAGGAATGCAGTTTTAAACAAAGAGATCTGTGTGGATCTCACTGAGATGGTGAGTTTGAGCAGACTCACTGGAAGGGAGTGGACATCTATGAGAAGAGCATCCCAGGCCACTGCAAAGGCCCCGAGGTAGCATGTGCCTGGTATATATAATGCACAATCCATTCATAGGTCAGAGGAATAAGATGGGCCAAGTAAAGTGAAAATAACCTATTAGGATAATAGCTCCTGTCTGTACTTATGTTCCAGGCATTGCCTTCAGTGCTTCACATACATTTTCTTACTTAATCCTTGTAACAACTCTGTATACTGAGATGTTTATCTCCACATTACATATGGAAAACCCAGAGAGATTTGGTGATTGCTTAGTCAACTCAAACCCAAATTAGTCCTGCTCCAAAGTGTATATTTTTGCCATCACCCTAATATATCTCCCTATAAAAATTAATTATTTATTGAGCACCTCTATGTAGTAGGCATGGCACTAGTGGTAAAGAACCACATGCCAATGCAGGAAACAGAGGAGACATGGGTTTGATCCCTGGGTTGGGGAGATCCCCTGGAAGAAGACATGGCAACCCACTCCAGTATTCATGCCTGGAGAATCCCATGAACAGAGGAGCCTGGCAGGCAAGACTCCACAGGGTAGCAAAAAGGTAAGACTGAAGAGGTGGCATGCATGCATGTACTAGGCATTTTTATGTATATAACCTCTAACCTCACTACAACTTAACATTTGGAAGGTCACTGACCAAGTTCAAAGAACACAGTGAAGGACATGAGACCCAAGTCAACCCTATAACTCTCAAAAACATTGAGAGTTTAAAATGAGTGCAATTGTATGGAAGTTTGAACATTCTTTGGCATTGCACTTCTTTGGGATTGGAATGAAAACTGACCTTTTCCAGTCCTGTGGCCACAGCTGAGTTTTCCAAATTTGCTGACATATGGAGTGTACAGCACTATAATAGCATCATCTTTTAGGATTTGAGATGGCTAAGCTAGGATTCCATTACCTTCACTAACTTTGTTCGTAGTGATACTTCCTAAGGCCCACTTGATTTCACACTCCAGGATGTCTGGCTCTAAGTGAGTGGCCACACCATCTGGTTATGAGTCATTAAGACCTATTTTGTATAGTTATTTTGTGTATTCTTGTCACCTCTTCTTAATGTCTTCTGCTTCTGTTAGGTCCTTACTATTTCCTTTTTCATGCCCATTCTTGCATGAAATGTTCCCTTGATATCTCCAGTTTTCTTCAAGAGATCTCTAGCCTTTGTATTCTATTGTTTTCCTCTATTTCTTTGCATTGTTCACTTAAGAAGGCTTTCTTATCTCTCCCTTCTGTTCTTTGGAACTCTATATTCAGTTGGATAAATCTTTCCCTTTCTCCTTTGCCATTCATTTCTCTTCTTTTCTCAGCTATTTGTAGTCTCCCCAAACCACCACTTTGCTTTCTTTCATTTCTTTTTCTTGAGGATGGTTTTGATCACTGCCTCCTGTACAACACTAAAGCATCTGACTGTGTGGATCACAACAAACTGTGGCAAATTCTTAAAGATATCAGAATACCAGACCAACTTATCTGCCTCCCGAGAAACCTGTATGCAGGTCAAGAAGCAACAGTGAGAACCAGAAATGGAACAAAAAACTGGTTCAAAATTGGGAGAGGAATACAACAAGGTTGTATATTGTCACCCTGCTTATTTAACTTCTATGCAGAGTAAATCATGACAAATGATGAGCTGGATGAAACACAAGCTGGAATCAAGATTGCTAGGAGAAATATCAACAACCTTGGATTGGAGATGATACCACTCTAAGGGCAGAAAGTGAAGAGGAACTAAGTAGCCTCTTGATGGGGGTGAAAGAGGAGAGTGAAAAGGCTGGCTTGAAACTCAACATTAAAAAAACTAAGATCATGGCATCTGGTCCCATCACTTTATGGCAAATGGAAGGAGAAAAAGTGGAAGCAGTGACAGATTTTATTTCCTTGGGCTCTAAAATCACTGGAGACAGTGACTGCAGCCATGAAATTAAAAGACACGTGCTCCTTGGAAGAAAAGCTATGACCAACCTAGATAGCCTATTAAAAAGCAGAGACATTACTTTGCCAACAAAGGTCCATCTAGTCAAAGCTATGGGTTTTCCAGTAGTCATGTATGGATGTGAGAGCTGGACTATAAAGAAAGCTGAGTGCTGAAGAATTGATGGTTTTGAACTGTGGTGTTGGAGAAGACTCTTGAGAGTCCCTTGAACTGCAAGGAGATCCAACCAGTCCATCTGAAAGGAAATCAGTCCTGAATATTCATTGGAAGGACTCATGCTGAAGCTGAAACTCCAATACTTTGGCCAACTGATGTGAAAAGCTGACTCATTTGAAAAGACCCTGATGCTGGGAAAGATTGACGGTGGGAGGAGAAGGGGACGATAGAGGATGAGATGGTTGGATGGCATCACTGACTCAATGGACAGGAGTTTGAGTAACTCTGGGAGTTGGTGATGGACAGGGAGGTCTGGCGTGCTGCAGTCCATGGGGTCGCAAAGAGTTGGACATGACTTACTGACTGAAAAACAACAATAACAAAGAGTTTTAAATTCACTGTGTCCTCTTTTCTTTTTATCCCTTAATTCATCAGTTCAGTTCAGTTGCTCAGTCATGTCCAACTGTTTGAGACCCCATGGACTGCAGCACACAGGATCTCCCTGTCTATCACCAATTCCCGGAGTTTACTCAAACTCATCTCCATTGAGTCATCCTCTGTCGTCCCCTTCTCCTCCCACCTTCAGTCTTTCCCAGCATCAGGGTCTTTTCAAATGAGTCAGCTCTTCGCATCAGGTGGCCAAAGTATTGGAGTTTCAGCTTCAGCATCAGTCCTTCCAATGAATATTCAGGACTGATTTCCTTTAGGATGGACTGGTTGGATCTCCTTGCAGTTCAAGGGACTCTCAAGAGTCTTCTCCAGCACCACAGTTCAGAAGCATCAATTCTTTGGTGCTCAGCTTTCTTTATAGTCCAACTCTCACATCCATACATGACTACTGGAAAAACCATTTGACTAGACAGAACTTTGTTGGCAAAGTAATGTCTCTGCTTTTTAATATGCTGTCGAGGTTGGCCATAACTTTCCTTCCAAGGAGTAAGTGTCTTTTAATTTCATGGCTGCAGTCACGATCTGCAGTGATTTTGGAGCCCAGAAAAATACAGTCTGTCACTGTTTTCACTGTTTCCCCATCTATTAGACATAAAGTGATGGGACTGGATGCCATAATCTTAGTTTTCTGAATGTTGAGCTTTAAGCCAACTTCTTCACTCTCCTCTTTCACTTTCATCAAGA